TGAGTCAAGGGTGGGCCCGGGAGGTTCCTGGGGGCTGAGCCTCATCCCTGCCCACCTGGCTGGTGAGATTCTCTTGGCCCGAGCAGTCCAGACCTGGTTCCAGCGCCTCTGCCCCTGAGCATCCTCAGGAGTTGCTTCCTCCATGGACACCCACCTCTGAGCAGGCCTGATTATTTCCCAGGGTGGTTTCCTCCCCTGTTAGGGTGTAGTTTCCAGAGCGCACACGAGGGCCTGAAATAAGACTTCTTCATTTTGAGGCCTTGAGTTTCTAGGTCATCACCCCCCATTGCTGGATTAGTGGAATCAGGTGTCTGGAAAGAGCCAACCTAGAGCACAGAGCCCCAGGTGTGAATCTGGTCCTGAAATGATCCCACGCCCAGGTGTCCAGCAGGGTGTGGGAACAAGATGAGTGCCGGCCACTTAAGAATTCAGACTTGGCCACTCAGAGGCTGGGGACCTGGGCCAGGTTGCTTTTATCTCTAAGCTTTGGTGAGATCGTCTGTGAAAGGGAGGTCACACACAGTCTGGTGCAGACGATCCGGCGAGCACCCACTAAGCGGCAGCTGCATACAGTGAGGACGATGGAGGAACTGCCTTGAATGAGGCGTGGACAGAAAGCCCCAGGCAGAGCCTGCCACACAGCAGACGCAAGTGGCACAGCTCCATACCTGAGCTCAAAGTGGACATTTCAACTGGGACCTCACAGGATTCAGGGGAACTGCCCTGTCAAGTACAAGGAGTTTTGATAAAATCTTTAATCACTCTCCCTCGCAGAGCTCCCACTAGTGTTGAAACTGCACGTTTTCGGCCGGCCTCCAGAAGTGCTGGGAATTCTCAGGCCAGGCAGCACTGCCTTCATCTGGCAGGGCTGGGTTCATCGGTCTTACCTGTAGCTTTGTTTGCCCTTAATAGAGTAAAAGTGTCTGTGAATGGGCACGGTGGCTCACACCTGTAATCCCAGCACTTTGGGAGGCTGAGGCAGGCAGAACACTTGAGGTCACAAGTTAGAGACCAGCTTGGCCAATATGGTTCTCTACTAAAAATACAAAAAAATTAGCCAGATATGGTGGCAGGCACCTGTAATCCCAGGTACTTGGGAGGTTAAGGCAGGAGACACATTTGAACCCATGAGGCGGAGGTTGCAGTGAACCAAGATCTCGCCACTGCACTCCAGCCTGGGCAACACAGCCAGATTCCGTCTCTGCCAGACTCCATCTGTCAGTCAGTCAGTCAATCAATAGTGTTTGTGGATTGGGAGTTCCCACCATCAGCCTCACTATAGCACAGACTCAGGGGGGGCCACAGCATCTGGGCTCCAGTGAGGCGAGTGCCCAGCTTGGCTGCACAGAGCCCATGAGTACCTGAACCTACCCTCTCCCTGACCATCCACACACCAGCCAGACCCACCTGCACATGGAGCTTGCCCACCCAGCTCCCACAGTTGCCTCCAACCCACTATCCAGACAGGGCTACAGGCTTAGCCATGTGCAAAGTACCTGCTTATTTCCAAAACTGGAAAATAGAGGCATATAAAGAAAACAGAAGTTGCTCAAACCACAGCACCCCGTCTCCACTCCACAAAAAGCCCGCCATTCATATTTTGGTTGTTTTCAGCCTTTTATTTGCCTACATCATTTGCAGTCTCGAGATCATACTAGGATATAATTTATGTGTCTACCCAGAGCAAACATCAGCGAATAGAGTGGAGACTTCCACAAGGGCTTGACCCGGTGACTTTGCAGCTCACAAACTTGTGACACTCAGTTTCTTCATTCATTGATTCATTCATTCATTCAGAAAAGGCACGTGGGGAGTAGTGGTCAGACAGCTGACCTGTGTGCCTCCCAAGAACAGGTGGCGGTGGCCATCCCCACGAGTGAACATCTGAGACATGGCTGGGAAGAGTTCCTTACACAGGAGAGGCCAGCACTATTTGAAATGTGGTGAGGAGAAAAAGTCGTTTGGATATTTTACCCAAATTATTCCTTGTAGAAGAGTCTTCTGAACCAGTCTTCCTTTTTTTCACCAAATGCTCTACGTAATGCCCTTCAAAGTTTCCACCAACGTTCAGAATTTTAATAACGACCTACACTTTTCTCCATTGCAGATTGGCCACATTGATGGAGATCCCGGTCGCAAAGGCGCGTTCCCAGTGTCATTTGTGCACTTTATCGCTGACTGAATTGCTACTGAAGAAGAGCATTAACAGTTATGTTCCTGTTTCATTATTGGTACCAAAACTCTTGCAGATAACCAGTTTCATGAACTGTTTGTATGGTAGCCCATGTTCTCTAATGCCGCTGCTCTGTTTTAAAAACTCAGAGGCAGTTTTTACATGTCAGTAATTGTTTTTATAATTTATCATTTTCATGAAACACTGCTATGCATTTATTAGGAAAAACTGAATTTCCCAACAGGTGAACTGAAAAGTTATTTTAACTATTATACATAATTGAGATCCTGCCTCTACAGAATTAGCTAAACCTAAAAATGTTTGCATTAAGAGTATTGGAAATAAATTCTTCCTGCATTCCTTGGCCCGATTCTGGAGTTGGTGACCTTTAGCACAGTTCCTTTAGGAGTCCATAGCCCAGCCCTGGACTTTCTCAATAAAATGCCATCAGTTCACCTTTAAAGACACATATTGCTTTGAAATCCACCCAGTGTTTAAAAAGCAACTTGGAAATTTACACATCAGCATTGTACTTTCTAGCCCTAATCTGTGAGACTGCAGCTGTCATTGTATTCTGCATGTGTGTGTAACCAGTTGTGAACAATCAGACTTAACAAAACTACTGACGGTTTATGACAACATAGGGTAACTACAGTTCATCCGTTCCAGGTTATGTGAAACTGCATTTCCTGAATTTGGTTAAAAACTAAGGATGATGGATTGCAAAACAGTTCTTTTAAGTTAGTTGATACGCTTTAGGTGTTTTGGAATTTGTGTTCTTGAACTTCCTGAATCACACAGAAAGCAACTGTACACAATAGAATTCTGTGGCGCAGACCACAATAAATTAACACGTCACTTGCTGTTTCCTATTGAGTGTACCACTGCCTTCCCTTCTAGCCCATGAGGATGTTTACTCAGTTTAGTCTTGTATTTATATAATATTCCAATAGGAATGGTAGTCACACTGTCTTGAAATTTAATCTGTCCATCTGTTTATAATCAAGAACATATCAGAAATCTATAGATCCCAGATAATGAAATACTCCCAAACATCCCAGTTTTTACTATTTAAGGGCATCATATCATTCTTAAGCTAAACGGGGCAGTAGTGGGGGGATTAGGTTGTATACTATAAAATCAAAAGTCATTAGTTTAATGAACTTGACTGTCATACCTCTATTCTGTAATTGCGAAGGTAAGATTCATAGTAGGAATATTGGAAATTTTGGCACTCTGAGAATAAATAGGCATGTGATACCCACTTGGACTCTGAACAAAAGTAAAGGAATAAATTTGAGTATAGGCCTGGAAAGTGAGGCAGCAGTGCTGTTACTGCATTTGTCGCGATGGTACATTTGATTGCAGCAGCCTGTCTTCATTATGCAAGGCTCTGTACGTGTAGAGGTTTTGTTTTTTGGCGTTGTACTTTTTGTTGTTGTTACCAAGGCAGAACAAACTGGAATGTTTTATGATGTTGTATAGCAATCGCTTTTTGCCTTTCAAAGTTCCAGGCAAAAATCTGTTAGATCTGTAATTAAGTCTTTTTTTTTTAAGTACTACATCTGTTTTCACTAATTGTTCATTTCTGTTGTTTGAACCCTCAGTTTTTTCATAGGTTTAAGAAAGTAAACAGATGTATTTTGCACCGTGCACTTATGTCTCTAACAACCCTCCTACGTCTGTATTTATAGTCAGCCTTTTGACCGCCTGGTGCCAGCTATATAAAGAATAAAGTTGATTCATATCAACATTTGAACTCTAGTCCCAAATTAATCTATCAGGTTTACTGGTACATAAATATCTAGGAAATATTTTTCCAGTCTACAATTTGGTGCTATTGTGCAGTAACTAATAGTACCCTTACCGGAGGAGAAATTCTATTAATGTCCCTGCTAGTGGCCTCTTATTTGCTCTTTGCAAATTAAAAAAAAAAAAAAGCAACTGAGAGAAAGAAAAGCATTGTAGATATCTATTTATATTTAAAGTTTACGTTTCATGAACTTCAGCCACAGGATTCTGGCATTTTGCATGCCATGCTCCATCAAATCTAGGGATGGTGACTCAGAAGTATGCGCCCAGACTAATAGTTCCTGTGTGATCCGTTAAGGGGTGGATAACATCACATGCAGCTTAGGATGCTGTTTCGGGATGTATGATATTCAGTTCCTTCACCTGATTACTTTGGTCTGGTTGCAGCACAACCTGTATATATTGTATAACCAAAATTATTTTCATTGTCCTTAATGCAGTGATTTATAATTAGAGCATGTTTAGTAAGTTTACTCTTGTTAACTAGTCATTTGACTGGAAAAAAAAATAAAATACTTTTAAATGGACATGGTTCTATTTTTAATGTATTTAATCTTTAAAGTTTTGCATAGTGACAGTCCTTTTTTAAAAAAAAAAAAAAAAAAACAAAGGTACCATATCACTGTACGAGTGACCCTTTACATACTACTTAATCATGGGCAGTAATCTTTTAAGGTTCTGTTAACTCTAGGAGAAGCACTGTGGTTTGCCAGCATGTTACCTTGACTGGGACACTTCCAAAAACCTACTTTATGTGTCTTACATTGGCAATGTCACTGTTCCAAACCAGCATGAATCCAGGTCCCCAGTCCACACCTCTGCTGGATGGAGGTCCATGCCAGTGATACCACATCACTGGGAAGCCACTACTGAACATGCCATCAGTCTTCCTCAGGCCCTCAGTGGACCTCTGTGACACCTAGGCTTCTGTGACAATTAGGTTAAGCTTATTTGAATTAGAAAAAGACAAATGAGGCTTTATCCCAGAAAGTAGATGACTTCATTGAGAGTTAACTCACTGTGTAATATGACACATTTTAATAAACTAATGATCAGCATTTCACACAATGCATTTTCTTCAGAAAATCCAGAGCAAGGGGTGACTTCATTATTTCCGTAACAGTTCAGTATTGCAGATTGAAAACAACTGAACTTTCAGATGAAGCTGACTTCTACTTGATGGCAGGATTCAAGGTTTCTCAGATGTTAATACAGAGTCAAAAGCGGTGGATAAAACCTTGCAAATGGCTTGTGCTTGTTCCTGCATTACATGAAAAGATATAGTAAGAGCAGCATCCATCGATCTCTCCCTGAACTTAATTTGGCTCACAGAGGCTTAAACCTGACCCTCTTAACACCTCTCCTAAGCCTATAATCAACAGTTTTGGAAAGTCAACAGCACGTGCCTGCCTGTGTCAGTGGAATCCTGTGAGCTTCCCTGCACGTGGGCCCTTTCTGCCCTCCTTGAGAGAAGAGCAAACACAGCTACTTCAGCCTGAGAAGGCTGATCACGCAGTCCAGGACGGCAACAACATTTAGAAATGGAGGGAACCTTTAGCCCCTAGAGGATACACTTTTCCTTAGTTGCTTTGTTTGCCTTAAACCTTTAAATCCAGACACGAGTGCTGCCATTGGCCCTAATAGTTCACAGACCTGCACCAAGTCTGGCCAGCCGGCTGACCTCGGCTCCACTAAACTATCCCTAGGCCAGATACTCCATCTAGAATGGATTGTATTTCTCCAGCCTTCAAAAACAGTCTCTGGGTTTTGCGAGGATGAGACCAAAGTTTCAGAGTAAAAAAGTAACTAGTCTCACCAAGCTGTTGCACTGATACACCCACAGGCTGTATTCTTCATTGCTTGCATCTGTGGTCTTCAGAGCCAGTAAGCTTTTTCCTGCCCCCAGACCATCATCGTAACACACCATCCGGATTATTAAGTAGAGAGCATGCCTGTGCAAAACATCCTGCAGAAGTCAGGAAAGATTCCGACAGATCAGAACTTTTTTTTTTTTTGAGATGGAGTTTCGCTGTTGTTACCCAGACTGGAGTGCAATGGCACAATCTCGGCTCATCACAACCTCCGCCTTCTGGGTTCAAGGAATTCTCCTGCCTCAGCCTCCTGAGTAGCTGGGACTACAGGCGTGCACCACCATGCCCAGCTAATTTTTTTTGTATTTTTAGTAGAGACGGGGTTTCACCTTGTTGACCAGGATGGTCTCGAGCTCTTGACCTCATGATCCACCAGCCTTGGCCTCCCAAAGTGCTGGGATTATAGGTGTGAGCCACCACGCCCGGCCCAGAACTCTTAAATGTCTGTTAGTCCTATGACACACCGTCCCAGACAGTGAGGCTTTAAACAGCTTTCTCACCCCCAAGGATGTTCCCATACGCTGGTGTTGGGCCATCTCCCTTCAGGATCATGCCTTCCTACTTAAATTCCACAAGACAGGAGTGGAGGGATCTAAACTGACCATCCCAGTGTCTGTGCCCACCTTCCGAGCTGACACCTGCTCTTAATTGACCTTAGTCGAAAATGCATTTGGAGCCATCATTTTTGGGTTGGGGGTGGGGCTGGTTGCATGTGCCCTTCCAGCACAGGAGAGAAAGGAAGTCCCTACTCACCCTAAGAAATTGGTCAGGTTTCAGACCACCAGGAATGTTTACAAACCAATCACTGCAAACAGGAGTAGCCTTAATTAAAAGGGGGCTCTTAATGGCCTGAAATCCTATTATCCAAAACACATTTTTTCTTAATAAATTATATTACTTACATATTGATCTGATGTTGATACTTTTATGCCATACTTGGAAACTCCCATAATAAATTCTTCCTCCGGAGGAACAAAAGGCAACTTTCCATCTTGCTTTAAAGTAAAAATAAATTACATGATAAAGATTAAAAGTATGTTAGTCTTAAGTCTCACTAGTCACTTTTAGTATCTGGCCATCACAAGCCCAAACCCTTTAAAGAATGTGAGGCATCAGTCTTCCCAAGAGGAAGAAATCATCACCCAAGCAGGGAACAGTTAATGGCCCCAAGGAGGCAGGCAACAGAAGCTTCTCCAAGAAAAAGAGGAAATTCTCCAAAGAGCCGGTCAGCAGTGGACCTGAAGAGGCTGCTGGCAGTAACAGCAGCTCCAAGAAGAAAACGCTCCATAAAGCAGCCCAGGAAGATTAGAATGCAAATGGACATTCTCTGGGAGGCGAGGCGTACCACGGCCCAAGGTGACATTTCCCACCCTGTGTCCTGTTCCCCACTAAAAACAAATTCATACATACAAAAAAAATAATGTGGGGTACACACATTAGCCAGGAAACAGTTTCTCTCCACAGAGGCAGAAGAAACATTTCCCCCCATTTAAAAAAAGATTTTTAATTTTAAAAAAATTTTTGAGACAGAGTGTCACTCTGTCACCCAGGCTGTAGTACAGTGGCATGATCTCAGCTCATTGCAATGTCTGTCTCCTGGGTTCAAGCACATCCAGCTAGTTTTTGTATTTTCAGTAGAGATGGGTTTCACCATGTTGGCCAGTCTGGTCTTGAACTCCTGACCTCAAGTGATCCACCCACCACGGCCTCCCAAAGTGCTGGGATCACAGGCATAAGCCACTATGCCCAGCCGAGTTCCCCCTTAAATGGCAATTCAGATTACTGATGTTGTCCTTCAGATAGGTATCTTCCTTTACTTTCATAAAGACATGATACTTCATTTCTGGTTTTTTTGAGGGGACAATCTCACTTCTGTCACCCAGGCTGGAGTGCAGTGGTACAATGATGGTTCACTGCAACCTTGACCTCCTGGGCTCAAGGAATCCCCCGCCTCAGCCTTCTGAGTATGTGAGACTGCCTGTGCGCAACACCACACCCAGTTGATTTTTTAAAATGTTTTGCAGAGATGAGGGTCTTGCCCAAGCTGGTTTTTCATTTTGTTTTGTTTTGTTTGAGATGGAGTCTCACTGCATCACCCAGGGCTGCAGTGCAGTGGTGCAATCTTGGCTCACTACAACCTCTGCTTCCTGACTTGAAGTGAGCAGCTCAACCTTAGCCTCCCAGGCGCACGCCACCATACCCAGCTAATTTTTGTATTTTTAGTAGAAACAAGGTTTCACCATGTTGGCCAGGCTGGTCTTGATCTCCTGGCCTCAAGTGATCTGCCCACCTCAGCCTCCCAAAGTGCTGGGATTACAGGCATGAGCCACTGTGCTCAGCAATTTAAAAAATCTTTTGGAGAAACAAGGTCTCGCTGTGTTTCCCAGGCTGGTTTCAAACTCCTGGGTTCAAGTGATAGTCCCCCCTCCCCCCAGCCCTGCCTCCCAAAGTCTTGGAATTACAGGCGTGAGCCACCATGCCCTTCCACGTTTTATTTCATGTTCTTGTTTTCCATGACTTAAGAGTTTACACATTCTTAAAATTAACTAATACTCTGAACAGATGACAGAATCCTTCTATTGCAGTAGTATCCCTCCCTCTGTTAATGAGCACATAAAAAAGTAATTTCATTTTCTAGAAACTCCAGAAGCAATTTACTTTTTTTTCTTATTAGTGAATTAAGTCTTGGCTCATCTCCTTGCACCATCGGCAAGGATACAGATTTTATAACATTTCATGCTTATGTACCTTATACTTTTGATTTATCTTAATATTCATTCTTAATTTTCCTTCATGATGATTACTTTTTATCAAGAAGATAAAAAGTAACCTTTTTGAAACCCACCTCACCTCAATTCTTGTTGGAAACCTCGAATGGATAAACATATATGTTTGGTCGACATCATTATGAATAAGATTATTCAGACACGGAACTGGTCTGATAGTGGTATGTAAGGTTTAGCCAGATTATTTTAAAAGAACTTATGGAATATAACCAATCACTGCAATCAGTTCTTCATTTAAATAGGATCAATCAGCCCCATAAAAAAGTATTAATAGGCCAGGCACGGTGGCTCATGCCTGTAATCCCAGCACTTTGGGAAGCTGAGGCACGCGGATCACTTGAGGTCAGGAGTTTGCAACCAGCCTGGACAACATGGTGAAACCCTGTCTCTACTAAAATATAAAAAAATTAGCTGGGCGTGGCAGCTACTCAGGAGGCTGAGGCAGGAGAATCGCTTGAACCCGGGAGGCAGAGGTTGCAGTGAGCCAAGATCACGCCACTGCACTCCAGCCTGGACAACAAGAGCAAACCTCCATCTCAAAAAATAAAAAAAAGTACTGAGTTTGAAGGAAGGAGCAGGACCGGTGCTTCTCAGCGGCTCAGAGCTCACACACACCTGCAGTGGTGACTGGGGAGGGTGCTTCCGGTTCAGAGCAAGGAGAGTGGTACCCAGGGGACCCAAAGAGTGAGCACCTTGCCCCAAAGCCATGAGTTGGCTCCCCAGATTCTCATAACCAGAGAGTTATGGATTTTTTTTTTTTTACCTGAGCAACATCTATGTAGTTTATCAGGTCCAAGGGTCCTTCAAGACCTTCTCCCTCAGACAGTTTCAGTTTCTCAATGGCACCAACATATTTTATTCGAAATTCTGCACAGGTATCTGAATTACTGTTGCTTTGTCCTAAAGATGAAAGAAAAGTTTTAAGACTTCAGAAGAAATATTCGCATTACAGGGTATCCTCAGTCCCTTCCCAAATAAAAACCAGACTGTCATTAGAACACAACCACTAACTATAAATTTTGTAATACAAAATATTTTTATATAATGCGGTAGAACTTAAAATTTCACTAACCTTTTCCTCAGTGACTCATGGTATACTAAATACATGATTCAAAGGTCTCAATAATAGGTTAATCTTCACTTCAAAACAGTAAAGAAAAGGTCACTGCATAATGATTACCTTTATGATGAATGATAATTATTTTTGGTCCTTTCTCCCTCTTCACCATTTTTTCCCCCGTAGAGACAGGGTTTGACCTCCTTGCCCAGGCTGGTCTTGAACTCTTGAGCTCAAGTGATCCTCCTACCTCACCTCTGGAATTACACGCATGGGCCACTGCGCCTGGCCTACCATGTTAGCTCTCTTTCCTCGTTCAGGAAGCCTAGTCTTCCGCCACCATTCATAGAAAAGACCGCAGAGTTTTTCTTTTTAATGTCGACGGAACAGCAGGCAGGAAGTCTCTTAACATGACAGCAATGGTTGAAGAATTGTGTGTGTGCCACTAAATCTAGCCAATATAAAAATTACTACAAACAACTTATCATCTCAACCAGATTAAGGAACTACTATATGATTAGTTTTAAGTTATGTAATAAAAAAGATGCTCACATCTTTAATAATTGTAAAGGCATCTGGCAGTAAAGGCAATGGACAATGCTAGAACATTCTCTGCTACATATTCCCTAGTACGGGTTCCTGAAGGAGAAAGAGGAATTCAGACAAGACGAACATATTTCCAGTTAGTCACCAGCTACTTAGGGAGCTTGGGTTAGAAGCCACCTCTTGATTTCTTTTTTTTTTGAGATGGAGTCTCACACCACTGCCCAGGCTGGAGTGCAGTGGTTCAATTCTTGGCTCACTACAACCTCTGCCTCCGGGTTCAAGCGATTCTCCTGCCTCAGCCTCCTGAGTAGCTGGGACTACAAGTGTGTGCCACCACACCAGCTAATTTTTTGTATTTTTAGTAGAGACGGTTTCACCATGTTGGCCAAGCTGGTCTGGAACTCCTGACCTCAGGTGATCCACGACCTCGGCCTTCCAGAGTGCTGGGATTACAGGCGTGCACCACCATGCCTGGCCTATTTCTAAGGATCTACTAATTTGGGGTAACTGCAAAAATATCTGCAAAGGTCTGGGACAGACACTCCCCTTAATTATTTGTGTTCGTGGTGGTCGTGAGCTGGTGAATCTCTGGGTTCCCTGGGGTAAAGGAGTGGCTCCTTAGCCCTTTAATCACCAAGACATTTCTCCTATTCCCCATAAACATAGGTCCAAAAGAATTCAACTTCTGCCACCTAATTTATTTTATTTTTAATTTTTGTGGGTACAAAGTAGGTGTATGTATTTATTGCCATCCCAATGCTTAAAAAACTACTTTGAAACTTCCAGTTTGCCCATGTGCCTGTGCCAATCCCCAAAGGCTATGTGGTTTTCACCAAGCGCACCATAACCTCAACCCATGTCCCACCAAATCTTGGTCCACTTCTACACTCTCATCAGAAGTGGCAAAGAAGAGGAAGAAAGCCACAAATACTGAAGAACTCATTGTGCTACCCTAGGAAAACTACATGAATGCAATTGAAAAGCAGACAATAAATGATCTAACCCTTTTATGTACCTGAGCTTTTGGTGGAATCTGTGTCGAGGCTGGCCACAGTGCTGGATCGTGAAAGACCCCCAAGGCTAGAATCTACAGACTGAGGAACAGAAAAACAGGTAAGTGAAAAACCTACACAGAAGCAGCCGTGTCTTCTCTGAAGTCCTCTAAGCCATTCAAAGTATTATTATTATTTTTTTTTTTTTTGAGACGGAGTTTCGCTCTTGTTGCCCAGGCTGGAGTGCAATGGCGTGATCTCGGCTCACCGCAACCTCCGCCTCCTGGGTCCGGGCAATTCTCCTGCCTCAGCCTCCTGAGTAGCTGGGATTACAGGCATGTGCCACCATGCCCAGCTAGTTTTTTGTATTTTTAGTAGAGACGGGGTTTCACCATGTTGACCAGGATGGTCTCGATCTCTTGACCTTGTGATCCACCCGCCTCGGCCTCCCAAAGTGCTGGGATTACAGACTTGAGCCACCGCGCCCGGCCGCCATTCAAATTATTTGTCAGAATTGAGCTGACACATACAAAATCACATCAATTACTCAGGCATATCAACTGTGACCGATTTTTCTTAAGACAAACTCTGTAACAAACTTAAAAAAAAAAATCACATAGTCTCAACTGTTCGTTTGTCCCATGACATAACACTGGATAAATGCGGTGGCAATATTCTTCGTCCAAATTGAAGCCATTACCACCACCTTACAAGATGCCTTCTATGAAGATTCTTGTGAACATCTATGCCTTGCTTTCACATTAGTTCCACTGAACCCAGAACAAACCCTGTGCAGAAAGCCAGGCAAGGACCATTATCCCTGCTTAATAAGAGAGACAGATGCGTGGTGACTTCGCCAAGGTCACATCCAGTAAATGTCTCTGATCTCAAAACTAGCTCTCTAATCCTGGATCTGTGGTCCAGGGCTTCTGCAATTATTCTGACTAGTATCTGGCCTGCAGCAGGAATTCGGAGGCTTTCTGGCAGGGCAGAGTAGACTATTATGTGAACTGTCACAAAAAAATAACAACAAAAAACATGTGACCCAGGTCCCATGAGACCTCACCTCAAAATCTCTCCAGAGCCTGCGGTTCTGACCCACCTTAGCCTCCCAAAATGCTAGGATTACAGGTGTGAGTCACCGTGCCGGCGCTATGTTTATACTCTTTATTGAAAAATAAATTATCTGTCAGTCAACAAGAAATCACTTTATTCTTTGAGACAAAAGTCGCCAGTTTACTAGCTCCTCAAAGGTTTGTTTTGCATGAATTAAATCCATGCTTACCTTCCAACAGCATTCAGTCTCTGGTATACAGGCATCTGCCAATCTCACTCTTAAGTAAAGATAATTATGCACACCATAAACCCTAGAATTCAAGAGATCCAGCCCCCTAATGCCTGCAATTTCTATCATTTAAAATGTTTTTAAATCAGTGCTTATTTCAATGAGACCATCATAGATCATGTCCCATCCAGTTTAATGGATTTAAGAATTTTAGAAAACCTATCAAAATGATTAAAATTAAACCAACCACAGAATGCCCCTCTAGTGCAAAAAGTAAATGTTAAAACACACCTAGTTTGAAGGTTATCAGGAGGTCTGCCCATGGTCAGTATCCTCCATACAATACCAGCTAGAAGAAACAAAACTCTTTATGTTTCTGTTCCAAATTCCATTTCCCTACCTTGCTCTTAGTACTGATTTCACTGCTTTGGGAACTGCTACTACTGTGTCGTTTCTTGCCTTTGCGAAACATTTTTCACCACCATTGCTCATCCAGAGAAGATCTCCTGGAGAAACAAATATTGGTTACAGTTACACCGGGAAAAGCAACCTTTTCTTTTTTTTAAGACATAGCGTCTGACTCTTACCCAGGCTGAAGTGCAGCGGCACAAACATGGCTTTCTGCAGTCTTGACCTCCTGGGATCAAGCGATCCTCCCACCTCCACCTCCGCCTCCCTGAGTAGCTTGGACAACAGGCATGTGCCACCACACCCAGCTAATTTCATTTTTTGTAGCGACGGGATCTTGCCACGCTGGCCAGGCTGGTCTCAAACTCCTGCTCTCAGGTGATCGTCCTGCCTTGGCTTCTCAAAGTGCTGGGATTACAGCTGTGAGCCGCTGCGCCCAGCCAGGAAAAGCAGCTTTGATACTGGTTACATCAGGAATCCAACACTAAATCACTTTATGCATAATAGAAATAAAAATCATCTATTCCTTCCAGTTCCATGGATGTGTTCCTTTTCTATAAAACTTCTCCCTTGTATACTATTCCTTTTCATTCTTTCCTACTAAATTACAAAAAATTAACCCAATAAGCAAAAAACGCAGAAACCTTCTTGTCCTATACGGAGGTGTGAAAAGCACTTTTCTCAAAAGTATCGGACATGTCGCCTAGTTCTCAAAATTTCAAGTGTCTTACTTCTCTTCAATTGATTCAAGATTTTAGCAAAACATGCTGTGATACACTGGATGTTCAGCCAAGATACTGAGACCAATAACTATCTCAGCTTCACATTCTATACTTGGCAGGGCTAAGACAGACACGCCTCTCAGAAATGTGCATTTTTCTTGAAGTCTTGAAATGCTTTTAAGTAAAAGCTGACATAAAGACATTCCCAGACGCCAGCACTTCACCGCCCCACTGTACTAAGGGCAGGTAAGGAGACAACCTTGCTTCCCAGTGTCTGTGTTACATATTTCTTTTTTTTGCAATTAATAATTAATGCCTTGGAAATGTAAGAGTCATCCTTGCCAACTGTATAGGAGAGCATATATTATACTTAGCAAGTTTACCTCCATGGAGCTACACAGCTCACAGAACTCCCGGGAGCCTCACAATAACCTTGTGACGTATTCATTTGCTCTACTGATGCTTTTTAAGGACATACCATATGCCACACGCTCTGCAGGGCTCTAAGCTCTCCCTTTAGGGGCTCACAGAGGTGGGTTATAATTTGCCTTTTATAGATGAGGGAACTGTGACTTGCCTTTCAAGAGGATTTATGAGTAAGATAACCTGACCAATTTTTACCAAAAACTGTATTCTCCAGAGGGAGCAAGAAAATCTGCTTACTATAGAACTGAACACTATTTGACTGTCTTCAAAGGTCCCACATACAGCGGTCTGCACAGAGGGATTCCTGTCATTCTGACCTGGATGGTGCTTTTCAGAGGAACAATGTACCTGATGAAGGAAAAAGAACAAGTGACTCATGCGGTAGTCAGTGACAGCCCCTGCAGCAACCCAAAGACGCTCTGTATTTGGAGACCCCACGCTACGTCCACTTACTAGGGGGTGACCTTAGGCCACCTGCCCAAGTCTGACCCCTGAGCCCAAGCTTTTTAATCAGCCTCATCATCCCATTTATTTCTATATTTTTGCTTTATTTGTGGGGTAGCAGGAAAATCTGATTTATTCATTCATTCCTAGATAGTCAGTGAGCACCTGCCAGATGTCAAGGACGCATCAGTGAACGAAACAGACAAAGCCCCTGACCTCAGGGAACCCGTTCTTAGCCAGAGTAGACAGACCAACAAGAAAAACAAACATAACATTTATTATTAGGAAACAGTTGCTATGAGGGAAACTAACTCAAGTTAAGAAGATACAGACTGCTAGAAGGAAGGGGTGGGTATTTTAGAAAGATGTTTTAGATCTTCTTCTGAATGAAGTGAGGGCAGCCATAAATAGCCTGGAGGCAGGCAATGCTGTGCAGGTAGAGAGGTGGCCTGAGGGAACGATCAAGGGCGTCTGGCTAGAGTGGGAGCAGGAGGACAGCAATCGACCAGGACGAAGAGCCACAGAAGGCCAGGCAGGCCGTGGTAACAGTGGACTTTTTGAGTTTAACAGGAAGACTCTGAAGGCTTTTTATTTTATTTTTTGCTTATCTGCTGTGATCTTCTGGAATGGAATAGAGGCTTTATTTTTTTTTTAGACCAAGTCTTGCTCTGTCACCAAGCTATAGCATAGTGGCAAGATCCTGGCTCACTGCAACCTCCACCTCCCAGGTTCAAGCGATTCTCCTGCCTCAGCCTCCCAAGTAGTCGCAATTGCAGGCACACACCACCACACCCAGCTAATTTTTGTATTTTTAGTAGAGACAGGGTTTTGCCATGTTGGCCAGGATGGTCTTGATCTCCTGACCTCATGATCTGCCAGCCTCAGCCTCCCAAAGTGCTGGGATTACAGGCATGAGCCACCACGCCTAGCCTAGCCACCATGCATGGAGGCTTTTAAAAAGCAGTTTAGTGACACAATCAGGTATCTTCTGTTTTCTAAACAATGACCCTGGCTGCCAGGTAGGGAACTAACTCCAAAGGATAAGAGTAAAAATAGAGCGATGAGCTGGAAGACTACTGCTGATGATTATTGCAAAGGAGAACCTTACCAGCACAGTGGGAGGTTCTTGTCAGTGGGAGGTGGCAGGAGAGCCTTATTCCAAGGTCTGTACAAAACTAGGTTAACCTAGCAGCATAAGAACCATGTTAATGGCTCTGACAGGTTAAAATGTTGGTGTATAGCATATTTAAGCATCTTATACTTAAGTATATACAAATACATATTTATATATAGGTAACAATTTTAAATATGATTTAAAATTTAAATCAAAACTTATTTTAAAAACAAAATGTGATTCCACTGTTAGTGGAATCCCAAAGCATCTCCTTAAATCCCTTAACACTGAAGTGGCTGGAAAATCATGACACGCAATGCCTTTGCAACTCCTTAGGGCTTTCTTCCCATCTTCAATCCAGGCGCTTAGGGAAAAGCAGCTTTTATTAATGTCTTTGCTACCTGCTGCAATCTTGATGCATGTTCTTAAGGAAATCATTCTTGCCTCAAAATTATTCATGCATCAAAATGAGGCCAATGATCCTGATTGGCACTTGGATGCTCAGCAGGCTCATCAAATGCAAAGATGTCTCATCCTCCCCTCCAGATCTGCCCCTCTCCTCCCATCTCCTCTGCCTGTCAGGAAATTTTATTATTGCTGGGGAAACCAGGAAATTATGAACTCCTTGCTGTCCTTCAGGCCCCACATCCAATCTGGCACCAAGAACTACTGAAGACCCCACCTGAAGAGCTCTCTGAGCCAGCTCTCCACCAGGGCCCCCCATGTCACTATAGACCATGGGCATATATACTATCATTTTAGAATCTGATGAATATGATGGATCCTCACCCTATAAAAATGTGAATGCATACCAAGTTTGGCATGCAATTTAAGGAATTCACAAACCTGAGGATATTTCATGGATAAGGGACCTTGTCCTACTGGATTCCCTACCACTTTAAATCTACCACCACACTGAAGCCAAAACGATTACAATGATTTCTCTCAAACATAGATCTGGTGCCTCCAGCCTGCTGACAATCTTTCACTGGTTCTCCAAAGTCAAAGAAAGTCAATGTTCTTCAGCAGGACACGCCAGGTCCTCCAGGACCCAGCTCCTAACCACCTTTCCACCTTCCATCCTCCAAAACCCGGGTACCGTTAAGTGATCTCGGCAAGGCAAAGCTGCTCGTGGTTCTCAGCGCCCTGCTCCACGTGCCCCTGATTTGCCGAGCCCGGGACGTCCTTCACCTTTCAGTCGCTCGGCTACCTCTTACCTTTCAAGGTCCCTTTCAGGCTGCAGGCCTTCCTGGGACCCAAGCCTGAGCTAAGGGACCCACAGCTTGAGTGCATCCCCTGATCACAGCGCCACGATCCGCTGTGGCCTCTGATCTCACTCTCCCAGCTGCACCTGGTCAAAGGCGGAGATCGGTGATTCCTCTCTGCGCAGGCAGAGCATCTGGCAGAGACGCACTTACTGAAGCCGAGAACTTTCTGGGGAGGTGACACCCCAACAGCAATTCCCCTGTACCAAGCGCCTACCACGTGTCATGCACGGTGCTAGGTGCACATATCCCTCTCACCCTTACTGACCAGCAAGGCTCCAGGGTAACAGCCCCTTTCCAACGAGGATGCCAAAGTGCCCAAAGAGTCAGTGACCTGCCCAGGGTCACCAGGGTAAGGATGGATGGGGCCAAGCTCTGGGCCTAGGGAAAGCCGGCTCCAAAGTTCCTCCCAGACGCCGGCCTGCTTAGCACCTGTCTGTCACCATGATGGAGCAACGGCCACGTGCCGGGTGCGGAGGATGTGACAGCAAAGGGGGCAGACAACCCCGACTCTGCTCAGCTGGAGGCGGCCGAAGCCGGGCAGAGGAAGAGGCAGGGAAACGGCCCGCGCTGCCCGCTTTGCCTCCCCTCCGGGCCGACAGCGGCTCGGGAAGCTGCGGTCCACGACGCCGACTACCGACCCGCGGGTCCAGGCTCCTCACCCGCGCCCAGACAGCGCGGCCCCGCCCGGAACCAAGCCCGTGCCCCGCATCTCTCCTCCGCCCTCCCCGCGGCCCCACCCATCCGTCCCTGCGATCTGCGCCGCTCTCAGGGCCGTGTTCCCGCCAGGCCTCCGCGAGCTCGGCCCCAGGAGGGACGAGGGCCGGGCGCTCACCTAGCGGCCTCGGGCTCATCCCCGGGCTGCGGACTTCGGGGTCCGAGTTGGAGCGCCGCAACCTTCGGCGCCCGGGCAGCTACTCCCGTTCTCGCTCCAGCGCCAGCTTTTCCAGCGCTCTTGCCCACGTCCACCGGGCCCCGCCTCCGAAACTATGCGCAGGCGCAGTCCTGACGTCCCGCCCCCGGCTCCCGGACCACGAGTAGTGGGAAGCCTCGCGAGCCGCGTACCCCGGCCGGAAGCCGAGGGGAGGAGTCTAATGCCGCGGGCTCCGGAGTGACGGAAGTTCTGATCTTGGTGGATGGGGTTCTTCCTTCTTAATTTGGCCGTGGCTGTGCTTTTGATTTAAGAACACCCCGGCGACTGTTCCTCACCCCTACTTCGCCCTCACACTTTTGGGATGTCTGCGATTCCTGCTGAGGAGAGCGACCAGCTGCTGATCCGACCCCTGTAAGGGACCAGCGAGAGAGGGAATGAAGCGACGGGCTGTGAGGGGCACGAGGGGTAACCGGAGACTTTGGCCTCCTCCGTCGCCCCCGCTCCCACCTACCCCGGCAGCCGGCCCTTGGTCCGCGCTTGCAGGCCAGGCTTCTCAGGCTCCAGGGGTTGGAGAACCATTGATCGGAAGGAGCCTGCTAGAGTGAACGGGATTTTGCTTGTTGTTCAGTTTCAGGGCGGGGTATGTTGGAGTCGGAGGAAAAAAAAGTTTAGAGGGCCACGGGTCGCTTTCGTACACGCTAAAAATGTTGTCATTTAGCACTAGCACGGATCTCTGCGCGTCAGGGCAAGCCGTGAGGGAGCCGGTGACGCTGATGGCGGAGAGGATGAGAGGAGGACCTGAATGAGGCTACAGCGGTGCAAGGAAGAACTAAGTCTGTTTCTTAACACCAGGGCTTGACATGTGCCCGGTTATTAGGGTCTTGCTGTGAGTTTCGATCTTCTCAGCTCAGGCGCTAGTAGAATAAGAAAGGTGTAAAGCTGAAGAGGACAGGAGAAAGTGCAGGGGGCGTTAGGGACAAAAACTCAGCTCTCGACTGTCCATAAGGAGAGTGGCCTTTCAGTGGACATGGCCTTCATCAGTCTGGAATGCTGCTGAAGGGGAGATGCAAATGTAGAGAACTTGAATTCCTACAGATGAGCATTTCGAATCCACAGCATGTTTATTGTTAGATATTAGTTACCACAACATGAATATACATTTTACAAAAGGTAGAAAGTATCTTCTTTACACATTCATTCAGTAAGGCTTCACTGAGCACCTGATTGAGTCTGTTTCCTTCTGCTTAACACCTGTCATCCCTTCCTGTGATGAGCAAACACTAAGTGTCAGGCACCACACATGGGGATACAGATGCAACAGAGGGCCCTGTTAATTGCTGTCGCCCTTTTGAAGAGAATTACAGTGCACAACGGGAAGTATTGGAGAGCTACTTTGGAATAATAGGAGACCATTACTTTGAAGTCAAACCTGAAATTCATTATCTACTTGACTACTTACTAGGACAGCAACCTCACTCGTTTTCTTTTATGGAAGTAAGAGAAAAATCTGAAGAGTAAGGATCGTGGTAGATGCTTTTAATTAACAGCTAATCTAAGAGCTAAGGTAGACACTGCACTGAGCACTGTGAAAGTATGGAAAACGGATTTCTGACAGATTGAGGGGAAAAGGATACCTCATGCATCCTGAAAACTGTGATGCTTGAGTCCTAAAGAATGAGGAGGAGTTAAAGCGTGGGGGCCAGGATGTTCTAGGCAGTGGAAGTGGCACATATGGAAGTGAGAGTGGGCCGGGCACGGTGGCTCATGCCTGTAATCCCAGCACTTTGGGAGTCTGAGGCGGGTGAATCACCTGAGGTCAGGAGTTCGAGACCAGCCTGACCAATATGGAGAACCCAGTCTCTGCTAAAAATACAAAATTATGCATGGTGGTGCATGCCTGTAATCCCAGCTACTTGAGAGGCTGTGGCAAGAGAAACTTTGAACCTGGGGGGCGGAAGTTGTGGTGAGCGGAGCTCCCACCATTGCACTCCAGCCTGGGCAACCAGAGTGAAACTCCATCTCAACAAAAAAAAAAAGAAAAGAAAGTGAGAGTGGTCACAACTTGTGACCAGATCCTTCATTGCTGTAGCTGAAGCGTTAGCAGATGAGGTGACAGGTAGTCAAGGCTCAGTTTAGGAAGCACCTCATATACATAGTAAGGAGTTTGTACCTTTATCAAGTCAGTTAAAGGAAGCCAACAAAGGATATTAAGCAAGCATGGATATTGTGGGAATTATGTTTTAGGAAAATCACTCCTGGCAGCAGTGTAGGTATTAGTTGGCACAACATGAGTATACATTAAGATGAATAAAAGGATGGATTGAGTAGAGCAGATCCGTAAGATATGATTGAAAGATTTAAGTCCAAGTGATGAGAGCCTATAGTGAGTGAAATGAGTGGCCATGGTTGGAAAGAAATGAGTGAGAGAGTGCACAAATGAAATCTCCAGGATTTCGTGGCTGATCAGGTGTATCTGAAAGGATGATTGTTGGGAGGGAAGGCCAGGCAGAGAGGATGTTATGATGACTCAGATTCCTAGGTCTAGCAGTTGAGAAAGAGTGCTATTCACTCAAGTAGTATAAGAGATGGGGCAACTCGTAAATTTGGGAGTTCGGTTGTTTTGTAACAACTTTACTGAGATATAAGTTACATACCATACAACTAATTTAAAGACTATAATTCATTCAGTCCTCCTTAACATAGTTAAACAACCATCACTTCTCTAATTCCAAAAGAAATTTTATATTTATTAGCAGTCATAGACAGTCCCCACTACCTCTCCAGGCCTAAGTAACCACTAATCTACTTCTGTATCAACTTGTCTATTCTGGACATTTCATGTAAGTGCGACCATATAATACATGGTCTTTTGTCTCTGGCATCTTTCATTTAGCGTAATATTTCCAAGGTCCATAATTTAGGAGTTTTAGTCATTCAATAAGTATTTTTTGTGATTTACTGCACGTCAGGTGCCATAGCAACAGCAGTGAATACGATAGACAACGCCTATGTTCTTAGAAGGCTTTCATTTAGTAGCCTGAAACAAGCCATGAGCAGACACAGTAACTTCATGTAGTTGTAAGTATTAAGATGACATGACGCTGGGTTGTGGCTTGCTGTGAAGGGCGAATTAGATGAGATAGTCAAGGGAGAGTATCTGAGAAGGTGACATTGGAACTGAGACTCAAATGATACAAAGGAACCAATCATGTCAATATCTGAAGACAGAGCATTCCAGGAAGAAAGTGGAGCAAGTACAGGGCACGTGGTGAAAACTAGTTTGGCATATTGAATATGAAGTCCCTGGGAGAGATTCTAGTAGAGATACTTAGTGTCACATGTATATATTAAAGGTCTAGAATTCAGAAAAACAATCTGGGTTACAAATACAGGCTTGGAAGTCCTTAGCGAATAAGAAAGATGAGAATGAAGATTGAGAGGTGGACCAAGGAGAGAACCCTTGGAATATCAACATTTAAAGGGTAGTCAGAGGTGGCTGAATATGTGAAGGAAACAGGAAAACCAGCAAGACAGGATGAGACTATTAGGTCAAACAAGCCAAGGGAGAGGTGCTTGAGGAAGGAGCAAGCACTCCTCCTTAGGAGTGACAAGGGCTGCCTAGAGAACAAGACAGGGGCTCACACCTATAGTTCCAGCTACTCTGGAGGCTGAGGCAAGAGGATCACTTGCGCCCAGGGGTTGGAGGCCAGACTGGGCAACATCGGGGAACCTTGTCTCTCAAAAAAAAAAAAAAGACTGAAATGACTACAGCAAGGACAGTTTCAGAAGGTGATTGGTAAAAGCCAGAGGATGGTAAATTGAAGAGTGAGTGGAAGGTGAGGATGTCCAGGTGGAAGGTCCACTGCCCTAGGACACAGGTGGGGAAAGAATAAAGTGGGAACTGAAGGAGATTAGACTCAGGATTTTAATGTGGCATGCACATGGCTGTAGTGTGTTTAAATTTGGATGGTAAAGAGCAGACAGTGAGGGAAGTGTCAGTGACACAGCAGTGTTCAGTTCCTCAGAAGGAGGGAGGAAGTACGTAGAGTAGAATGGTGAAAGATGTGCCATAGAAAGAGAGGTCTGTCTATAGAGGAGAAATGGAAGGAAACAGGTGTGAGCAGGTTCTTGGTACATGAAGTTGGGGAAATTTACAAACGGACTGTTTATTTTTTTGATGCAGAAGATGCCCATGCCTCAAGTGAAGAAGAGGATAGAGGGTTGGGAGATTTGGGAAAGGGGAGAAGGTTTGAAAATACTTGCTATGGAAACAAAACAGAGAACACAGCCAGGCAACATTGAGCGCCAGTTAAAGTGGAAGGTCGCTATTCATAATAATTAAAAATAAAAAATATTAAAAGTGGAAGGCCAGGAATTTATAGCAGCTCTTGTCTGCAGTTGTTTGATATTCTTTATCAATACCAGCTTGAAGGTAGGATCTCAGTTTGGGGATAGATCCATTTCGTGTCCATCTCCTGGTAGACTGAGTTCCTTGTGGTCTGGGTCCATGTATTAGGCGTTTCCATGTCCTAGGCACTTAATACAGTGCTTGGCAAATAGAAGCTGCTTAATATGGCCAAGCACAGTGGTTCACACCTGTAATCCCAGGACTTTGGGAGGCCGAGGCGGGCGGATCACCTGAGATCAGGAGTTCGAGACCAGCCTGACCAACATGGAGAAACCTCATCTGTACTAAAAATATATAACTAGCCAGGTGTGTTGGTACATGCCTGTAATCCCAGCTATTGGGGAGGCTAAGACAGGAGAATCGCTTGAACCCGGGTGGCGGAGGTTGCAGTGAGCCAAGATCACACCATTGCACTCCAGCCTGGGCAACAAGAATGAAACTCCATCTCAAAGAAAAGAGAAACTGCTTAATGTTGAGTGAGTGAGTGAATTGTGAGCTAAAGTGATTGGGAAAAGGCATCAAAGAAGGTGAGGGATTTGGAAGGTGAGGTTTAACTTCAAGTGTGCCTTGTGAACATTGCAAATTATGGCTGAAAGTATTTAAGAAGAAACAAAAATTATTTAAGTACTTGGTATAAAATATGCTGAAGTAACAGAAGGTAGAAGAAAAAGGGATTGAAATTCACAGTGTGAATAAGTATTTAAGCCATTTGGCAAATACACATTATGATCCTAAAGAAGATGGCAATGTTGAAATGCTTATGGCTTTATAAGTGCTGATTCTAAAAGTATTATTACATAATCTGCATAACTGCTAGTTTACATTTTAAATACATCATGATTTAATCCTAAAATTCAGAAGACTGATTTTAAATCAAGCCCAAAGCTTTGGGCTTCTTGGGTCTGTACTGCTTTTTCTCTCAATTTTAACAACTGCAAGCTCCCTGGACTCCCAAAGGCCACTTTTCATCTTTTCCGGTGGACACTGTTCTTCTCTGTCTTTGTGATTTTCTAGAACTCTCTCACGCCTTCAAATTTTTCACAGTGAGATGCTGTCATCAGATGGGATATAATGTAAGTTGTAAAAAGTGTAGGTTTATTGGACTTGGTTTTGATTTTTTTATAATTCTTTTTTTTTCTCCCCTTGAATGTTTACAGTGGAGCTGGGCAAGAAGTAGGAAGATCATGTATTATTCTCGAGTTCAAAGGAAGAAAAATAATGGTAATTACTATTTTTGTACTCAGTTGACTAGTACGGCTCTGTCTGAATTGGGCGTTAGTCTTTTCTAGTAGGCTATTATCTTTTTAGCTCCCAGAAAAATGTTATAGTGCATGTAATCTATGCTGCATAGGGTTAATGAGAAAAACTAATACACACTTCTACTTAGTGATTTGACAAAACATTAAGTTGATTAAGAAGATGTATTCTAGGAGGCTGAGGCAGGAGAATTGCTTGAACCCAGGAGGCGGAGGTTGCGGTGAGCTGAGATCATGCCATTGCACTCCAGTCTGGGTAACAACAGCAAAACTCTGTCTCAAAAAAAAAAAGAAAAAAAGAGAGAGAAGAAGATATATTCTATGATTGTAAAATTGTCAGCTAGATCTGTTGAACTATTATTTCTTCACATTCCCTCTTCCACTCCTGGAGGGTTGAGCCAACCTGTCCCACCCCCAGTAGAAGATTCCAAGGACCCAGTCACCCTGAACATATTCAGAGCTCTAGCCACCTCCAGCATGTGGGGGTGAAGCCTTGGTGTAGAAGGTTAGATCCCCGAGTCCCATTGGGGCTGCTGGCCTTGGACAAGTTACTCTGCTTCTCTAAGCCTGAAAGGTAGATGGAGTAGAGGAGGTGGTTTCTAAGCTACTCATTAGAAAATCAGTTCTGTCTCACGTTCCTTTGAGTCCTCTTTCTTCTCAGCTCCTCCCAATCTGAAAAGAACATGTATATGTCAGCCAGAGGCATCTTTTTATTCATCTGTTGTGTTAATTTGGTAGTAACGCCATATAAAATAAGTAATTTTAAGGACTGAGTCTTAAGAATTTGTTCCCTAATGCCTTAAAATAAGTTAAATGATCCTGATCAGGTAACTTTCCTATTTCTAATTATTATATTCTCACAAGAGTCATCTGGTAGTAGTGAAACTATAAACTTTTTAACTTTTAATCTTCCAATATCGAAGTTTTTGAAAAGGTTAATTCATTGTTAGAATGACGACCAAAAGTAGCTGTAAAGAAGCTGTTTTGTACTTTGCATCCTGTGACCCTAAATGTGAGCTATATTTTAAATTTGTTGGGAAGTTAGAACTGTTAATGGCATATTTGCCACATTTGATAAGAATCATGTTCCAAGTTCTGTGCCCAGAGTCCATCTTGAGTATATGGGTGATGGGTCTATAATCAGTGTCCATTTGCTGAATGAATTCTATGTGCAGGAGAGTGTGATCTCTTTTCCTATCTCTTTCAGCTAGATTGTGGGATCCACCCTGGCCTAGAAGGAATGGATGCTCTTCCTTATATTGATTTAATTGACCCAGCTGAGATTGATCTCCTGTTAATTAGTCAGTAAGTTTTTTCCTTTATTAACGATACTGTTTTTCACCGACGTTTACTGTCAAGATCCTTCTTTACCAGATTTTGAGATTTTGGTTTGTTAAAAGAGTGTTTTTTGCTAGGAAGCATATTGCAGACAGCTCAGTCTAAACTAACACTCCAAAATGTCATTACAGGCTAGAGAAATTTACTGTGAAAAACTTACCTACCTCTAAATGTAAGTCCAGTGAGTACCTGGGAAAGAGATAGTACATATCTTGAGTCATTGTAAAACTTGAGACTAAGGAAGCCCTTTTCCAGGATATCTCCTTGAGGTCACTGTTTTGTCACATTCTGCTATAAGAATGCCATTTCAACTTTACTGAAACTATTTTTAAATAGAGTTTATATAGGTTTGGGATATTCTTCCTTCCTAATTATTCACTAATAAAGTTTTTTGCTGTTTAAAAGTGATACTTTAAAAATCTTTCTTCCATATTAGAACTGTATGCATTACTTCTTCCTTCTACATTTACCAACTCTTGGTTTTCTGAAAGTGTCAGTAAATAGTTCTTTGTATAGAACTTGTTTTATAAGCAACAGTTTCATTACATGGTATCTGATGGATAATTTTAAGAATTAATGCAGCGTCTTTCTTTTTAAGTTTCCATTTGGATCATTGTGGAGCTCTGCCCTGGTTTCTACAGAAGACAAGCTTCAAAGGAAGAACGTTTATGACTCATGCCACAAAAGCTATTTATAGATGGCTTCTTTCCGATTATGTCAAAGTCAGGTAAATTACTTCATCAGATCACGCATCTAATAATGGCTCCGTGCGGCACGTGTGGTTCCAGATATGGACCATTTTGTGGGTTTTTTTTTTCCCTGAAAGAACATTTGGATAGCTTCAGTATTTTGTGTTTTAAAATGAGGTGCTCTCTTTTCATGTATAAGGATATCAGTAATTTAATCATTCAGTAACAAGGTCATTGAAACCTATTGTATTTCTAGCACCTTCCTGACCTTGAAGGTTTTTTTTTTGAGACAGGGTCTTGCTGTCTTCCACGCTGGAGTACAGTGGTGCTATCACAGCTCACTGCAGCCTCAACCACCTGGGCTCAAGCAGTCCTTCTACCTCCTCAGCCTCCTGAGCAGCTGAGGCTACAGGTGTGTGCCACCACGTCCAGCTAATTTTTGTATTTCTAGTACAGATGGGGTTTCACCATGTTGGTCAGGCCGGTCTCAAACTCCTGACATCAAGTGATCCATCCACCTTGGCCTTCCAAAGTGCTGGGATTACACTGCGCCTGGCCAGGAGATAAATATATTTAATCTTCATACCAACTCATGATGTAGGTTCTATTGTAAATTCCATTTTATAGATGATGAAACAGGCACAGCAAGGTTAAATTATTTGCCTAAAATAGTCACAGTAAGAGACAGAGCTAAGATTTGAACCCAAACAATCTGACTCCAGAGTCAGTGTCCTTAACCACTGTTCTCTTTTGCTTTTTTATAAGTACCTTAACATAACTTTCAGGAGAAAGGTTGTGCTAGACTTTGTAGAAAAATCTTTTCTCATCCCAGTGTGAGAAATACCTGCCATGGTACAATGTATGTGAGTGTGTTATATCTTTCAGGAGTGTTGGGGCAGGAAGAAAGTCTGAGAAATACTATGCTAAAGAGTATTTTGCCTTAATTTACTGTAAGTTGAGAATACATTGAGCTTAGTGTCTTAATTTCCTACGTGGTTTGTTTAAAATAAAGTTTTGTAGCTATACACACAATAGAGTAAAAACACAAAATATCTGAAATATTTTAAATTGCATAATTTGTAAAGCATATTTTTCAGAGATGTCTTCGTGTATGTGTTATCCACAGTTTCTTTGTGTTCAAAGGCTTTTTTAAAACTCTGACTGTTAATTGTTTTTGTGGTCATCTTTCAAAATGTAGTAACATATCGGCAGACGACATGCTGTATACTGAGACAGATTTGGAAGAAAGCATGGACAAAATTGAAACTATCAACTTTCATGAAGTTAAGGAAGTTGCAGGAATCAAGTTTTGGTGTTATCATGCAGGCCACGTCCTGGGAGCCGCCATGTTCATGATTGAGATCGCAGGCGTGAAGGTACCCATCGGCTCCCGCGCTTTTCTCCCCAGAGAAATCAGTGCACAGCTTTGTGCCACCAAGTAGTATTAAAAAAAATTCCCCAAGACTTGCAAAGTGTCAGAACACTGAAACATAAGATAAAAATACAGTTGACACTTTCTCCTTTTAAATGTAGTTCCTACCTCCATTAACAATACTTTCTTTATCAATTCAGAGAAAAAAATGTTTTAAAGACTGAGAAAAGAGTAAAACATCTCAAAAAGTAAGTTCCCTCACACCATGGGATTCAATGTCCTTTAGGAAACTGGTTAGGGAAGAGGCATCTCTGTGGCTGCATCCACTGAAAATTGAAACACCGTTGGGTGTCCATGTCATCCCCTGAGCCCCAGCCAGTGTCTTAGGATTCAGATAAGCCCCTAAGCAGGTGGACTTTTAGAGTGAAAGGGGTTAATTAGAAAAGATCTTGGCCGGTCGCGGTGGCTCAAGCCTGTAATCCCAGCACTTTGGGAGGCCAAGGTGGGTGGATCACGAGGTCAAGAGATCGAGACCATCCTGGTCAACATGGTGAAACCCCATCTCTACTAAAAATATTTAAAAAATTAGCTGGGTATGGTGGCGTGTGCCTGTAATCCCAGCTACTCAGGAGACTGAGGCAGGAGAATTGCCTGAACCCAGGAGGCGGAGGATGCAGTGAGCCGAGATCGCGCCATTGCACTCCAGCCTGGGTAACAAGAGCAAAACTCCGTCTGAAAAAAAAAAAAGAAAAGATCTTTGGGGAATCCTTAAACTTCTAAAAACGTGGGTCGACTACTAGCTTTCTAAACTCTAGAGTGGCAGCTTTGAACTCTGGCTGCACATAAGAATCACTTAGGGAGCTGCTGAAAAATAACTAATCAAAACCTGGAGGTGTAGCTTGGCCTTTTCCTTTTTGAGTTTTCTAGGTGATTCTAATGTGCAGCCAGAGTTGAGAACCAATGCTGTAGTGTAACATTGTCCTAAATTTTTCACAGCTGTTCATACATTTGAAACTTTTAGACATTGAATTGTAAAATATATCACTAAATTACTTACGCTTGCTGTTTGCTCCAGGGCACACAAAAATAGCAGAAATGCAGATTTGAGTTCTCTTGGAATTTGATGCAGACCCTCTTATGATTTTATTCTGGTTTTAGACCATGTATCTCAGTGCACTCCTTCCCTTATCAGCATGAGCTTTTTCTCCAAGAAGCTCAGAGCACTTGCCAAGCGGATTAATGTTATATAGGTTATCTTTGTGAGAGGATGCTGGGAATAGATTATTCCCATTTATTAGATGAAATCATTGAAGCACTGGACCGTTTACTGACTAAGCGACTGGACACAAGAACTGCATGGAAATTTCATCAGTTTTAGACTTTTAAAAAAATGTACCTGCACTTTTGGATTTCGTGAGTTTAATCTATTCACTAGCAAAATGAAGCCTTCCTCAAACCCTGACCTTCTGGCTTTGTCTCCCCTGCCCCACAGCTTTTATACACAGGTGATTTCTCAAGACAAGAAGATAGGCACTTAATGGCAGCTGAAATTCCTAATATTAAGCCTGATATTCTTATCATCGTAAGTATTAATGTACTATATTGTGATTAATGTAATGTAAGCAGCCTTTTTTTTTTTGGAAAATAATATTGTGATCTCACTTTCATATAAACTTATCTTTTTTTAATATAAGAAAATTGGTGGTCAGGCGCTGTGGCTCACACCTATAATCCCAACGCTTTGGGAGACCAATGTGGGTAGATCACTTGAAGACAGGAGTTAGAGACCAGCTTGGCCAACACGATGAAACCCTGTCTCTACTAAAAAAGAATAAAATAAAAATACAAAAATTAGCTGGGTGTGGTGGTGCACGCCTATAGTACCAGATACTAGGGAGGCTGAGGCACAAGAATCACTTGAACCTGGAAGGTGGGGGCTGCAGTGAGCCGAGATCATGCCATTGCACTCCAGCCTAGGCTACAGAGCAAGACTCAGTCTCAAAAAAAAAAAAAAAAAAAAAAAAAAAAACTGGGGCAGATGCTTTTTGTACTGCAGCTTCACTTTCTTGCTGTTAAATGCATTCACTCTAGTCTCATATCAGAGACGCCAGGCTGTCTCTGGGCAGGATCTTCTTTACTGGGTATGCCCTCTCCCTGTGTCCAAAATATGTTTTACTAGGTGAGACTTTGTAGAAGAACATCTTATGGGTCGTTTTGGAAATGGTGCGACCTCACTGCTTTGCTGTGGTGACTCCTCAGGCCCTGAGCCCGTGCTCACTTGTTTTGTTTATCTTTGAATGCGCTGTCTGCCCACTAGATTGCAAGTCGAAGGGGAGCAAAAAATGAACTGTGTACAGGAGCTCCCCTGGGGCAGCTTGGTGTGTGTGTTGCTGACCGTAGAGTCGAGTTGGGAGAGAACTCTTGCAGGCCTTAGGGATGTATAAGAACATCAGGTGCACGTGGTTCAAGGAGAAAGAGCTGTTTTTCCTCCACCACCTACTGCATCCCCCAGCTGCCCAGGCATGCAGGCCAGTACATCTGCCCATAGGCAACATGTGAGCAGATTCGGCTCTGCCCCTGCTGTGCCCAGCATATAAACTGACCTTCATTTAAGGGAAGATGGGTTTTTTTGAACCCTCAGAAAAAGTAGTTATTTTCATAGTACCATGCTTTAAAGCAGTGCTTCATATTTTAATGTGCTTATAAATCATCTGGTGATATTGCTGAGGTACAAATTCTGATTCAGTAAGTCTGGGCTGGGGTCTGAGATTCTGTACTTCTTGTAAGCTCCCAAGGGATGTCAATGCTTCTGGTCAGTGAATCACACTAGTAAGACTTTAAGGATATTCTTAAACAGAAGTATAAGAAGCAACATCTATTTCTTTTCTATTTTAAAAGACTTGACTTATCAGAGATGGGAGAAATAACCTTTTTCTTCCTAATAGAAAGCAAATGGTAAAAATACAAATAAATAAAAATAAAAGACATGGAAAGAAGATACAGCTTTGGACTGTTTCCTGATTCCATTTTCTGAAAAGTTCTTATTTAGATTTGAATTCTAGCATTCTTTTTTTTTGAAATGGAGTCTGGCTCTGTTGCTCAGGCTGGAGTGCAGTGGCGTAATCTCAGCTCACTGCAACCTCCGCCTCCCAAGTTTAAGTGATTCTCCTGCCTCAACCTCTCGAGTAGCTGGGATTACAGGTGCCCACTACCATGCCTGGCTAATTTTCGTATTTTTAGTAGAGACGTGTTGGTTAGGCTGGACTCCTGACCTCAGGTGATTTGCCTGCCTTAGCCTCCCAAAATGCTGGGATTACAGGTGTGAGCCACCACACCTGGCCTTTTGTTGTTGTTGTTGTTAATTTATTTTGAGATAGAGTCTGCTTTGTTGCCCAGGCTGGAGTGCAATGGTGTGACCTTGGCTCACTGCCATCTCCACCTCCTGGGTTCAAGTAATTCTCCTTCCTCAGCCTCTAGAGTAGCTGGGATTACCGGTGCCCACCACAATGCCCAGCTAATTTTTGTATTTTTATTAGCATGTTGGCCAGGCTGGTCTCGAGCTCCTGACCTCAGGTGATCCGCCCACCTTGGCTTGCCAAAGTGCTGAGATTACAGGTGTGCGCCACTGTACGGGGCCTGAACTCTAGCATTCCTGCATGCTCTTCCCAATGACTATTATGACCACACATGTTTGAGTAAACAGCATGCTAATTGAGAAGTGAATTGTTAAGCCCCTCAGCATTTCATTGATGTATAACTTTTGAATTCTTTGGGGATCATCTGTCTTAGTCTCATTCTTCTAATGTGTTATTTAGGAATCTACTTATGGGACCCATATCCATGAGAAACGTGAAGAGCGAGAAGCAAGATTCTGTAACACTGTCCATGATATCGTAAACAGAGGAGGCAGGGGTCTCATTCCTGTCTTTGCTCTTGGAAGGGCTCAGGAGCTGCTCTTGATTCTGGGTATGCCATTTCTTTTCTATTTGGAAGATGATCAAAATCTTTTGTCATTTTATCAAGATAATAATGTGGTCTTGGATGAGTCATTCCCCTGCTCTGGGCTTCAGTTTTCTTCATTTAAAAATAGGGATTTGGATCTAGGAAGAGCCCAGGAAAACGGCAACTCTCATGCACTGCTGCTGGGAATGTAAACTGGTGCCCCCTTCTGGTTGCCATCAGAAGTCTTAAAATATGTGTACCCTGAGCCAGCAGTTCCACTTCCGGGAAATAAATGAGATTTATAGAAAATTTTGTCAGGAAAGGTATTCATCATTTAAGTATTTTCAAAGAAATATGTCAGTAAATATAACATTGTGGGAAAAATTGTATTACAGATGAGTAATTACATACTTCCACATAGTATATTAAGTCAACCAAAAAGTAGGGTTCAAAACTGTATGTACTCTGGGCTGGGTGCAGTGGCTCATACCTGTAATCCTAGCACTTAGGGAGGCCGAGACAGGTGGATCACATGAGACCAGGATCACTTGAGGCCAGCCTGGCCATCATGGTGAAACCTTGTCTCTACCAAAAATACAAAAATGAGCCAGGTGTGGTGGCGCACACCTGTAGCTTCAGCTGTTCTGGAGTCTGAGGCATGAGAATTGCTTGAGCCTGGGAGGTGGAGGTTTCAATGAGCTGAGATTGCACCACTGCACTCCAGCCTGGGTGACAGAGTGAGACTCTGTCTCAAAAAAAAAAAAAAAATACCACTATCTGATGTACTCTGATCCTACTTAGGTAAAATGCACACAGAAATGACTGGAAAGATATTAAATGTGGATAGTGAGAATATGGATTTTTTTGTTTTCTGCTTTTCTCCATTTTACAAGCACTTCAGTGAACAGGTATAACTTTTTGTAACAAGAGGAACAATGGGTGTTACTTTTTAGCATACATTTGTACTGAATGATCCCTTCCACCTCACATTCTGTGGTGCTATTTGGGAAAAGCATTCTTATTAAAGAATAAAAGAAGGTGCTGGCCAGGCATGGTGGCTCACACCTGTAATCCCAGCACTTTGGGAGGCCGAGGTGGGCAGATCACCTGAGGTCAGGAGTTTGAGACCAGCTTGGCCAACATGTTGAAACTCTGTCTCTACTGAAAATACAAAAATTAACCAGGCATGGTGGCGAGCACCTATAATCCCAGCTACTTGGGAGGCTGAGGCAGGAGAATTGCTTGGCCCAGGAGGTGGAGGTTGCAGTGTGCTGAGATCACACCATTGCACTCCAGTCTGGGTGATAGAGGGAGACTCCATCTCATAAAAAAAAAAAAAAAAAAAAAAAAATAGATGTTTTGCATGTATGTAACCTTTTTGTGAAGCTCTAGACACACTTGCATCTTAGCTCTTCCTCTCTGTTCTGCTATCTTGGTGAGGAGGAAAAATAGTATCCCTGTCACACTACAAAGGAAACCAAAAGGAAAGTTGGGAGAAATGACCCCATTTCAAAAGCAGATCTGATAGGACGTCTAGAAGCTGAATTTCCCAAATCTGAATCTAATTCAGCCTTTTGATCTTGATTAGTCCTCTTTTCTAACTGCAAGTCAGATTTCGTCCTTAGAAGTCTTGAAATAAAAGTCTTCATAACCAGTAAGATGAGGAGCAGAGAAGGCAGGAAGTTAAAACAATGTTGTCACCATCAAATTGGGTTGCCAGATTTAGCAACGGAAACTATAGAACAACCCATGAAATTTTAGGTTCGGATAAATACGGAATAATGTTTTAGTATAAGTGTTCCAAATATTTAATATACTTTTTTTTTCTTTTGAGACAGAGTCTTACTCTGCCACCCAGGCTGGAATGCAGTGGCACTGTCTCGGCTTACTGCAACCTCCACCTTCCAGGTCGAAGCAATTCTCCTAACTCAGCCTCCCAAGTAGCTGGGATTACAGGCACCTACCACCACACTGGGCTAATTTTTGTATTTTTAGTAAAGATGAGGTTTCACCATGTTGGACAGGCTGGTCTCATTAGTATATATTCTTATACTAAAAATCTTTTGTTGTTCACCTGAAATTCAAGTTTAACTGGGTGGTTGGTATTTTTATCTAACAATTCTACCATCTGCTCTATGCAACTGGTTGCCCCTTTTTCTTGAATTCTCCCTTGTAATATAGTATAATAGAAAGGACAGCTGCTTTCAAATCTTATCTATGTTTCAGATCAAATCTATCATATGGCTAGAGCCATATGACTTTGGACAAATTATTTAACTTTTTAAAATCAAAGTTATTCATAAAAATACAACAAAACAGGAAAATGCGGTGTGATTATGGGATGTGATGTAATCTGTTTTAAGCTATCTAAGAAATCATAAGAGTAGTTAAACAGCATGTATTGGATAAACTAGACGACAAAGCAGGAAATTTATTTGTAACACACGTGACAGAAAGTCTTTGTCCTCATATAGAGTTATCATTGATACATCAAATTGAAAAATAACATTCACACAATATTCAGCCTTTTTTTAACCCTTACTTTGCTAGTTAAGATGATGTCTTCGTAAGTTGTTTTAAAAATTAGAAATTATAGATATAAGTTATATATAATACATTTTAAAACTGCAGAGGTACCTATTAGGAAAAAGGGTGTCTTTTGACCTACCTCGATAAAATTTGGGGATTGAGTGAGGGCTTTTCCCAGAACATAGTCTTCGAAGGTATATTGCTCACTGCTGTCATTAATTATCAGAAACTGGTTAGTAGTTTTTATAAATGTAAGCATGGCTGAGTGTGGTGGCTCATGCCTGTAATCCCAGCACTTTGGGAGGTTGAGGCAGGAGAATCACTTGAGTCCAGGAGTTCCAGACCAGCCTAGGCAACATTGTGAGATCCAGTCTCTACAGAAAAAAAAAAAAGTAGCCAAGTGTGGTAGCACACTCCTGTAGTCCCAGCTCCTCAGAAGGCTGGGGTGGAGGATCACTTGAACCCGAGAGGTCGCTGCAGTGAGCCATGATCACATCACTACCCTCGATGCTGGGCGACAGCCTTGGTGTAGGACAAAAACAAAAAAACCAATAATAGCATTAATGTGACTATACTTTCTTTTTACGTTTTCAAAATCGGTTAATTGTTTTGGCAATTCTGTTTTGTAATTAGCAGTCAATACATTTGTTTGAAATATTAATAATACAGTTTTATTTAAAACCATCACAGTTTTTCACAGTTTTTTCTGTGGTGGCTTTAAATAAAAATGTATTACTTAGTGTCTCATTATGGTAATAAGTTAGAGTCTTCATTGAAAACTTATACTGAGTCATTTTTAAAAGCCTCCAGGTCTTTGGATCATGATCATAGCATTCTCTCTAGGTTATGCACAATTTAGAAATAAGTTTTGGTTTTGAAAATTTAAGTTAGCTACAACCAGGATAACTTTGCTTAGACTCTTTAAAATGTGGTTACATGCTTTATTTCTTGGTTGTGCATATCATTTCTTGTTTCTATGTGTGTCATTTATTATTTGAACTATTTACCCCATGTAACAAAGTGATATTTGTTTCTTGCAAAATCTCTCTAGATGAGTACTGGCAGAATCACCCAGAACTACATGACATTCCAATATACTATGCATCATCTTTGGCCAAGAAGTGTATGGCAGTATACCAGACATACGTGAATGCCATGAATGACAAAATCCGCAAACAGATCAACATCAATAATCCCTTTGTTTTCAAACACATCAGTAACCTCAAGGTGAGCGCTTGTGGATGAAAGACAAGGATGGATAAAACCAAATCGGTCATTCGTAGTAGGAGGTACGAGGCCATGAGGGATGGCCCACAGCTGTAATTCTAACACTTAGGTAGTCTGAGGCAGGAGGACCACCTGAGTTCACGAGTTTGAGACTGGCCTGGTGAGATAGTGAGACCCTGTCTCTATACAAATAAAATTTTTAAAAAACTGGCCGGCTGCGGTGGCTCAAGCCTGTAATCCCAGCACTTTGGGAGGCCGAGGCAGGTGGATCACGAGGTCAAGAGATCGAGACCATCCTGGTCAACATGGTGAAACCCCGTCTCTACTAAAAATACAAAAAAATAGCTGGGCATGGTGGCGCGTGCCTGTAATCCCAGCTACTCAGGAGGCTGAGGCAGGAGAATTGCCTGAACCCAGGAGGCGGAGGTTGCGGTGAGCCAAGATCGCGCCATTGCACTCCAGCCTGGGCAACAAGAGCGAAACTCCGTCTCAAAAAAAAAAAAAAAAAAATTGTGGGAGGTGCAACTCTGGCTGAATTCCTCTTGCTGAGGTCTTACGTCTTCTCTAGCAGGTGTCCTTTTTCTGCAGGAAATCAAAACTTCAGCAGCTGACATTCTTTTTTTTTGCTTCAACAGATTTTGCCACTTGCCCCGTGTAGCCATATGTTCTCATTATTCACAATATTTATCTCTTTTGCTGTAAAAGAAAAAGTTCTGAGGAGAAAAGCGTCTTGTATTATGTAGTTAAGTTTCTCTTCTCACTCAAACCAAATCATCTTTTTGATTAGTGCTGCAGATTCCGTATATGAAAATTTGTATATACTTTTCTAGAAACATTCAATAAAATCTGATTTTATTTAATTTTTAAAATACTGTTTAACTCAAATTGATGCTTTAATCGTAATAAAATAATTGATATCCAAAATAATGTAGAGGTGGTCTTCCAGTTGTAAATAGGGATTTTCATAAAGTATGTATTTTAAGTTAACTACTCAAGGATTATAAACAAGTTCTCCCTAGAGCAATGTTAAACCTTTTGATTTCCAGGCCAGCTCAAAATATTCCTGAAGCATGCAAAGCCACTGTGAGTCTTTGGGAATGTTTCTTCAGTTGTGTCATGGGCAGAACAAGACCCATCTGACTCTTCCTTTTACTTTTCTGCCTGCCTGCCTGCTGGGCACTTACAGATGATTCTGATGGTTCTGATGGCCCTCTAGCTTCCAATAGGTTTGGAAGGTCAGGGTGAACTTACTGCTTTTTATTACTTGGTTTTTCTATCATTCCTAACCTACACTGTTTAGGAACTTGGCAGTTGAACTTAAAATGTTTACAGATCTTGTTAAGGCCCTTTCAGTAGTGTGATTAATCTCTTACCTAGCCTTTTGTTATTCTTTAAAAATAAAGAATGATTTGGTAGCTAACATACTCTTCCCATTCTGTTTTCTCTCTTAGAGCATGGATCATTTTGATGACATTGGTCCCAGTGTTGTAATGGCCTCCCCAGGCATGATGCAAAGTGGCTTATCCAGAGAGTTATTTGAAAGCTGGTGCACTGATAAGAGGAACGGCGTCATTATAGCAGGATACTGTGTAGAAGGGACACTTGCCAAGGTCAGGTATAGTCACAGGCTATTGTGTTATTCCTAATCAGAATTACGGAGGTGGCAGTGTCCTCACAGGTTTTCCCATTGAAGTCGTTCTTTAAATAATACAAGTTTTGATTTTTAAAAATGAGGATGAAAATGGGTAGCTGGAGATGTGTGTAGGATGTGGAATTATGTAGACACTGAATGGCATAATGAGGTCCCAGGTGATAGATGTACACACTGAAGTTTTAGAAGTGCTCATCTGATTGCAAGTAAAGAAGAAAGGATAGGAACCTATTTGAGACAACACATGAATACCCTCCCTTGTCTAATGAGGAAGAGGTTTACTAATATGTGTGATCTTAAAAAGCTGTAGGATGCGTTTGGGTTGACTGCCTTCTATTGTTATAAAATGGTTGATTTTCAGCTCTTAGGGATGGAGACATTGTAGAAAATGTATGCAAAATTTGAGAGGCAGTATCTGAGCATCGGGCATGACATTCTCATCCTTTAGCATTAATATCTACTTTATTTTTAAAAATATGATTCTTTATTTTGATCATCTTTATTACTTTACCTTATTCTATAAAGTTCTTTAGTGACAACGTTGTATTTAAAATAGATTTCCAGGCTGGGTACAGTGGCTCACACCTGTAATCCCAGCACTTTGGGAGGCGGAAGCCGGCAGATCACTTGAGGTCAGGAGTTGGAGACCAGCCTGGCCAACATAGGAAAACCCCATCTCTACTAAAAATACAAAAAATTAGCTGGGTGTGATGGTGTGTACCTGTAATCCCAGCTATTTGGGAGGCTGAGGCAGGGAGAATTGCTTGCAACCAGAGGCAGAGGTTGCAGTGAGCCGAGATGGCACCACTGCACTCCAGCTTGGGTGACAGAGAGACACCCTATCTCAAAAAATAATAATAATAGATTTTCAGGCCTGACATGATGGCTCATCCCTATAATCCTAGCACTTTGGGAGGCCAAGGTGAATGATCACTTGAGCTCAGGAGTTCAAGACCAGCTTAAACAACATGGCAAAATCCCATCTCTACAAAAAACACAAAAATTAGCCGGGTGTGCTGGCATGTGCCTGTAGTCCTAGCTAGTTGGGGGACTAAGGCAGGAAGATCTCTTGAATCTGGGAGGTTGAGGCTGCAGTGAGCTGAGATTGCACACTGCATTTCAGCCTGCATGACAAAATGCAACCTTACTTCAAAAAAAAAAAATTTTTTTTTTTTTCAGAATAGAAATATATCCACATATTTGGGGAATGACTTTGGAAAGCACAAGAACAGTTGGGAATACAGGCTTGTCTTTCTAAGCATCAGAGTGAAGCTTCTCACTGCCGGCACTCCAGATCGATGGCTTCTAGCTAATTCGTTTACTTTCCTCATTAAATGTTGGTTCGATTGAGAACATGAGTATTTGGTATTTACTGCGTCACTCACGATGATTTTGTGCTGAAGGTCCTAAATTTAACATAAGTTTATGACTGCATGAAAAAAATTAAAAGGTATCTTTATGTTTCTAACTGGGTCGTTCGTTTTTTATTTTTCTTGATTTTCAACAGCACATCATGTCCGAACCTGAAGAAATCACTACCATGTCTGGACAGAAGTTGCCGCTGAAAATGTCTGTGGATTACATCTCCTTCTCCGCGCACACAGATTACCAGCAAACCAGCGAATTCATTCGTGCTTTGAAACCGCCTCATGTGGTTAGTCTAGGACTTCTATTTCTCGTATTAAAGGGGAAAAAAGATGCATACCCAAGGAACTATGCAGCAGCCAGTTCACAAAGCAGGCATCATCATCTACTGATGCAACACCTCATGCTCAGAGCCTTTCACTTGCACTTGGATTTGACCTTTAAACTCCCCTTTGATTTAAGCAAGGTGCACACTTTCTCCATCTTAACTGACTCTTATTCAGACCTACCAATTCTAATTTTTTTTTTATTATTTTCTGCTGCCTCCCCAGTAATTTAAGAGCCAGGCTCGGAGGATGGCTGCTTGTTTGGAATGCCAGCTCCATATCTTACTTGCTATATAACCCTTGGCAAGTTACTTAACCTCTCTGTACCTCATTTCCAAATAGGAATAATAATAGCTCATAAGGTTACTGTAAGGACGAAGTGAGAGAACTCATACCTAGAGCACTTAGTATGGCGTCTGGCACATAGTCAGTGCTTAATAATAAGCAATAGTGCAAGGATAATTTGGAGAGAGGAGAAAGACAAGTCACTTAATAGTATAAGATTTAAATAGATGTGAAATGCACTATATAGCTCCTTATTAGTATATGACTTATTTATATTTTTAAGTATCATGTAACTTATTAAAAATAAGTTAGATATTTTGATGGAATCGGAAAAGAGGGGTAAGCTGAAAAAAGTATGTTTTTCTGTTTGTTAGTTTTTTGAGATAGATTATCACTCTGTCACCGAGGCTGGAGTGCAGTGGTACGATCTTGACTCACTGCAACCTCCGCCTCCTGGGTTCAAGTGATTCTCCTGCCTCAGCCTCCCAAGTAGCTGGGACTACAGGTGTGTGCCACCACACCCAGCTAATTTTTATGTTTTTAGTAGAGATGGGATTTCACCATGTTGGCCAGGATGGTCTCGATCTCTTGACCTTGTGATCAGCCTGCCTTGGCCTCCGAGAGTACTCGGATTACAGGCGTGAGCCACTGTGCAGCTGGCCAAAAGGATGTATTTTAATTAGAAGAACTCTAATAGGTGAAGGATATTTCATCTGTTTTCTTCATCTCTTTTCAATATACTCAGAAAGGGTCACTCCATCTATTTTCTATTTCTATAGATAATAGAAAATAGATGGAGTGACCCTTTCTGAGTATATTGGAAAGCAGTTTAGAAGAAATGGCCTTTTGTTAATTTTGGTTGTTTGCTTGTTATTTTTTAAATATGAAATACATTTTACTATGGTAAAATATCTAACATAAAATTTGCAGTTTTAACCATTTTTAAGGGTACAAATTAGTGACACTAGTTATAGTCACAGTGTTATACAACCATCACCACTGTCTATTTTCACAGCTTTTCATCACTCCAAACAGAAACTCTGACCATTACACAGTAACTCCCCATTCCCTTCCCCTACCCTGGTAAACTCAAACCTCCTTTCTGTTTCTGTGAATTTGACTATACTAGGTATTTCATATAAGAGGAATCATAATGCCTACGAGCTTTTCAAGGCTCATGATGTTGTGGCATCAGAACTTCATGCCAAAGTCATAGTCCATTATATGGAGACCCCATGTTGTTTATCCATCCGCCTGTGGATGGACATTTGGGTTGTGTCACTTTGCAGCTAGTGGAAAGTGATATCCTGTCGTGGTTTTGCTTTTCGTTTCTCTAATGACTAATGTTGAGTACCTTCTCATGAACTCCTGTTAGTTTTTAAGTTATTTCTAGCATGATAGGCCTCACAGGTATTTGCCCACTGGCCCTTAATGAGCAGATTATTTGGTAAAGAAAAAGCACTCTCCTGTCCATAGCGTCCTGGCCTGTAGAATTTAGTCACAGAGGCTCCTCCCAGGTGTTTCCTATTGTATGTGTGTATGAATATTTTTGCCCAGATTTCCAAGCCAGGGAGGAAAAGCCGTATTGCCCTTCCTGTGTGGGGTCATCACCTGATCCTCAGTCCCACTTCATCCTATCACTCCCCTGGTTCTACTTCTACTGAGTTTAAGTTCCTGCGTTGAACTTCATGCTCATTTTCCTTTAATAACCACCTCCAGCAAAAGGACATCAGGATAAAATTGCAGTACTGGTAGTGTTGTGGTAGGGGTTAACAACAGCTAACGTTGATTATTTACCACGTGCCAGGCACTGTGCTTGTGTTTTGTATGCACTGACTTGCTTAATCTTCATGACCAACAGCCTTTCTGCAGATGAGAGAACTGAGGTGTGAAATAACTTGGTCACAGCTAATAAGTAGCAGCGCCAGGATTCTGCTCAGGCAGCCAGGCCCAGGCCCTTCCCCTCCAAGCAGTGAGCCTCTGCCTCATGCTGGTGCTGGCCATGCCCAGCCACAAGCCATCTACCGGGTATGAGAGGCTAAGAACAATCTATCTTGGGTGGGCGCAGTGGCTCAGGCCTGCAATCCCAGCACTTTGGGAGGCCAAGACGGCTGGATCATTTGAGGCCAGGAGTTCGAGAGCAGCCTGGTCAACATGGTGAAACCCTATCTGTACTAAAAATATAAAAATTAGGCAGGCATGATGGCTCACACCTGTAATCCCAGAGGCACAAGAATCACTTGAACCCAGGAGGCAGAGGCTGCAGTGAGCCAAGATCGTGACACTTGCACTCCAGCCTAGGCAACAGAGTAAGACTGTCTCAAAATAAAAAAAACAAAAAGAACAATCTATCTCATAAGATAGAAGTTACAAAAGTGAATGGAAAGGGACTGGTAGCTAAGGTAGTTCTAAATACCCCCTAAAATACTCCATTTGGGGCTGGGCACCGTGGCTCATGCCTGTAATTACACCACTCTGCAAGGCTGAGGTGAGAGGAGTGCCCAGAAGCTTGAGACCAGCCTAGGCCACCTAGTGAGACCTTGTCTCTACAAAAATAAAACTAGCCAAGCATGGTGACTCATGCTTGTAGTCCCAGCTACAAGAAGATTGGAAGATTGCATAAGCCTGGGAGGTTGAGGCCACAGTGAGCCAAGATTATGCCACTCCACTCCAATCTGGGTGACAGAGCAAGACCCTGTCTTTAAAGAAATATAGAAAATAATAAAATATTCCATTTGGTTCTGAAATATTTTATTAGGATAGGCACAGTGTGCTACTGGGATGAGATACCTAAAAAAAAAGATAGGAACAGTGGCTCATGCCTCTAATCCCCTAGCACTTTGGGAAGCCAAGGTGGGCAGATCACTTGAATCCAGGAGTTGAAGACCACACTGGGCAACATGCAAGATCCTGTCTCTACAAAAAAAAAAATTACAAAAATTAGCTGGGCATGGTGGCTATGCAGGAAGCTGAGGCAGGAAGATTGCTTGATCCCTGGAGGTTGAGGCTGCAATGAGCCATGATCACACTACTGCACTCCAGCCTGGGCAATAGAGTGAGATCCTTTCTCCAAAAATGTGTAAATATATGAGGTAGGCCGGGCGCGGTGGCTCACGCCTGTAATCCCAGCACTTTGGGAGGCCGAGGCAGGCAGATTACAAGATCAGGAGTTTGAGACAAGGCAGGCCAACATGGTGAAACCTTGTCTCTATTAAAAATACAAAAATTAGCCAATCATGATGACGTGCACCTGTAATCACATCAGCTACTCAGTAGGCTCAGGCAGGATAATCACTTGGACCTATGAGGTAGAGGTTGCAGTGAGTAAGCTGTGATCACGCCACCGCACTCCAGTCTGGGCGACAGAGCAAGACTTGTCTCAAAAAAAAAAAAATTATATATATGAGATATTGCTTTAATAGAAGAAAACATCAGAAGTAACTCTTTTTCTTCACAGCATCCTTTGAAAGTTTTATTTTAAGAAACCTAAGGAGAACAGAGTGGCTGGGCACAGTGGCTCACACCTGTAATCCCAGCACTTTGGGAGGCCGAGGTGGGTGGATCACTTGAGGTCAAGAGCTTGAGACCAGCCTGACCAACATGGTGAAACCCTGTCTCTACTAAAAATACAAAAATTAGTCGGGCATGGTTGCATGCACCTCAACCCAGCTACTTGAGAGGCTCAGGCAGGAGAATTGCTTAAACTCAGGAGTTGGAGGCTGCAGTGAGCTGAGATCACGCCACTGCTGCACTCCAGCCTGGGTGACAGAGCAAGACTCCATCTCAAAAAGAAAGAACCATGGGTGTTTTCTGAGACAGTAGGGTAGCCATAGTTTTGTACCAGAGTCACAGGCATTTAAAACTGGAAGATTACAGAAGTCAGCCCTGTCCCACTGTGAACAGAGAAGCGGTAAAACACGGAAAAGGCATATATCTCATTAGTGGCAAAGACTGGGGTAGAAAAGAAGTTTCTTTTTTTTTTTTTTTGAGACGGAGTTTCACTCTTGTTACCCAGGCTGGAGTGCAATGGCGCGATCTCGGCTCACCGCAACCTCCACCTCCTGGGTTCAGGCAATTCTCCTGCCTCAGCCTCCTGAGTAGCTGGGATTACAGGCACGCACCACCGTGCCCAGCTAATTTTTTGTATTTTTAGTAGAGACGGGGTTTCACCATGTTGACCAGGATGGTCTCGATCTTTTGACCTCGTGATCCACCCGCCTCGGCCTCCCAAAGTGCTGGGATTACAGGCGTGAGCCACCACCCGGCAGAAGTTTCTTTACTCTGTTCAAATAGTACCACCTAAGGATCTTTTAAAGCCAAACAGAATGACTATGTGTATACAAGTTGAGTCAGCTGGAGGTCCTTAAAAGTAGTAAAGTTTCAGAGCTTCTAAGTAAGTTTCTATTTCATATATTTAATTAATTCAGCTAAAGACCATGATTAATCTGAATGATGTTTTCCTATGTTCTTTTAACATTTCTTCTGTGTAGATTTTAGTCCATGGAGAACAGAACGAAATGGCCAGGTTGAAAGCAGCACTGATTCGAGAATATGAAGATAATGATGAAGTTCACATAGAGGTTCACAATCCTCGGAATACAGAAGCAGTGACCTTAAACTTCAGAGGAGAAAAACTGGCCAAGGTAAAAGGTTATGGTTCCCATCGATCCAATCCATGGAAGACTGTACTTAAGAAAATAGATCTAGGCCGCGCGTGGTGGCTCACACCTATAATCCCAGCACTTTGGGAGGCCGAGGCGGGTGGATCACGAGGTCAAGAGATTGAGACCATCCTGGTCAACATGGTGAAATCCCGTCTCTACTAAAAATACAAAAATTAGCTGGGCATGGTGGTGTGTGCCTGTAATCCCAGCTACTCGGGAGGCTGAGGCAGGAGCATTGCCTGAAGCCAGGGGGTGGAGGTTGTGGTGAGCCGTGATCACGCCATTGCACTCCAGCCTGGGTAACAAGAGTGAAACTCCGTCTCAAAAAAGAAAAGAAAAGAAAATAGATATCCTTCAGGAATTTTATACTGCAGGAATTTTATCCTTACCCTGTTTGGCTGCTTTGGGTTCTGTCAGTTCATTTCTTCAGATGGAAAGTGTTCTGCTCACTTAGGCCTTAATGCAGCCGAGTCTCATAGTTCTTTAATCCACACCCACATCTGAGGGTAAAGAAATGTTCATTACTGTTTGTTACTGTAGCCAGTGCAGCTGTATGTCCACCTCTTGTCATTCTTCCTGAGAATCTAAATGTAGGCACGTCTCTAAACATATATGTTTGTATAGATATGATGGAATATATGAAACATTTCTTTTTAAGAATTAATCGGCCAAGCACGGTGGTTCACGCCCGTAATCCCAGTACTTTAAGGGGCTGAGGTGGGTGGATCATTTGAGGTCAGGAGTTGGAGACCAGCCTGGCCAACATGGTGAAACTTCACCTCTGCTAAAAATACAAAAAAAAATTAACTGGGCATGGTGGCAGGTGCCTGTAATCCCAACTACTTGGGAGGTTGAGGGAGAATCACTTGAACCCGGGAGACAGGTTGCAGTGAGCTAAGATTGAATCTGGGAGGTGGAGGTTGCAGTGAATTGAGATCATGCCACTGCACTCCAGCCTGGGCAGCAGAGCGAGACTCGGTCTCAAACAAACAAAAAAGAAGTAATCGAGGCTGGGCACGGGAGTGGCTCGCTCCTGTAGTACCAGGGCTTTGGGAGGCCGGGTCGGGTGAATCACTGTAGCTCAGGAGTTCAAGATCAGCCTGGGACCACATGATGAAACCCGTTCTCTACAAAAAACGCAAAGATTACTGGATGTGGTGGCATGCGCCTATAGTCCCAGTTACCCAGGAGGCTGAAGTGGGAGGATGGCTTGAGCCCAAGAGGTTGAGGCTGCAGTGAGCCACTGTCCTGCCATTGCACTCCAGCCTGAGTGACAGAGCAAGACCTTGTCTCGAAAAAATAAAAGAATCATTTTTGAGAGTGAAAGGTAATATTTTCAGAATGTAAAGTTGAAATAGTTAAGGAAAGCTGACCTGGCTTTTAGAGGGGTGCTGTCACAGGTCTGAGTCTGTACTTCTATTGGTCATAACTCTTAGAAATACTTCTAAGGGAAACTTGAAAAATGTAAGTATATATGTAATTTTAAATTTTGCAGAAAGGAATTGAAATCGGTATGTTGAAGAGATGTCTGCACTCCCACGTTCTGCTTTTTGTTTGTTTTGACATGTCAAACAACTCACTCTGTTGCCCAGGCTGGAGTGCGGTGGTGCATTCATGACTCACTGCAGCCTCGACCTCGCTAAGCTCAGCTGATCGTCCCATCTCAGCATCCCAAGTAGCTGGGACTACAGGCACAAACATTTTTTTTTTTGAGACAGAGTCTCACTGTCAACTGGGCCGGAGTGCACGGGCGCTATCTCAGCTCACTGCAACCTCCACCTCCCTGGATCATGTGATCTCTGCCTCAGCCTCCCGAGGAGCTAAGATCACAGGCAACCACCACCACACCTGGCTAATTTTTTTGTATTTTTAGTAGAGACGGGGTTTCACCACATTTGCCAGGCTGGTCTAAAACTCCTGACCTCAAATGATCCACCCACCTCAACCTCCCAAAGTGCTAGGATTACAGGCGTTAGCCGCTGTGCCAGCCTCAGGCACAAATTTTAATGATTTAGTTGAAGGTTTAAATACCGACATAAGGGCTCATGCCTGTAATCCCAGCACTTTGGGAGGCCGAGGCAGGCGAATCATCTGAGATCAGGAGTTCAAGTCCTGCCTAGCCAACATGGAGAAACCCTGTCTCCACTAAAAATACAAAAATTAGCCAGTCATGGTTGTGTGCAACTGTAATGCCAGCTACTCAGGAGGCTGAGGCAGGAGAATTGCTTGAACCTGGGTGGCGGAGGTTGCAGTGAGCTGAAATCGTGCCACTGCACTCCAGCCTGTGCAACAGAGCGAAACACCGTCTAAAAAACAAATCTACATATGTTAATAAACAACTTTACAGTACTCTTTTAATACATCATTAGCCAAACGAGCAGATGCTAATTAATGAATACCCTTTCTTGAAGGTGAACTGGAGGAAAAAAGAAATTAGTGAAACTTAGGGTGTGAGGATTTTGTTGTAAATGGTTGCAGTTACTCCTGCCTCTTACTGTTCACAAAACTTTCCAGGGGCGAGTTTAATAGTATTTTTCTTATACCTGTAGAAAAATATATTCAGCTGAGAATCTAGAACTGTGTTTCCCATACTCTGCTGGTGGTGGAGATGCAGGGAGAAAAACGTGTTTCGATCAGACAGTTTCGAAGGTGAATTAAACTGAGTTCAGGAAGAGCTGGTTCCTTACTGGAGTGTTCTGTTTCTTACCCATGATTTTAGTTATTTAAAATCATTACCTTCAGTTACTTTTTTCTCTCAAGAACAGCATCATTGTATTAAAATTAGTTTCCTGAGAGCAAAGGTTCTTTTCTGAAAGCTACCAGCAATTAAGGAGAAAATAACCCTAAGAAATCCTATGAAATACAACTCTCTGTTTATAGTTATGAGAACAAATAGAGCACTGCCTGCTTGCTATTTGCTCTTACTTGCTTAAAGGTAAACAAGTATGGAAGACCCTGTCTTTATTCCCTTGAGCCCATTTATTTGCAGTTGAGAGAAGTTATATTTAAGAATACTGGTTTCAGCCAGGTGTGATGGCTCACGTCTGTAATCCCAGCCGTTTCAGAGGGTGTAGCAGGCAGATCCGTTAAGTTCAGGAATTCAAGATCAGCTTAGGAAACAGGGTGAAACCGCATCTCTATAAAAAATACAAAAATAAGCCAGGCATGGTGGCGCACATGGTGAGCGATGATCGCACCACTGGATTCCAGCCTGGGTGACAGAACAAGACTCTCTCAAAAAAAGTAAATAAAACTTTTTAAAACTGAATAGTAGGGCAGGGCACGGTGGCTCATGCCAGTAATCCCAACATTTTGAGAGGCCAAGGCAGGCAGATCACCTGAGGTCAGGAGTTCGAGACCAGCCTGGCCATTTCCACTAAAAATACAAACATTAGCCGGGCATGGTAGTGAGCACCTCTAATCCGAGCTACCTGGGAGGCTGAGGCAAGAGAATTGCCTGAGCCTGGAAGGCAGAGGTTGCAGTGAGCTGAGATTGTGCCACTGCACTCCAGCCTGGATGAAAGTGTAAGAATCTGTCTCAAAAAAAAAAGGTTTCACATTTGTAATATTTTTGTTTTTAAATGGTTGTTACTCTTAAAAATGTTTCTCCCTCAATTTATGAGCTCACCCATACCTGTCTTTATTGACCTTTTTTATTCAAAGCTGCTGCTGCTGCTGCTGTTTTTAGCGTTAGGTGTACCACAGCCTCCCAGATCTGTATCAGTGTACCTTACTCTCTGTATGGGTTTGCAGCCAGCCTGAGGGAGTGCATGTGTGTGTCTCACTGGCACTTCCCGGCCTTCCCTACTACTTTGCAGCTAGTGAGGGCTTTCTTAAGCCCCAGCATCTAGTCAGTTACTTGGCTGTTGAACTGATTAGAACTGAACCGCACCTCGCCATTCTTGCTAGATCTGCCGCTGTGACTCTTCCCTTTGACAACGGTAGCAATGCTGTTGCCCTCGTCATAGAGATATAAAACATTGTATGTTTTTCATCATTAAATTCATGTGTTTTCATCGTTCAGGGCGTTATGATCATCATGATGAACTGCATTTTACCAGGTTCTATCTACTTCAAGTTTTTTTTTTTTTTTAAACAGGTTATGGGATTTTTAGCAGACAAAAAACCAGAACAAGGCCAGCGGGTCTCAGGAATACTTGTTAAAAGAAACTTTAATTATCACATACTTTCCCCTTGTGACCTGTCCAGTAAGTACACTATTAAATGGCAAATCTAACTTCACCTTAGCACTGAAAGAAAATCTATGAAAACTTCTCTTCACCTCGTGGCCAAATTTTAAGTAACAGACAAATAATAACAAAGGAATTGGTACAAGTAGTCTAGTTAGCTTTGTGGGAAGAAAAAAACATCTCCCGTAAACTACTGAAAGATTTCAGTTATTTGTGAAATCACTCGCTTCATTGTTGGAGATGTAGGTTCATTTCTGAGCAGGTTGACTATTCCTGTTCAGCCTGTTTCCGACCCTCCACAACACACTGGTGGCCTTTCATCTTCTGAAGTGACTTCGCATTCCCCAGATAAGCCGTTTGGTTTTCATGACTTTTACATAAACATTTCAGTTTTTCATGACCTTTATATCACTGCTGGGCCTTTCCATTCCTTCACCATTGCAGAAAGAGTAGGAGCAACAGCTTCTATAATTTCTGTAAAAGCAAAAATTCATGTGAAGCCTAATTTTTTCAATGCATTGGAACTTCCAGCGTCCAAATAAGTAACACCAGCGATAACTGATGCCTCTAGTGTCCAAATTGAATCTCGTTATAAGAAAACTGAAAACTGCACGAAACTAATAAGATTACATGTATGTTTAGAAACTGCTTTCTTCCCGAATTTGATAAAATTTCCACGTGCATTTTTGTCTATAAATTTACTGAGCCATTAACAAGTCATTTTCCAATGAATATGGTATTATCTTCAAGTAAATAGTATGCTCAAGGTGACTTACATGGTACTCATAAATTGTATGCGCTTTATGCAGGAATAAGAAATAGTAGTGGCTGGGTACAGTGGCTCACGCCTGTGATCCCAGCACTTTGGGAGGCCAAGGCGGGTGGATCACAGGGTCAGGTGTTTGAGACCGGTCTGGCCAACATAGTGAAACCCCATCTCTGCTAAAAATACAAAAAATTAGCCGGATGTGGTGGTGTGTTTCTGTAATCCCAGCTACTCAGGAGGCTGAGGCAGGAGAATTGTATGAACGTGGGAGGCAGAGGTTGCAGCGAGCCGAGATTGTGCCATTGCACTCCAGCCCAGGCAACTGTGTGAGACTCCGTCTCAAAAAAAAAAGAAATAGCAGAAATAGTAGTAGTGTTGGGCTATTTACCTGTGAAATTGCCCTGCTGTCTGCTTTCACACCATCGTAGGGCACTGTGCGACTTGTGTCTTCATTCTGTTATGAGCTCTTAATCTTATGCCACGTAGTCCCAGCCCTTGAAATCTGTCTAATGAGGAAACTGGTCTTGGGAAGAGCTAATCCTGGTATTGCTCAGTGGCGTATAGAAGTGTATGATAAATACATGAAGAGAGACTGCACCTCAGGAGTGAGGAAAAGTTTTGCAAATCAGGCAGCCCTCGGGCTGAGTGGTGAAGGATTGTTGGGAGTTACCAAGGAAAGAAGGCAGATAATAGCTGACATATCAGCTTCAAGGCATCCAAGAACCTGGTGTGTTTGGGGGCATGAGGTGCTTTCTTAAGGCTGGAGTAGAAGTTAACTGAGGGTGAGAGGTGGGGACTTAGGGAGATGGATGGGGAAATGTAAGGTGGTACCAAATTAAGAAGCATCTTGTTCACTTTCTGAAAAACATGTTCACATTTACTTTGCTTTTATGTCCTCTTTCTTTGCTCCTGGTATGTGTTTTGTGGGACTGATATTGTTTCTTAAAGTCTGTTCTGATTTTCTCTTCAGATTATACTGACTTGGCCATGAGCACTGTGAAGCAGACCCAAGCCATTCCATATACTGGTCCCTTTAATTTGCTCTATTACCAGCTGCAGAAATTGACAGGTATGTGTGTGTATTAAAATTCATTTCATTGTTTTCGGTTTTTTACTAAGAAAACTTTCTATCTAGAAAAGAATGTTACTTAATTTTTATAATTGTCTCAGAATTATATGTTTTATTAATATATATGGTCATGTTATTATTACCTTTATGTGAAATTTTAGAAAATAGACTCATATTCTTGCCTGATGGTCCTGGAAAAAAATTTATAAACACTAAAAAAAATTTTTTTTAAAAGACAATACACTCAAAAATTTTTTTAAATTCCATAATACTTATCTTTGGCCCACTTAAAATGTAGTAGTCTTTGCTCCTTGTGTTTAAAATCTGTTTTACTTGATGATACCTAAAATTTGACCTGTTTCTTTTCTTTGATTGGTGAAAATAGTTTTTCTGGTTTTATCGATACCAGTCTATACAGCAGGTTTTATAGGACCTAGCCAAAGGCCAGTGAGAAAATAAACCTAGTATGTTTTCAGAATAGACCATCTGAGTTTGAGATTTTGTGTATTAACATAATGCGGGCAGTGACTAAATTAAAAGGTGTGAACTTTTTGTTAAAGCAAGAATACTTCATATTACAAAATATATTTTCCATCAGCAACGCTCTTCATAACTCATGAAGTGCTACCGTAAAATAAACCAGTAGAAAGGAAGTCTTGTTTTTAAATCTTGGAAACTTGCACTAGGATCATCTGTCATAACATAGAAGGTTAATAAAATATGTCCGAACTGTCCTTGATTAAGAGGATGCAGAAAAGCCAGAAAAGTCTCTTCAGCAATAGAATTTCGCTGTAGAACGATGAAGCTTATGAAGACAGAAGGTAGACAAAACTAGTTGGCAGCAATTGACTGGTTTATATCACATGTTAAGATGCTAGTGGAAGGCTAAACCCCTTGTATACAAAACATAGACGTTTGCACCTCATTTAAGTTTGCTACTGATAAAACGTTTGATGTCCAAGCTAAATGCTACCTGGTTATCTGAATTTTTGCAATACATGTTCACACCTTTCAGTTGATGTACTTGGCTGTTGAAAAATGGACTATACAAATGAGTTACTTTTTCATTGTGTAGCTGCTTTATTTTAGCTGTCTCTATAAACAAATGAATGGTCTCTGGAAGATTATCAGAAAAGTATATACATCTTGTAATTACGTCTTCCTTTCAGGTGATGTCGAAGAATTAGAAATTCAAGAAAAACCCGCTCTGAAAGTGTTCAAAAATATTACTGTAATACAAGAACCAGGCATGGTGGTATTAGAAGTAAGATAAGATCATTTACCTAAACAATGAGGGGAAAAAAGTTTGAAAAGAGTTCATGTGTAATCGTGGAGAAAGTTAGTTCTTCCCAATTAGAAAAAGAATATTTTTGGAAAGCATATAGATGTATGTTTTCAAGATCAGCATTAAGTATAATTAAGTCGCTGAGGGTTTTCTATGTAGTCACAAAAAACTAATAATAAATTAAGGTTTCATATTTAGCATGTGTAATAAGTGTCATTCTGTCATATAAATCTCAACTGATTTTGTGGTACCCCAGGATGTTTTTAGTTATCTCAAAAGGTTTACGATTCTTAAGGTAAAAATATTAATTATGTTAAATTAAGACAAATTTATCATGTACCACTCATTAAAAGAGTAGACTTTTGAAGATTCAAATAAACAACAGTAAAGTGACCCAAATCTGGAAAGGCTGGAAATTATTAAATTAAGTGGTGTGGTTCCTGTTAGAATTTTATTTTATTTTTTGGTTTTTTTTTTTGAGACGGAGTTTTGCTCTTGTTACCCAGGCTGGAGTGCAAATGGTGCGATCTCGGCTCACCGCAACCTCCGCCTCCTGGGTTCAGGCAATTCTCCTGCCTCAGCCTCCTGAGTAGCTGGGATTACAGGCATGCACCACCATGCCCAGCTAATTTTTGTATTTTTAGTAGAGACAGGGTTTCACCATGTTGACCAGGATTGTCTCAATCTCTTGACCTCGTGATCCACCCGCCTCAGCCTCCCAAAGTGCTGGGATTACAGGCTTGAGCCACCGTGCCCGGCCCCCTGTTAGAATTTTTAAATCCAGCTTGTGGAGTTTGGAAGATAGATACCAAAGGAATTGCCTAGTTGATTTAATAGATTGGGGGCTCTTAAGTTTAAAGAAGTTCTTTCAAAGTGAGTCCTGTTATTGAATAGTCCAGGGAGGAACTTTGTCTGCTGCTCTGCCCCAAGATAGAATTGCATATAAATTGCCAAGGTAAATGGTCAACTATTCTATGCATACATTCTGATTTTTTTTTTTTTTTTTTTCCTTTTTTGAGACAGAGTCTTGCTCTGTCATCCAGGCTGGAATGCAGTGATGTGATCTTGGCTCACTGCAACCTCCGCCTCCCAGGTTCAAATGATTCACCTGCCTCAGCCTCCCAAGTAGCTGGGACTACAGGTGCACACCACCATGCCCGGCTAATTTTTGTATTTTTAGTAGAGACAGGATTTCACCATGTTGGTCAGGCTGATCTTGAACTCCTGATCTCAAGTGATCCACCTGCGTTGCATATATTCTATTTTAAAACAATAAGGATTTCTCAGCTTTGGTCCCAATACAGTTCTGTGATTTAAGTATAAATTTGATTCATAAGGCTAAAAGCAACTAAAGAAAGTGCCAGGCCAGTCCCAGTGGCCTGTAATCCCGGCACTTTGGGAGGCCAAGGTGGGCAAATCACCTGAGGTCAGGAGTTCGAGATCATGCTGGCCAACATGGTGAAACCCAGTCTCTACTAAAAATACAAAAGTTAGCCAGGCATGCTGGCAGGCATCTGAAGTCCCAGCTACTTGGGAAGCTGAGACAGGAGAATCACTTGTATCTGGAGGGTAGAGGTTGCAGTGAGCTGAGATCGTGCCACTGCACTCTAGCCTGGGTGACAGAGCAAGACCCTAAAAAAAAATGTAAAAAACACACAAAGTGTCAAAAGGAGTAGTTACATGCAGCAATATATAAATGTTAATGTCAGAAAAAGGGGGAAAGTTATTAGAGACATTAATTTAGCGAAAGTTATTAGAGACATTAATTTAGCTCATGCTACTAAATACTATTAGAGGCTGCGTAAATACGTTGGAGAATGTTTACCCTAGGAATAAAAGCCAGGGGATCTGAGGCTTAGTGTGAGAAGCAAAAGTAAATGCTTCTTCACATTCTTTCTGTAGTCATATACTATACTAAATGTAAGCATTAGGAATTTGAGGTTAGCCCAGCCCCAGTAATTATCCTGTGCAAGTATCTTTCGAGTCAGTTTTCTCTTTTATAAAATGAAGTTAATAGTACTATTTGTTATGAAAATTAAATGGTAACACCTATAAAACATTATGTGAAAAGGAAGTGCTCAGTACAATTTACTTTTGTTGTTTACAGAAAGTTAGAGGAGTATGGTATTATTAATTTCAGTAAACAATGAGTCAGTTAATTTCAGTGAGGTGCTAGAAGCAGTCGTGGTGGGGTGGGGAGGCAGTGGTTCCACGTGTACAGTCGTGGTGGGGTGGGGAGGCAGTGGTTCCACGTGTACAGTCGTGGTGGGGTGGGGAGGCAGTGGTTCCACGTGTACAGTCGTGGTGGGGTGGGGAGGCAGTGGTTCCACGTGTACAGTCGTGGTGGGGTGGGTTATACTTGTAGCTTTTGTGGTTGGCCTCTGTAGGCGGGTCACTTCCTAATTCTGCCTTTTGCTTTCCAGTGGCTGGCAAACCCTTCTAATGATATGTATGCAGATACAGTAACAACTGTGATATTGGAAGTTCAGTCAAATCCCAAAATAAGAAAAGGTAAGAGTTCTTTTATTTTTATCTTTTAATTCTTTCAATTTTCTTATGTTTCTCTGAACTAAAAAGCAGTAAATAGACTCATAACAAACTTGATCATTTCTGTATAATCTTTAAGATAGAAAATATACACAGCAATGTACATTGTTAGTATTTTACTTATTTTTGTCCTGGTTCTTCATTCATACCGCAAAAATCTGGCTGCAATTAAGAGTAGGATAAAATCCTTTTAGAAGCAGCCCTCTTAAAAGTAATTGAGTCAGAGATTCCAAAATAGTGATGTATTGAGCCAGTTAGATTAGGAAGAAATGCTACTATCTTCATGTTTAATAAAACTTGTGGAATAGAATCGAATCTCCCTACGGGACAATTTACAACCAGAGAAAACAGTGAAGATATTTTTGTGTTATTTCTTTGATTCTGTTTTGGTTTTTTTTTTTTTTTTCTATTTTTGAGACAAAGTCTTGCTTTGTTACCCAGGCTGCCCTCAAATGGCTGGGCTCAAATGACCCTCCCACCTGAGCCTCCTGAGTAGCTGGAACTACAGGCATGAGCCACCGTACTCAGCTCTTACGCATGTTTTAAGCTGTGACTCTCTTATAAGCTTAAAACTTAAGCTTAAGTATATAGAGTATATAGAGTAGTCCTGTTTGCTGCTGCTGGGGGAGGTGACCGTACTGGGAGCCTCTCAACCGTTACCCTTCACATGGCATTAGATCCTGTTCTCTGCTGGAATATTATTGTTTCTTCAAAATATATAGTTCTTTCATTTCATGAGAAAAAGGTTTAGCAGACTGCTTTGTAATTCATCTTGTTATGCTGCATCTATGACATAAACAAATTCCTGGACAGTCTAAATCTAAGTTACGCATGTGAGTCACTGGCAAGCATTTGCATTTGTTTTGAGTAATAGTAATTGTAAAAATGATCATTTGGACATCATTTGAGAACTTGTTTTAGTTGAATTAACTAATGGGAAACGGCCCCCCCCCATGTGCATGGAACACAGGAGGTAGCTGTGCATTTGTGTAAGCCGCAGAATGCTGCACCCTGGATTCTGACACGATGGTCAGTGTCACAGTCTTGGTCCTGGCGAACAAATATATTGACAGAAAAAAGGCAGTTGTCAGTTTTCTCTTACAGTCAGGCACGGTGTCTCACACCTGTAAACCTAGCACTTTGGGAGGCCAAGGCTGGTGGATCCCTTAAGGTCAGGAGTCTGAGACCAGCCTGGCCAACATGGCAAAACCCCATCTCTTCTAAAATTACCAAAAAAATTAGCCAGGGTAGTGGCAGGTGCTGGTGATCCCAGCTATTCCGGAGGCTGAGGCACTAGAATTGCCTGAACTTGAGAGGCAGAGGTTGCAGTGAGCAGAGACCGTGCCACTGCACGCCAGCCTGAGCGACAGAGTGAGATTCCGTCTCAAATAAAAAAAATTTTTTTTCTTACTTGTCTTAGGTGGTAAAAATAAAGGTGTGTAGGGTAGAAAGAGGAACTTTTTAAAAGATCATGAGTAAGTAGTGGTGCAGAAGTGATGTAGGAAAGAGGGTTGGGTCTGGAGAGCAGAATCCAGCCCAGAGGCTTTGGGCCAGCGCAGCTTTCAGCTCAAAGGCCCTGTCCTTCTAAGAGCACAGCTGGCCTTCACTTCTTATCTTAGCCTGTTCAATCCAAATCAAACGCCACCAAGGTTGCTTTCTCTTCATTATATTCTGATAGCCCTTTTGTAAAATGAAGTCTTTTTGGTAATACAGTCAACTGATTAGAAATTGACATACTTTTGAAAAATAAAATTTCTATGCAAAAGTGGCATTTTTTAGGCCAATTAGGATGTTGTATAGTCTTGGCGATGTTTAGTGTCAATGCTCTGCCAGCCTGTTTTACGTGCCTTGTGGCAGAGGGGGGATCACAGAGATGTCGTCAGGATGTCATCTGTTGTTCTGATGAGGGCTTTGCCTAGCGGTGATGCTGAGAAACGAGAGGTCCTGTGCTGTATGGATAATCTCCACGAAGCTTGGGTCTGTTTTGCACAGGAAGGAATACGTGACCTATCATAGGTTGGTTTGCCTTTATCTTGATTATATCTCTTAATACTCCAGTCCAAAGTGCCACGTACCTTTACATTTCATGTAAATTTAACAGTAATTGAATTTAAAATAATTATAACTGTATTATGAGTGATCCCTCTTACACTAATAATAAAAACATTCCTTCCTTTGGTTAGCCTCTGGTCCTTTCAGCAGAGGTTCATGGCAGACAGGTTAGAACTGGGCTGTTTCGTGTGTTCCAGGTGTTAGCGTTTGTTGAGCTGGCTGGCTGCCTAGTGCCTCCTAATACTTCCCATTTTGTAGTTTATGGAGAATGAGGTTTTATGTTCCTTTGGGATGATGAAGTGCTTGCAAATTTCATTAAGATTCATTTGACAGATGTTTACTGAGCACCTGCTCCCTGGCAGGCATGCTTCTGAGTGCTTAGGAAACATCAGGGAATAAAGCAAACAGATCTGCCCCCTTCAAGGATCTGACATTCTGTCATGTCCCAGGGCTTCCTTATAGGGTTTAGAGTTGGGCAGATCCCACAGGGTCTTTTTGGCCATTGTAAAGACCTCAGAGTTTGAGTGTGAGTAAAGTGAGGCAATACTGCAGAGCTTTGAGCAGGGCTGAGACAGGATCTGACAGTTTTGAAAGGATTACTGTGGTGCTTGCTGAAAGTAGACTGTTAGGAGGGCAAGCAAGAAAGCAGAGGCTCAAGGTGGAAGCTTCTTCAGTCATCCAGGTGGCAGACAGTAGCTCAGGTTAGGATGGAAGTCATGGGGGTAGGGCAAAGTGGCTGGATTCTGGAGATGTTTTAAAAGTAAAGCTGACCAGTAATCCCAGCACTTTGGGAGGCCGAGGCAGGTGGATCACCAGGTCAAGAGATCGAGACCATCCTGCCCAACATGGTGAAACCCCATCTCTACAAAAAAAAAATAAATTAGTTGGGTGTGGTGGCATGCGCCTGTAGTCTCAGCTACTTGGGACGCTGAGGCAGGAGAATTGCTTGAACCCAGGAAGCCAGGAGGCAGAGGTTGCAGTGAGCCAAGATTGTGCCACTGCACTGGAGTCTGGGCAACAGAGCAAAATTCCATCTTAAAAAAAAAAAAGTAAAGCCAGTGGCCGGGCGCTGTGGCTCACGCCTATAATCCTAGCACTTTGGGATGCCAAGGTGGGCGAATCACAAGATCAGGAGTTTGAGACCAGCCTAGCCAAAATGGTGAAACCCTGTCTCTACTAAAAATAAAAGAATTAGCTGGGCGTGGTGGCGGGCACCTGTAATCCCAGCTAGTCAGGAGGCTGAGGCAGAAGAATCACTTGAACATGGGAGGCAGAGGTTGCAGTGAGCTGAGATTGCACCACTGCACTCCAGCCTGGGCAAAAGAGTGAGACTCCATCTCAAAAAAAAAAAAAAAAAGTAAAGCCAGCAGTATTTCCTGTTGGATTAGCTGTAAGTGGTGACAGAAAGAGAATAGACGGGATGAACTTTAAGATAATGATCCAAGGTGTTTGTGATACTTTAGCCTGTAGAGTTGTCACTCATGGGGCTCAGTGACAGGTTTTACTAAGCAGCACTTTCTCCTTTCAAACGTGAAAAGTATTGTAAGAACTGGTACGCTGATGCTTATGCTGCTCGTGAGAAAGTTGATTCTGTCTATTTGTTATTTGTTGAACTGACTTCTTCAGATCCAAACTTGCGATTTTCACATTTAGAGCAGAGTCAGCGACTGTGGCCCACGAGCCACACCTAGCTCGCTTGGTTTGGTAAGTGCAGTGTTCCTGAAGCCCAGCGTGCGCACTGGCTTCTCTGATGCCTCTTTCCCACTACAGCAGCAGAACTGAGTCATTGCAATAGCAACCATATGGTCTCCAAAGCCTAGAATGCCATCTGGGCATTTACAGAAAAAGTTGCCCGCTTCTCCACACACCTTCTGTGAAACGATCTGATTCTTCTTTGATGGCATTTTTCTCCCTTTTCATTTCTTAGCCTCCTGACACTTCAGATTCTGGAAACACAACTTGTATTTATCTGCGTGCGTGTGTGTGTGTGTCTGTGTGTGTGTGTATCACCACCAGCCTCAATTTATGTGTCCCGTTCTTACCAAAGGGGAAAGCTCACATATTTTCAAGATACATTATTTTCTGTTTTCACATTCCATGACATTCTTCTCTGTGACATGGCACCTGTTTTCAGCATGCGTGTGTCCTGTTTCGACACACAGACCTGCTAAGGACAGGTGTACATGTCTGATCGAATGGTTTTGTGTTTCATATGATCTCATGTGTCTGACGGGTTTTTCTAAATATTCATGCAGGAATTTGCAAATATATATATACACGCAAACAGTGGAAAGTTTCTTTTAATTGTTTCATAGCTTAGATATTTATTTTTTAATATATTTTGTGACATTGTTTTTACATGTCAATTAAATACCTATTTTAATTATTAATAATAAAACTAACAAGAATAAAGGTTCAGTTTTATAGCTTTCTTGGCTAGCACCTGGTTAGTTTTTTGTTGTTGCTGTTTTATTTTGTATTTTTATTTTACTTATTTTTTGAGGCAGGGTCTCACTCTGTCACAGGTTAGAGTGCAGTGGTGCAGTCTCAGCTCACTACAGCCTCAACCTCCTGGGCTCAAGTGATTCTCCCACTTCGGCCCCGCAAGTAGCTGGGACTATGGACACACGCCACCTCCCCCGCCCTGTGTTTCACTATGTTGCCCAGGCTAGTCTCAAATGTCTGAGCTCAAGTGGTCTGCCCGCCTTGGCCTCCCAAAGTGCTAGGATCATAGGTGTAAGCTACTTCACCTGGCCTTTTTTTCTTTTAAATGGAGATGGGTTCTCGCTATGTTGCTGAGGCCAGTCTCAAACTCCTGGGCTCAAGCAGTTCTTCCTTCTCAGCCTCCCAAAGTGCTGGAATTACAGGCAAGTGGTTAGTTGTATATACAATTAAATTCATGAATTAAAAAGACTTCGATGAACTATGGTTTGAATTATGGAATAGTTTAGGAGAAATGACAATTTGACTCTTCCATGGAGTAGATTTAAATAGGTATGTGGGAGTACAGAAGTGAGTTAATAAAGCTACACTTAATTATACAGTATTTTAAAAAGTCATCGTATTACACGAGAAAGTTATTACTTGGGCTGAGAAATTGAAAGTTAATTGAAGAAATCATAATTTTTGAAGTCTCTTTGAAATGACAGAGTCTTGGCCAGGCATGGTAGCACACGCCTGTAGGCCTAGCTTCTTGAGAGACTGAGATGAGAGGGTCACGTGAGCCCAGGAGTTCGAGGTTACAGTGAGCTATGATGGCACCACTGCACTCTAGCCTGGATGACAGAGTGAGACACTCTTTCTAAGGAAAAAAAATAAGAAAGAAATGACAGTCTTATATTTTCCTGTTTGTAGATGCGGCCGTAAGATTATTTCTGGCATTTTCTCCCATTACACACACACGCACACACCTCTCTCTCTCTCTCTCTCTCTCTCTCTCTCTCTCTCTCTCTCTCTCTCTCTATATATATATATATATATATATATATATATATTCTATATATATATATATATATATATATATATATGTATGTAATATATAAAAGAGGAAGTTGATTCTGTATATTTATTAATTATCACACTGATTTCTTCCTATCCAAACCTGGGATGTTCACATTTGGGCCAGTGCATCATCCTAAGAGCACAGCTGGCCTTCACTTTCTATCTTAGCCCCTTCAATCCAAATCAGACGCCACCAAGGTTGCTTTCTCTTCATTATATTCTGATAGCCCTTTTGTAAAAAGAAGTCTTTTTTGTTTGTAACATATGTATAATATATATATATAAGAACATGAAATGAAACGATGAAAATACCCATATATACGGGTGTGTGTGTTTGAAGGATTTTTAAAGTCTGCCCTTTTTTTGTAACAGCATTATACTTAATTCACATACCATATAATTTATCCATATAAAGTGTAGAATTCAGTGATTTTTTAGCATATTCAGAGTTGTACAACCATCACCACAATCAACTTTAAAACATTTACATCACACCAGGCCAGACATGGTGGCTCACACCTGTAATCCTAGCACTTTGCAAGGCCCAGGGGAGCAGATTGCTTTAACCCAGGAGTCTGAGACCAACTTGGGCAACATGGTAAAACCCCATCTCTAACAACACACAGGCAGAGTCAGCCAGGCATGGTAGGGCACGCCTGTAGTCCCAGCTACCCGGGAGGCTGAGATGAGAGGATCACCGGAGCCCAGGGGTTAAGGCTGCAGTGAGCCATGATCACACCACTACATTCCAGCCTGGGCCACACAGTGAGACTGTCTCAAAAAAATACACACACACACACACACACACCCCACTCCAAAAAGGAACCCCGTATCCCTCACTTATGATGCCTCAATCTCTATGTTCTCCCAAACTCAAAGCAAGCCCTAATCTACTTCCTGTCTTCCTGGATTTGCCTGTTCTCAATGTTTCAGATAAAGGGACTCAGACAGTATGTCGCCTTTGATGACTGGCTTCCTTCACTATGCTGTGTTCAAGGTTCATCGTGTTGTCACATAGCTGGTACTTCATTCCTTTTTGTGGCCAAATAATTTCCCATTGTATGTGCATAGCACACTTTATCATTGATCCCTTGATGGATATTCCGGTTGTTTCTGTTTTATGGCTTTCATGAATAGTGCGGCCACGGATATCTGTATGTAAGTTTTTGCGTAGCCGTATGTTTTCATTTCTCTTGGGTCTGTACCTAGGAGTAGAATTACTAGGTCCAATGCCGACTGTTTAACTCTGAGGAAGCACCACACAGTGAGCCCTGCACTCTTGCTGCTGGTGATGCGCTGAGAGCTGTTTAATGAGGCGTCAGCATGCCTGACTCCAGACTAAGGGTGACTCATCTTCCCAAACTGACAAATTTCTTTGTTTTGGAAGGAAAGCTGAGTAATTTAATGGGCAAGTGATTTTAAATATTAATGTTTATTAAAATAATTATATCTAATAGAATAAATTTTTATATCACATTTTAGGTAAAAGACTTCACAGATCTTTGAGCTTGAATATGCCCCTAGAATTCCTGGAGTTTTAATTGCCTGTGGTCATAAATGTAAAGTTTGAGAAATATGGGAAATAAAACTAAAAATAGTAGTAAGTGTCATTTTGTGGTTCTTTAATATGAACATTAAATATTGGAGAAAGGGTGAAAAGATGTTAATAGGAAGTATTTTTTAAAATACAAATAAAAAGAACATGAAATTATTTCTCTTAGCAGGCAAATAATACATATCCATGCTTGTCACTTTAAAGATCCCATAGTTAATTACTTTAACTCAACAGTAACCATGTTCTGATTATTGATTTGGAAGTTATTCTAAATAGGAATTGAACTCTGTCACTTTTTTTTCCCCCAGGTGCAGTACAAAAGGTTTCTAAAAAATTAGAAATGCATGTTTATAGCAAGCGGTTGGAGATCATGCTTCAGTAAGTTTTTCACACATTATTTCTCAACAAGGTAGTGACAGTGGGCTGGAAGGAGCCCAGGATTCAGCTCTGGCTCCTACAGGGACTGGGGTGTGGCTCTGACCAGGCCCCTGTGCTGCCCTGAGGCCTGCTTCTCTATCAGGAAGAGAGGGGTGGCCCCGTTCCCTTCCAGCTCCGTCCTCTAGGCAGTTCCAAGTATCTGTGACCTGCTCGGTCAGCTGTTTGTGTTTCAGTTGATCCAGTGCCTCAGGATGCTGGCACAGGGCCTGCCGAGTCAGCAAGGGTGAAAACGTTCTCATAAGGACAAGTGCAAAAAGCTTAGCTGCATGTGACTATCACGAAGAATTATTTTCTGTAGTTACCTGTTAAATGTGAATTCTTTGTAAAATGGTTCTCTTCCAGACTCTTCTTAGTCTGTAAGCTATGAATTACCTTTAGACTAAGTATTCCTCTTTATTTGGTTTTATTTTGGGAGATAGGGTCTTGCTCCATTCCCCAGACTGGAATACAATAGCGTGATCTTGGCTCGCTGCAGCCTCCACTCCCAGACTGAAGCACTCTGCCTCAGCCCCCGTCACAGGCCCACACCACCATGCCCAGCTAATTTTTTTTCGCTGTAGAGACAGGGTCTCCCTGTGTTGCCCAGGCTGGTCTCAAATTCCTGGACTCAAGGGACTCTCCTACCTTGGCCTCCCAAAATGCTGAAATTACAGATGTGAGCCCTCGCCCCATTAGACATTTTAACAAAGTAAGGTATTCTGCTAGTTTAGAAGGCTTTTATGCTAACATTTCTGTTCTTTCCTTCCTTTCCCCAAAATTCGACACTAACCGTTTTTAAAACAGCAAATTAGTGACTTAAAAAAACAGACGATTTAAATGTTTTTTAACATTTAATGTCATTTAGCTTTAAATGATGACTTTCCTTATAGAAGCTGTCACATGTCTTCAAAGATACCACTCTTCCTGCCTCCCCTCCCTCTCGCACCTCCACAAACACACCGGAACTATTCAACTCTTAGGAACAGAAGTATGAGACAGAGCTTCCATTCGGCCCAGGAATGTGAGGTTCTCATGTCCTTAAACTTAAAAATGCAGCTGTTTTCCCAGTTGTTTAAATACTTAGGGTCAGATAGGAATAAATGTATTGGTTTCTTTAGACAAGCCAACAGTAGATCACATGAAAATGTAATCTTTTTTTTCCTATCCTTTTGAATACGTTTCTGTATTTAAAATATAATCTTTTTGGCTGGGTGTGGTGGCCCACACCTGTAATCCCAACACTTCAGGACGCCGAGGTAGGCAGATCACTTGAAGTCAGCAATTCAAGACCAGCCTAGCTAACATGGCAAAACGCCGTCTCTACTAAAACTACAAAAATGAGCACGTGCCTGTAATCCCAGCTACTCGGGAGGCTGAGGCTGGAGAACTGCCTGAACCGGGAGGCGGAGGTTGCATTGAGCCTAGATCATGACACTGCACTCCAGCCTGGTGACAGAGCAAGACTCTGTCTCTAGATAGATAGATAGTAGATAGATTGACTGACGGATCAATCGGTCTTTGTCCTTTGTGTTAGTGTCCCCGCTAAGTTTATTCACACATTTGATGAACAGTAGCTGCCTGAAGATGCAAGCAGTTGATTCCCACCTCCCCTTCCCCAGCTTAATACACTCTTATCAGAGCTTAACTGTCCTAGGCTGACCGAGGTCCGTGTGCTGTTTAGGTTCACTGACTGCCTTTCTTACCTGCACTCAGCCTGCTGGTTGGGCTGCTACTTCCTAACACTTCTGTACCAGGGAGGACAATGTTGAAATGAATGATCAAACCTTCTCCTCCATGACAGAGGCAATGTCTTAGTGCCTTCTGTATCCCATCTCCTAGCACAGCCCCTGCCACATAGAAGATGCTCAATAAATAGCGAATTTAATTAAAGTAAGAGTGGGCAGCTAGTGGGCTGTGAGCCATTTTAACCTAGATCCTGGATTTGAATGCCAGCGCAGCTGTTTCCCAGCCATGAGGCTTTAAGCAAATCACTTAACTTCTGTGTCTTACTTTCTTCACATATAAAAGGGGATCCTTACCAAAGTGATTATAGGTTAAGATAACGTATATAAACCACCTAGCATGATGCCTGCTAAGTAGATCATTCTTGAATAATAGCTGTGTATTTTCCCTGTTTTATAAACGTAATAAGCTATATGCAGGTAAATAAGAAGCTTGTCTCTAGAGTAAATACAGGCTGAGGCAGGTGGCTCACACCTGTAATCCCAGCACTTTGGGAGGCTGAGGCAGGGGGATCACTTGAGGCTAGGAGTTCAAGACCAGCCTGGCCAACATGGCAAAACCCTGACTTTACTAAAAAATACAAAAATTAGCTGGCCATGGTGGCACGCACCTGTAATCCCAGCAACTTGGGAGACTGAGGCAGGAGAATCACTTGAATGGGGGAGGCAGAGGTTGCAGTGAGCCACCCAGATCACATCATTGCACTCCAGCCTGGGAGACAGAGCAAGACTCCCTCTCAAAAACAAGTAAATATAAGTATTCTGCTTTAGAACTGGAACCTATCTTCAGTTTTATTTTTTTCTCAGATATGTAGAGCTGGGCTTCTTCACTAATCCTGCATTTCTGCTTATTTTAAGGGACATATTTGGAGAAGACTGTATAAGTATAAAGGACGACTCTGTTCTTAGTGTCACAGTGGATGGGAAAACTGCCAACCTTAACTTGGAGACGCGGGTATGTAGTGTCCTAGTGTCCTTCCTTCATTTCCAGACATTCGGGAAATCAAGCGAGGACAAAAACCATCTGTGCCCTCACGCTGAACAGTCTACTTTTGCCTTTTGCCATTTCCTTCCAGTGTTTCCGACATTTTTCTCACATTGTCCCTTCTATATTGTGACGTATGAAGTTTTCTGTGTTTTCCAGCTTGCTGCGTAGTGCAGGGTTCCCGTGTGTGTCCCTCCGCTGCTGTCCTTTTCCTTAACACACCTGCCTCACATCCGTTCTCTAGTTTAGCATCTGTTGACTCTCCCTTTTTTAAAGAAGCTGCTCTTTTATTTGCACCAGCAAGATCAAAGTGGATTTTCCAAACAATAAGGTTTGAGAGGCCGGGTGCGGTGGCTCACGCCTGTAATCCCAGCACTTTGGGAGGCCAAGGAGGGCAGATCATGTGAGGTCAGGAGTTTGAGACCAGCCTGACCAACATGGAGAAACCTCATCTCTACTAAAAATACAAAATTACCCCGGGCGTGGTGGCGCATGCCTGTAATCCCAGCTACTCGGGATGCTGAGGCAGGAGAATTGTTTGAACCCAGGAGGCGGAGGTTGCAATGAACTGAGATTGCACCATTGCACCGCAGCCTGGGCAACAAAAGTGAAACACCATCTTAAAAAAAAAAAAAAAAAAAGCTTTGAGAGTGTGGGGCCTGCTCCTGTCTCCCCGCAGCCCCTGCGTGAATCATTCCCAAGATGAATGAACAAAGATATCTTCCCCGCAGGTTGTTTTTGAAGATTAGAATAGTTCCAGATAACCTATGCTGTGATTTTCTTTTATATGTTTTTTGACTACATAGGTTCTTTAAATCTATTTATTTAATAAAATTATAGATAGTATCTAATTTATATCTAATCTAATAATAACATTAGATTTATTTTACCTTAATAGGAAAATAAGCTAGAAACAAGTAGTTCACTAGGGAAGAAATATTGATAGCCAGTAATCAGCAAACTAATGTTCAGATCCATTCATAATAAGAGGAAGTATACTTTTTTTTTCCTATTTCATTTATTTCCGTAGGGTTTGGGGAACAGGTGGTGTTTGGTTACATGGATACGTTCTTTAGTGGTGATCTGTGAGACTCCACCCATCACCTGTGCAGTGTACACTGCACCCAGTTTGTAGTCTCTTATCCCTCATCCCATCCCACTCTTTCCTCTTGGGTCCCCAAAGTCCATTATGTCCCTCTTACGCCTTTGCATCCCCGTAGCTTAGCTCCCACTTATGAGTGAGAACATACGGCATTGGGATTCCATGAGGAAGTACAGGTTTAAAGTGCTGTATCATGCTTAGCATACTGGCACAGATTAAAGAGAGTGATGTGACCCAGTGATGGCGAAAGAATAGGGAATAGTTACTTTCAGGTGCGATGGGAGGGATGGGGAGAGAGAGTATAAATTAGGCAGCGCGTTCATTGTTTCTGAAAAGCAGTGTGGTGGGTGCATCAAAAGCTTTTAAGAAGTAGGTCCCGTGGTGGTACACCTGTAATTCCAGCTACTTCGGATGCTGAGGTGGGAGGATCACTTGAGCCCAGGGGTTTAGGCTGCAGTGAGCTATGATCACACACTGTACTCCAGCCTGGGCAACAGAGCAAGACTCTGTCTCTGGAGGAAAAACAAAAGTCAGGCCTTTTATCTGTAATTCCATTTACTGAATTTAACCAAAGATAACAATTAGACAAGTGAGCAAAGTTTATATAAAAGGATGTCTATTTTAGCATTTCCAAAAATGGCAAGAAATGTAAATATCAAGAGTAAGGGATAAAATAACTGCACGTACATGGCATATCCTTATACTTGGAATAATAAATATATTTAGTTACCAGGAATGATGGTACAGCAGGCAAGAGAAAGAAAGAAAAGGCATCCAGACTAGAAAGGAGGGGGTCACATCATTCTTGTTTGCTGATAATATGATCTTGTATCTAGAGAAACCGAAAGACACCACCCCAAAACTCTTATGTTTGATTAATAAATCCAGTAATGATTAAAAAATCAATGTACAAAAAGTAGCATTTCAACACTCCAGTGACAACCCAGCTGAGAAATCAAGAAGGCAGTCCTACCTACAGTCACTACAAGAAAACAAAAACCAAACCCGGGAATAAATGTAACCCAGGGGGTGAACGATCTCTACAAAGAAAACTAAAAACCACAGATGAAACAACTTATGGATGCCACATGCAAACAGAAACATATCCCGTGCTCATGACTCAGGAGAATCAATATTAAAATAACCATACTGCACAAAGCAATTCCTATCCAAATAACAATTTCCTTTTGTATACAATTAGAAAAAACAATCCTAAAATTTATATGGAACCAAAAAGAGCCAAAAAAAAGGATAGCCCCAGCAGTCCTGAGCAATAAGAACAAAGCTGGAGGCATCGCATTACCTGACTGCAGATTATACTTACAAAGGAAGAGTAACCAAACAGCATGGAACTGCTTTAAAAATACACACATACGTCAGTGGAACAGAATAGAGAACACAGAAATAAAGCCAAATATTTATAGCCAGCTGACCTTTGACAAAGCTGATAACTCTTCAATTAAATGGGGCTAGAAAATTAGATTGCCTTATGTAAATGAAACTGGATCCCTGTATACAAAAATCATCTCAAGATGGATTAAAGACTTAAACATAAAACCCAAAACTATAAAAGTACTAGAAGAAAAGCAAAGGAAAACTCTTTGGGACATTGGTCTAGGCAAAGACTTCAAAAGCACAGGCAACAAAAAGAGACAAATGAGACTTAAAAGTTTCTGCACAGCAAAAGAGGTAGTCAACACAGGCCAAGCTCAGTGGCTCACACCTGTAATCCCAGCACTTTGGGAGGCTGAGGCCAGCGGATCACTTGGGGTCAGAAGTTCGAGACCAGCCTTGACAACATGGTGAAACCCCATCTCTACTAAAAATGCAAAAATTAGCTGGGCGTGGTGGCATGTGCCTGTAGTCCCAGCTACACAGGAGGCTGAAGCAGGAGAATCGCTTGAATCCAGGAGGTGGAGGTTGCAGCAAGCCAAGATTGCACCACTACACTACAGCCTTAGGGAAAAGAGTGAAACACCATCTCAAAAAAGAAAAAAAAAAAAAAGAACACAGGGACAAGACACCCATTGAATGGGATAAAATGTTTACAAACTGTGCATCTTACAGGGGTCTAATATTCAGAATATATAAGGAACTCAACAGCAACAACAAAACCACAAATAATCCCATTAAGAAGTGGGCAAAGGGCCTGGCATGAAAGCTCACGCCTGTAATTCTATTACTTTGGGAGGCCAAGGCAGGTGGATCACCCGAAGTCAGGAGTTCAAGATCAGCCTGGCCAACATGGTGTCTCTACTAAAAAGACAAAAATTAGCCGGCATGGTGGTGCACACCTGTACTCCCAGCTTCTCGGGAGACTGAGGCAAGAGAATTTCTTAAACCCAAGAGACAGGTTTTAGTGAGCTGAGATCACGCCATGGCACTCCAGACTAGGTGACAGCACAAGACTCCATCTAAAAAATAAGGGGGGCCGAGGTGGGTGGATCACAAGGTCAACAGATCGAGACCATCCCGGTCAACATGGTGAAACCCTGTCTCTACTAAAAATACAAAAAATTAGCTGGGCGTGGTGGCGCGTGCCTATAATCCTAGGTACTCGGGAGGCTGAGGCAGGAGAATTGCCTGAACCCAGGAGGCGGAGGTTGTGGTGAGCCAAGATCGCGCCATTGTACTCCAGCCTGGGTAACAAGAATGAAACTCTGTCTCAGAAAAAAGGGGGGGGGGGGCGGCAAAGGCCATGAATAAACATTTTTCTTTCTTTTTTTTTTTTTTAAGAGATGGGTTCTCGCTATGTTGCCCAGGCTGGAGTGCAGTGGCTCTTCACAGGTGCGATCCCACTACTGATGAGCACGGAAGTTTTGACCTGCTCCTGACTTGGGCCGGTTCACCCCTCCTTAGGCAACCTGGTGGTCCCCCACTCCCGGGAGGTCACCATATTGATGCTGAACCTAGTGCTGACACCCAGTCGGCATAGCACACTACAGCCCAGAACGGGGCTCAAGCAGTCCTCCCACCTCAGCCTCCCGAGTAGCTGGGACTACAGGCACGCGCCACCGTACCCGGCAAATAAACATTTTTCAAAAGAAGACATACAAGCTGGGCATGATAGCTCATGTATGTAGTCCCAACACTTTAGGAGGCTGAGGCAGAAGGCTCACTTGAGCCCAGGAGTTCAAGACCAGCCCAGCAACATAGTAAGACTTCATCTCGACAAAAAAAAAAAAAAAAAATGAGTCACGGTAGCATGTGCCTGTAATCCCAGCTACTTGGGAGGCTTAGGAGGTTGAGCCCAGGAGGTTGAGGCTGCAGTGAGCTGAGATTGCACCACTGCACTCTGACTGGGGCAACAGAGTAAGACCCCGTCTCAAAAAAAAAAAAAAGAAGACATACAAATGGCCAACATGTATATGAAGAAATATTCAACATCACTAATAATCAGAGAAATACAAATGAAAACCAGTGAGATGCCCTCCTACCCCAAAGTGACTATTATTAAACAAAAAGTAACACGTTGACAGGCAGGGAAAGGGAGACTTACACACTGCTGCCGGATTATAAATTCCAAAACCTCGATGGAACACAGTTCGGAGATTTCTCAAAAAAACGAAAAGAAACTGCCATTTGACACAGCAGTCCCACTACGGGATACCTATCCAAAGGATAAATCAATATATCAAAAAGATACCTGTGGCCATGCGCAGTGGCTCACACCTGTAATCCCAGCACTTTGTGAGGCCAAGGTGGGCAGATCACCTGAGGTCAGGAGTTCGAGACCAGCCTGCCGAACATGGTAAAACCCCATCTCTACAAAAATACAAAAAGAATTAGCCAGGCATGATGGTGGGTGTCTGTAATTCCTGCTACTCGGGAGACTGAGGCAGGAGAATCCCTCGAACCTGGGAGGCAGAGGTTGCAGTGAGCCGAGATGGCACCATTGCCCTTCAGCCTGGCAACAAGAGTGAAACTTCATCTGGAAAAAAAAAAAAGCACCTGCACTCCTATGTTAATTGCATCACAGTTCACAACAGCAAATATATGGCCTTAACCTAAGTGTCCATCAGTGGAAGAATGGATAAGGAAAATGGCATATGTACACAGTGGAGTACTATTCAGCCTTAAAAAAGAATGAAATTGGGTCTTTTGCAGCAACACGGATGGAAATGGAGGTCTTTAGTGAAATAAGCCAGGCACAGAAAATCAGGTATCCCATCTTCTCATTTATACTAAAAAAAGTACACACATGGCCATAGAGAGTGGAATGATACACAGTGGAAACTCAGAAGTGAGTGGGGGTGGGGGCTGATGGCACAGTGTCTGCTCTCCAGGTGACAGGTGCCCTAGAAGCCCTGACTAGTCCCTTGGGCTCTCTGTGCATGTAACAAAACTGCACATGTACCCCATACATTTGTACCAAAAAAAGATGCAGGTTTATTAATGTGCAGAGTTGTCCACTATACACTGTTGAGTGAAAAAAAGTACAAGATGGCACATAGGAGAAATTATCCCGTTTTCGTTTTTAATATAGATATAAAAAGTCTAGACAGTTGCTACATTGAAATGGTAACCATAGTTACCATTAGGGCAGAGGTGGTGTTTTCCTCTTTCCTGTTTTTAATGGGGAATGTTTATGGTATGATAAAAACATTTGTTAAACATATATAGTGTTTTATAATTGAGCTTTAAGAAGTAACTACAGGCCGGGCAGGGTGGCTCATGCCTGTAATCCCAGCACTTTGGGAGGCCAAGGTGAGCAGATCACAAGGTCAGGAGCGGATCACAAGACAAGCCTGGCCAACGTAGTAAATCCGTCTCTACTAAATATACAAAAAATTAGCTGGATGTGGTGGTGCCCCTCTATAATCTCAGCTACTCAGGAGACTGAGACAGGAGAATTGCTTGAACCTGGGAGGCGGAGTCTGCAGTAAGCTAAGATTGCGCCATTGCACCCAGCCCTGCCGACAGCAAGACTCCGTCTCAAAAAAAAAAAAAAAAAAATAGAGGCCAGGTGCAGTGGGTTATGCCTGTAATGTCAACACTTGGAGGCCAAGGTGGGCAGATCATTTGAGGTCAAGAGTTTGGGACCAGCCTAGCCAACATGGTGAAACCCCATTTCTACTAAAAATACAAAAATCAGCTGGGCGTGGTGGTATGCCTGTTGTCCCAGCTATTCAGGAGGCTGAGGCAGGAGAACCCAGGAGGCAGAGGTCACATTGAGCTGAGATCACATCACTGCTGTCTAATAAAAATGAAGTAACGGCTGGGCGAGGTGGCTCCTTCCTGTAATCCCAGCACTTTGGGAGGCCGAAGAGGGCGGATCATGAGGTCTCAAATTCGAGACCAGCCTGGCCAACATGGTCAAACCACGTCTCTACTAAAAATGTAAAAATTAGCCGGGTGTGGTGGCACACGCCTATGACCCCAGCTGCTTAGAAGGCTGAAGCAGGAGAATTGCTTGAACTTGAGAGGCAGAGGTTGCAGTGAGCCAAGATTGCGCCATTGCACTCCAGCCTGGGCAACAGGGTAAGACTCCATCTCAAAAAAAAAAAAAAATAACTAGAAGTTTATTGGTGAGTTTAACTCAAATTTAATACCAAATGTTGAGTAGACGGCCACATCCATTCCTTGCCAAGTAATTTGTGTGGCACAAACTTCCCTGGAGTATCATTTACTGGATCAAAATGTGGGCTTTAAAGTAATGTGGTTTACTAGACTTTTCCCAGTCTTTCCCCGGCTGCCTCAGATCATCACTAATTCGGCCCATCATCGTGCTGTCAGGAAGCACTGCCCCCAGCTGCACGCCCACAAGTGTGCAGGGCAGCTGTTCTGTTTCAGGGTAATCAGTTCCACCGTGACCTCTGCCCACACAGATGGTCGTTCTTTTTTGAGACTGGGTCTGGTTGTGCCGCCCAGGCTGGAGCGCAGTGGTGCAGTCAGCTCGCTGCAGCCTCAACCTCTGGAGCTCAGTGAACCTCCCTTGAGTAGCAGGAGCCACAGGCACATGCTACCACACCTGGCTAATTTTTTGTGAAATGACTTTTTTAAAGAGCATTCATTTATATTCCATGTAATCGTTATAGACTTAATTTTAATAATTAAAGTCTTATTTATGCCTTCATTTTCAGACTGTAGAATGTGAAGAAGGAAGTGAAGATGATGAATCCCTCCGAGAAATGGTGGAACTCGCTGCACAGAGACTATATGAGGCCCTGACACCAGTTCACTGAGAACCTATGATTGTATATGTTAAAAGTTTAAACATACTTGATTCTACTTCTGTTACTTAAAATACGTTAGTTTCTCTGAGGGTGTTTACTTTTGATGTCAAATGACCTTTATTCCAACAGCCTGAATACTGCTAAATTGCCAACTAATTTGTCCATTATTCTAGAACTAACTACTAAATAAACTGCCCATTATTTTTGAATTTATAGATTCTTCCAGGCATATGTGCAGCTCCCCTTGAAACCATCCAGATCTGCTGATAGCAACCGCTACTGGCTACCGGTCTCCCTGGGTTAACCAATTTGAGTTCTTAAGGATGCTAAGTAGCACTTAACAGACCTGGCTTCAAGCCTCTGCTGCCTGAGGCCTTAATGAAGGCCTTGTGATAAGGGTGACGTGCAGCCACCCTTGCTTGCTCTAGCAGGGGCTCTCAATCTGGGCTGCCCATGGGAATCACATGGGGTGCATTACAAGTGCACCTGTGTCCAGGTCCTGCTACCAGGAGGTGAGTTAATTGGGCTGGAGTGAGGGCCTTTGGTTGGATCTTAGGTGAGTTAATTGGGCCGGAGTGAGGGCCTTTGGTTGGATCTTAGGTGAGTTAATTGGGCTGGAGTGAGGGCCTTTGGTTGGATCTTGTTTGTAAAGATCGCCCAGGTGATCCAAGCTATTAGGTCTTGCTCTGCGCCCATAGCCCGCCCCAGGGAGCAGGATCCGCCTCTGCGCCGGCTCCCCAGGCCCTTCTATTATTCATCTACAGCTCTGTGGTTTCAGGGCGACCTTCCCACTCGTTTTTAGCTCGGCCACTGCACTTCATTGCACAGCTAAGGTAAGAACGTTGCATTGCAACCACGTTTTATTCAACAGATGAATCCTTTGGAAATAAGTCGTGCTCCGTGTCCGCGCATCCACCCAACGGCAGGGTAAAGTGAAGCCGCTGGCTGGACGCTTAGAACGTGCAGCTGCTTTCCCTCGTCATTCGCAGAACTACGATGTACAGCCAGGGTCTCCAGAGTGACGCCCGGCGCAGGAGGCCGCTTGCGCACCCCACGACCTCTTCCAGAGGGACTGGAGCATACAGAGGGCCATGGGAACAGCCCCATGCCCGACCGAGGGCCAGCAGCGCTGCCCGCCGCGCGTCCTGGGGTCACACGCCTGCCCTTTGAAGAACGCACCTGCGCAGGGTGGGCTTAGGGCAGCGCCCCCGAACCGATTTCCTTCCGGGACCCACGCGGCGGGGCGCGGGCTCCGGACACCCTGGGGGCAGTCTCGCTGTGGGTGAACGATCGCGGAGGCGGAGCTTCTGGCAGACTCCAAGGGGCCATGGGCGTCGAGCCCGCCTAGGTGCCCGACCAGCCAGGCTCCCGCAACCCACGGGCGGCCACTGCGCAGGCGCCTCGCCGAGCCGGCGGCCCCGCCCCGGCCTGCGGTTCCATGGCGCTGTGCGAGGCCGCGGGCTGCGGAAGCGCCCTGGTGTGGCCTCGCGTGTTGCTCTTCGGGGACTCCATCACCCAGGTACCGCCACCCGGACGCTCAGCCTCTCGCCGTGGCCTCCCTGCAGGGTTGCTGCCCAGCTGGCCGGGGCTCCTCGCCGTCCTCTGCGGCCCAGGAAACGGCTGGGGCGAAGCCTGGCCACGCCCGTGGCGACCCGGGTCCCCCAGTGGCTGCGCTTTGCCGGCCTGCGGCATCCCGGAGGCCAAGACGGTCCCTGCGAGAGCCCCGGTTCCCGGCACAGACGCGAGGGGACCCGGCCGCGCTGCTCGCCCCGCGCCGCCTCCCACCTGGGTCGGGAAGTGCGGTCGTCCCCTCCGCGCCGTCCTGGGCGGCAACGGTTCCCATCCGGGTCCAGGCGAGCGGCTCCGGGCGCCCTTTGTGTCCCAGGAAGCCGCGCGGGCACAGGTGGGGCCGTCAGAGGTGGACCTTAGAAGTAAAATGCCTTCAAGAATTAGGTAGAAAAGGACCATCTGTTCATCCAAGATCTCACCTCCCGTGAAGGGAACGATCTAAATGCAGGTTCTTCAGGGAGGGAGTGGAAAGTCCATTCCTGTGTGTCCTCTTCTCAGGACTTGCTTCACCAGGTTTTTGTGTATATGCCAGTAACTGGCAACATTATTTTTAGGCATATGGGGCAGTCAGGGCTTCCCGAATTGCACGGGAATGTGTATGAGAAATGTTCACCGTCCGCTCCGTAACCAGTGAGGTAGCACGGACTTCATTTCCTCTTTGGACTTGTAGTTGACTTTATCTCCTGAACTTGGATTTCTGTTTAGCTTTTTTTTGTTCTTTGAGACGGAGCCTCACTCTGTCGCCCAGGTTGGAGTGCAGTGTCGAGGTCTCGGCGCACTGCCACCTCCGCCTTCCGGGTTCAAGCGTTTCTCCTGCCTCAGCCTCCTAAGTAGCTGGGATTATAGACGGACGCCACACCGAGCTAATTTTTGTATTTTTAGCAGAGACGGGGTTTCGCCACGTTGACCAGGCTGGTGTCGAACTCCTGACCTCAGGTGATCCACCCGCCTCGGCCGCCCAAAGTGCTGGGATTACAGGCTGTTTAGCCTTCAATTGATAAAGAAAAAGCCCCCCTCTGCTAAAGTGCTTCCAGGTGTACTTACCTGTAATCCCCAGAATGACCTCCCCAGAGTGAATCAAGGCACAAAAGCCAAGAAGAGAGGGCAGAGAAAACAAAGGCATTGCGGATCAGAACTACCCTTGCCGAAATGACCAGCCAGTCATTTGTAGTAATAATGGGCTTTTCTTTCTCCAGTTTTCCTTCCAGCAGGGTGGATGGGGAGCATCGCTGGCTGACAAGCTGGTCAGGTGAGAATGGTTTCCGATACTTGAGTACTGATGGATGGAGGGAAGATGTCATTATCTTGGGAAGAGAGAGTGAAGGGTAGTTCTGAACAGAACATTTCCCCTTTGTTAATTTTGCTTGCCTTTCCTAGTGTATAGGAGAAGGAACAGAAAACATTTAATCTTCACTCGTCTGACCAGTTAGATATTTTAGGGTTGAGCTCTGATGGCTGGGTAGACTCAAGCTAAGTAAACGGCCAATGCCTCTTTGCTAGTCAAGGACACACAGATGTAAGTCCCAGCCGCTGTGATCGCAGAACTTGCAGTTTTACTGCTACACCACACTGGCAGGAAGCTACTTTGTCTTTTTTTTTTGGAAGTGCTGCGGTGACTAAGACAGACTCGCCTTGTCACAATTCCACCACACTTCGGTTTTTTGTGGTTTTTGAGACAGGGTCTCTCACCTAGGCAGTAGTGTGCAGTAGCGTGATCAGGGCTTACTGCAGCCTCGACTTCTGGGGCTCAAGCCATTATCCCACCTCGGCCTCCTGAGTGGCTGAGACCTACGGGCATGTGCCACTACACCCAGCCCGGCACTTCATTTTTAAGTACTGTAATTTCACTATGTAAAAAGGCTAGTCAGCATTTTGTAATCATTACATACAAAAACAATCTTACTTAGAAATAAGGCTGAGAAAAAAAAATAGAGAAATAAGGCTGAGTTTCACTTGTTCCCCACCTTAAACGCTGCCTGAGAACTCTGAGTAGTGTCATAAAAAGCGTACTTGTGGGCTGCTTTGGAGCCCACTGCCTGACATTGTGGCTGCGCTTCTCCACTGCTGCCTCAGCTTCTCTGCTTACACATCTGTAGGAATTTGAACCATACACCAAAATGAACTATACTGATTTACTAATCATAAATTGGACCCCCAGGATTCATTTTAAGAAAACTTTATGGTGAGCCGGGCACGGTGGCTCACACCTGTAATCCCAGCACTTTGGGAGGCTGAGGCAGGTGGATCATGAGGTCAAGAGATCGAGACCATCCTGGTCAACATGGTGAAACCCCGTCTCTACTAAAAATACAAAAATTAGCTGGGCATGGTGGTCCGCGCCTGTAGTCCCAGCTATTTGGGAGGCTGAGGCAGGAGAATTGCTTGAACCCAGGAGGCAGAGGTTGCAGTGAGCCAAGATCGTGCCATTGCACTCCAGTCTGGGTAACAACAGCGAAACTCCATCTCAAAAAAAAAAAGAAAGAAAACTTTATGGACAACTTCAAACATCTACAGAATCAAAGAGTGAAATGAGCCCATCAATGCCTCCTACTATGGATTATTCTAAAGCAAATCCCAGATCATATCGTTTTACCAAGACTAAGAAAAAAAGAGTCCCACTTACGTGCCTGGTACCATCTGAGGGGTTTTAAATCTGCCTGATGCAATCCTGAACTGGGATTCTCCTCACTTTACATGTGAGGAAGGAGTGGCAGGCATGTCCAGGGTCATGCCTAGTCACAGACGGAGCTGAGAAACAAATCCAGGCAAACTGGCCTTTTTTTCTTTTTCATTTCACCTCCAGTACTGTGAATCCAACTATTTTTAAGAAGGAAACAAGCCTATGAACTGGTTTAAGTTGAAACCAACTAATATATTTATTAAAACTAATCAAAACTAGAAATCAAATCTTCCATAGACTATTTAAATCTTTTTTTTTTTTTTTTTTTTTTTTTTTTTTGAGACAGAGTCTTGCTCTGTCGCCCAGGCTGGAGTGCAGTGGCACCATCTCAGCTCACTGCAACCTCTGCCTCCCAGGTTCAAGCAATTCTCCTGCCTCAGCCTCCCGAGTGGCTGGGATTACAGGTGCCTGCCACCATGCCCAGCTAATTTTTGTATTTTTAGTAGAGATGAGATTTCACCATGTTCGTCAGGCTGGTCTTGAACTCCTGATCTCGTGATCTGCCCACCTCGGCCTCCCAAAGTGCTGGGATTATAGGCGTGAGCTACTGTGCCTGGTCTATTTACTTTAGTTTCTGAAACTAAACTATTTTAAGTTCCAGCATATTATTAGCTTTTTACCTGAGATACTTGCTCAGATCAATAACGGTCTGTCGTGAACTCCATTTTAAAAGCACCCCACTATACCATGCCTGAAGTCAGGTAGTCTGCAGGCTTAATCCCAGCCCCTTTATATGTAATTACTTATGATTTCTCACAGAGGAGTATGGCGTATTTACCTGTATCTTTGGCTTAAGGAAGATTAGCATGCTTCAACTATGTACTTGCTTCTTTCAAAGTGAAACCTGGGGCAGCCTCAGAGACACATGACAGGCTGAGAATCCCAGAGAGCACACCCTCACTAAAGGTTGGTTACTGGGACCGTGACTTCTTTCCCACAATTCATCTTTTTAAAATTTTTCATTTCAGAAAATGTGATGTTCTGAATCGTGGATTTTCAGGTTATAATACCAGATGGGCCAAAATTATCCTTCCAAGATTAATCAGGAAAGGAAACAGCTTGGACACCCCAGTAGCTGTGACAGTCTTCTTTGGGGCCAATGACAGTGCACTAAAAGGTGAAGGCATTTTTGTGTTTTTCTAGCTCTCTTTAGTCATTTTTATGTTGCAGCAAACTTACATGTAATATACTTTTTTCAACTGTTTACTTTCTCCCAATAGATAGTTTTGCCAAACTTAAGAGTTCCTTGAGTTTATATGTATTTCTGGCTTTAAAACCAGTGGATTTTATTCTCGACTCAGTTTCTACATGCCTCGGTTGCTGGCTGTTCTAATCTTGCAAACACTTAAATATTTTCTAGAGTCTGTTAGTGCTATGCTAAGTTTTTAATGTTTCTCTCTTTAGTTGATGCATTTGGCAGCAGAAAGCTTATGTATACCTGTGGTTTGCATGACACTGATGCAGCTGGGGGGTGTCTTAGGAGGTGTATTTCAGGGCAGCAGCCACCCTGACCTAGGCTAGGCTTGAATCCTGGGCGATGGTGAACGTGGGTTTGGAAAAGGAGGTGGACTCTCCTCGTTTGCTGAATTGTTGCTGTGACTAGAGCAAAGCTAGCCGTGTAAGAGGCCTTTCTCTCTTCCCGTTCTACTCTTGAAAGAAGAGCCTTCTGCATGCTATAAACGAGGAAAGTCAGCCTTTGTTTTAGGGTGTTAGGTAGTCACCTTCCAGAGATTTCTTTTGTGCCCTACATGTGTCACAGAAGTGGTGTGGAAAGCTATTTATAGGTACAGTGAGGGGGACCTCTAAGGTGGGGCTGGACATGAAGGAACACCAACTGCAGTAAGAGAAATTCTTGCTCTCAGGAGAAAGATTCTATAGATCACAGGTATCAGTAGAGACTGCATGCTAACCATTACACTGGGGAAGAAATTAATCTTCACTTTATTTCTTGCACCAAAAACTCTAAGAAAACTCAAAACAGAATTTTTTAAAAAGAAATTTTCCCAAATTTAGGATAAGGAAAAACACTTCCTAAGTATAAAAGCAGTGGAGGAAGCCACAAAGGAAAAACAGGTTTATGAAATAAATTTAAAATAGGTTAGAAAAAACTGGAAGAGAAAATGATGTGTTAAGGAAAATATCTGAAAATTGGGACAGACAAGAGAGTAGTATCTTTGGTGTAGAAATCAAGACAAATACTCCAATAGAAAACATGGGCAAAGGACAGGAACAGAGAAAAGGAGAAATTTTAACAGCAAATACATATTTGAAAATGTGTGAAAACTTAAAAAAATGCCAATTAAAACAAGATATTTTGATTTTTGACTCAAAGAAAAGCAGTATGAAGCAATAATGCTTATAGCCGACAGACATGAAATTAGATTGGAACTCTTCATTCTTGGAGGGAGAAGAGCTTATAACCCTTCTGGAAAGCTGAGTGACAGTAGGGTCAAGTGACTGCCCACATGTAGAAATTCAACCTAAGGAAGTATTCAGAAATGCAGCCAGATATGTGTGCAGAGATTTCTGTGTATTGCTACTTATTTTTTTGAGATGGAGTTTTGATCTTTTGCCCAGCCTGGAGTGAAGTGACACGATCTCAGCTCACTGCAACCTCCACCTCCCAGGTTCAAGCAGTTCTCTGCCTTAGCCTCCTGAGTAGTTGGGATTCAGGCACGCGCCACCATGCCCAGCTGTTTTTATATTTTTAATAGAGATGGGATTTTGCCATATTGGCCAGGTTGGTCTCAAACTCCTGATCTCAGGTGATCCACCTGCCTCTGCCTCCCAAAGTGCTAGGATTTCAGGTGTGAGCCACCGTGCCCAGCTGTGTATTCCTATTTAAAACAGCAGATTAGGCCGGGCGCGGTGGCTCAAGCCTGTAATCCCAGCACTTTGGGAGGCCGAGGCAGGTGGATCACGAGGTCAACAGATCGAGACCATCTTGGTCAACATGGTGAAACCCCGTCTCTACTAAAATTCCAAAAAATTAGCTGGGCACGGTGGGGCGTGCCTGTAATCCCAGCTGCTCGGGAGGCTGAGGCAGGAGAATTGCCTGAACCCAGGAGGCGGAGATTGTGGTGAGCCGAGATCGCGCCACTGCACTCCAGCCTGGGTAACAAGAGCGAAACTCCGTCTCAAAAAAAAAAACAAAACAAAACAAAAAAAAACCCAGCAGATTAGAAGCTGTACAGTAAGGAAACAAACATCATGTGGTCACCCTACAAATACATATCATTTTTTTTTTTGAGGACTATTTATGGACACAGAAAAGCTCATAATATGTCATGTGAGCCAGGCATGGCGGCTTATGCCTGTAATCCCAACACTGGGAGGTGAGGCCAAGGTGGGAGGATTGTTTGAGGCCAGGAGTTTGAGACCAGCCTGGGCAACAGAGAGAGACCCTTGTCTCAACAACGGCGAAATTTGCCAAATGTGATTACACATGCCTATAGTCCCAGCTACTTGGGAAGCTGAGGTGGGCGGGTCACTTAGACCCAGGAGTTCAAGGTTATAGTGAGCTGTGATCACACTACTACACTCTAGCCTGGGAGATGGAGCGACAACCTGTCTCTAAAACAATCTGTAGAAAAAAAGCAAAATATAAAGTCTTCAATGTGAATATAATCTTCAGTGCAAACTCATTTTTATTTAAAGTGTACATATCTTCCTGAAAAGACTGGAAAGATATACATCCAAATGCCAACAGTGGTTTTCTGGGTGGTAGGATCATTGGTGACTTTTTTTCTTTACACGTACTTATATGTGGTTAGCAAATGGCCTACAGTGACCCTTGTAATACTTGAGAGAGCCTATTTAGAAAATACTCCTTTGCAGTAACGGAGGTAGTAGTCATGGGTGCATTTGTTTAGACTGAGTGCTTGCTTCATGAAGGCACCCTGCTTGGTGCTGTAAACTCTTAGCTATTTTGATTTTCAGTCCTAGAGGGAAACCCTATTATCGTCCTCATTTTACCAATAAGGTACGGAAAGGCTAAGTATTTATCTGTGGTTCTGTAGCAAGGAGTGACAAAGCCAGGATTCGAACCTAGGCTGTCTCACTCAACAGGCTGGGCTCTTGAATTTCTTTACAAATTCAACCTCATTGATTTAACAACCATCTGGAAACTAGTGACAAAAATACAAGAGTACTTTGACTCATGCCTGTAATCCCAGCACTTTGGGAGGCCGAGGCAGGCAGATCACGAGGTCAAGATATCGAGACCACGGTGAAACCCCATCTCTACTAAAAAATATAAAAATTAGCTGGGCGTGGTAGTACACACCTGTGGTCCCAGCTACTCAGAAGGCTGAGGCAGGAGAATTGCTTGAACCTGGGAGGCGGAGGTTACAGTGAGCCTAGATCACGCCACTGCACTCCAGCCTGGCGCCTAGCAACAGAGCAAGACTCTGTCTCAAAAAAAAAAAAAGTACTTAACAGTGCCCCTAGTCAGAGCCTTTGAAGTCTTGTTTATGAAGAACTATACATTTTAATTCATTAAGGAGAAAACCTTCACTTTGTGTCGTTGGTGTTAAACAATTCCCCAGTGACATCATGAATCGCAGGCATTTGCAGAAGTGTGTTCACCTCAGTTGTCGTCACTTATAATAAGTAAGCATTTGGTGAGTACTCATGTTTCTCCTGGACAGATGAGAATCCCAAGCAGCACATTGCCCTGGACGAGTATGCTGCAAATTTAAAGAGCATGGTGCAGTACCTGAAGTCTGTGGACATCCCTGAGAATCGAGTCATTCTCATCACGCCGACCCCACTTTGTGAAACAGCCTGGGAAAAACAGTGCATCATACAAGGTAAGCAACCCGCAGCCAACCTCAGCAAACCTGGATAGGAACACTGAGGGAAGAACTGATAGGCAGTGGTTTCCTGCCTGGGGGCTTCTGTTTCTTAGGGTCTCTGTATGTCCATTCATCAACAGCTTCCATTATGTTATACCTGATCCCTTTTTGACATAGGAAAGGGATTCTGGCTTCGGATAGTCAGGAGGGAACCACAGGCCTCACATCTGCTGACCTTTACAATTGCCAAACTCCAGGGTGCACGTGCAGCCCACTGAGAACTGTGCGCAGTTGTGGTGCTCTGTGGGGGCTGGGACTGGGGGGTGCTCTGTGGGGGCTGGGACTGGGGGTGCTCTAGGGGCTGGGACTGGGAGGTGCTCTGGGGGGCTGGGACTGGGGGGTGCTCTGAGGGCTGGAACTGGGAGTGCTCTGTGAGGGCTGGGACTGGGGGGTGCTCTGTGAGGGCTGGGACTGGGGGTGCTCTGTAGGGGCTGGGACTGGGGGGTGCTCTGTGGGGGCTGGGACTGGGGGGTGCTCTGTGAGGGCTGGGACTGGGGGTGCTCTGTAGGGGCTGGGACTGGGAGGTGCTCTGGGGGGGCTGGGACTGGGGGGTGCTCTGGGGGGCTGGGACTGGGGGTGCTCTAGGGGCTGGGACTGGGAGGTGCTCTGTGGGGGCTGGGACTGGGGGGTGCTCTAGGGGCTGGGACTGGGGGTGCTCTAGGGGCTGGGACTGGGAGGTGCTCTGGGGGGGGCTGGGACTGGGGGGTGCTCTGTGGGGGATGGGACTGGAGGTTGCTCTGGGGGCTGCGACTGGGAGGTGCTCTGTGGGGGCTAGGACTGGAGGGCTGCTGTGCCTTGACTCGGAGGTCCATACCTGGGGCTTTTTTTCTGGCTCATGGGAGGTGGGATAGGAATGATGGGATAGGAGTCACTAGCACTCTGTGTACTCAGGTTTCACATCCCTCAAGTGCTGTGTTTTCGAGCCACCTTTGGTTGAAAAACCTGCATATAAGCGGACCTTCACGGTTCAAACCGTTGTTCAAGGGTCAGCTGTATGTTAATGGTTATGGAAGTTTTCTAAGCTGCCGAGAACTCAACATTCTAGGACAAATTATTGGCCTTGCAACACAGAACAGCTGTTTCTCAAAGCATGGTCTGACTCAAACAGTATTTGTAGGTAGATTTCAATGCTGGGCCCATTTTCAGCACACCAGATGTTTTTTACACACTACAGCAGGCGTACCACAATTTTATGGAAGACTGTTATTGTCCCTACTTTACCAGTGGATAAACTGAGTCTTAGAGAAGTTAAGTAACCTGCCCAAGATCACACAGCCAATGACAGAACCCAGAATCAAATCCAGTAGTGTGACTTCAGAGCTCAAGTACTTACTGTTACAAGAGTTTACTGTTGAGTTGGGCTGTAGCTATGACCCCTGCTCTCAAAGGGCCTCTCATCCTTAGAGGAGAATCCAACGCCTTCTGAAGTCACACAGAGCATATGTCAAGGGGTGCCACACACTGGAGGCACAAACCTGGGGAGAAACCCTAGCCTGTGGGGCATGGTGGTAGCAGGCTCTGGGCATCACATCAGGGCAGAGGGCCCCTAATGCTGTGCATGAGATACCAGAGTGTTCTGCAGGGAGGCCTAAAGGCCCACAAAGCTCCACTGGAGACACCTCCAGACCCCTAGCTCGCCTCTGGGCCTGCAGCCATAACTGACCTGGGGGACAGTGTTGTCCTGGCTTTAATAGAAGGGGATGAATGTTAGATAGCTTGGTCCACAGAAGCTGTTTAGACTTCTTTTTGTTTACTGTTTCCTAGGGAAAGAATATATGACATTCTGAATGTTTAATTTCATTTCCTCTTTCCATCCTTGAATGTAGCCCAGTGGAGACTTTTTAAAAACTCAATGAGCAAAGCAGGTAGAGGAGAGGTTACATCTCAGTAACTCGTCCCCCTAGAAATTCAGCTGCTTATTTTTTGAGACGGTCTTGCTGTGTCACCCAAGCTGGAGTGCAGTGGCTTGCTTACAGCTCACTGCAGCCTGGACTTCTGGGCTCAGAGATCCTCTTGCCCCAGCCTTCCAAGTAGCTGGAACCACCGGCATGTGCCACCATGCTCAACTAATTTTTAAAATTTTTTCATAAGAATGAGGTAGCTAGTTATAATCCAGGTGAATTTTACAAATGAACAATTGATCCCATGTATGAATCAAAACTGGCAAATAGTTTCTTCTCTCTGATGTAGAGCCTGGGCCAGCACAGGTCCTCCTGTGACCATGTCCAGTTGCTCTTATCCTCATGCTTTCTCTTTCATACGATTCTGTGGTCCGCCTCCCGCCAGTCCTCACTGTCCTATTTGCAGCCTCCTGAGCCTTTTCTCCTACCCCCAGCCCCTCCTTCTAACCTGGCACAATCCCCAGATACCTCACTCCAGCCTTCCCTAGTGCAGCTCCCTGGGAGGAGGAGGCAGCCTGCGCCTGTGTTAGATACACTCAATTGCTCTGTGCTGGCTGCTTTGCTGGAGTTTAGTCTCAGCCCTGTCAGTATTCCTGCAATTACGTAGGCACTGTCATCACAGGGATGCAGAAAGCTTGAGGACAATTAAGAAAGCTGTACAGTCACACAGCTATTTAGTGAAAACTATAGGCATCAAAACGTAGATATCTGTATCTGAAGTCTACAAATAATTTTGCTGTGCTGCGGTGCAGCTGTTACATGTAAAAAGCCAGTGGTGTCAGCACTCCATGGCCTGGCATTTCTTCCCAGTACAGCCCTTACCAGCCCCCAGCCCAGCTCCTGTAGCCGGCACTCTCCAAGCAGCCCAGCTCTCTTGGGCCTTTTCTGCCTCTGTGCCTTCTTCAAGGTGCCCTCTAGAACATCCTCCCTGGCTCCTCAGAAGGCTCTGGTTACCACTAAAGGCTCCTCCTTCCCATTGTACCTTGTCCTCTGCTGGGTAGAGCAGCACACCAGTAACCTGCAAGGCCTATCAACATATACCCCAGCCCCTGGGGCTGGCCCAAGTGAGGTCAGTATTTAATGGCACTTGAAACTGTCTAGATGAGTACAGCAGAACTTATACGAGGACCAGCATTTGGGTTTATCAACTGCCACCTCGATTTCTTCTCTCCAAAAGGTTGCAAACTAAATCGCCTGAATTCTGTTGTTGGTGAATATGCCAATGCATGTTTACAAGTGGCCCAAGACTGTGGGACTGACGTACTTGACCTGTGGACCCTGATGCAAGAAAGCCAGGTATGGTGGCTTGCTCAGTCCTCTTGGGGTGAATAGGATCACACAGAAGTAAACCAGGTGTGTGTACAGCTTTCCCTAGAAAGGTCCTGCTTAGCTAAAAGAGTCATCCCTTTAGCCAATGGAATCAAAAAGGCTTGGGGAGAGAAGGAATGGAGGTTCCAGGATGGCTCACAAGCCCAGCAGCTTCTTCGGCCAGGCTCCTTGGCTGTTAGTACACAATGATGTAAATGAGCAATACGTGGCTCCTATTTATGAACATCTAAGCCAAGTTCTTCTTTCATATATAAAATGGCAGAAGAAGCTAAAACTTGTTAAAACATGAAACAATGAATCTGAATATAGTATTGGCTGATAACTCAGTTTGTGATACGTAGTTCTAATTAAGTTACTTTGTTTTAAAGCCTGAAAGCATATTCACAAACATAAAAGATAAAAAGTGGGTCCCATAGAGTGGTGCAGCCACTCAGGAGATGGCTGGACATTTCCTACGCAGTCACACATACACTTAGGGAGGACCTGGCCGTCCACTCCTGGGTTATCTGCCCTAGAGAAAGAAAAACTGATCACACGTAACTTGGGTGTGATGCTGACAGCAGCATCATTCCTGCCTGCTGGAAACACCCCAGTGTCCTCGGGTGGCTGAACCTGGCGTGTCCATGCAATGGGATACTACTTGGCAATAAAAAGTAAGTCTTGACACAGAGCAACACAGGTGACTCAAAGCACTTCACTAAGGGAAGGAAGCTGGTCTCTGAAGGTTACATACTACATGAGTCCATCTGCTTGGTACCCCAAAAAGGCAAGACTGGGCTGGGCGCGGTGGCTCACGCCTGTAAACCCAGCACTTTGGGAGACCAAGGCAGGTGGATCACCTGAGGTCAGGAGTTCAAGACCAGCCTGGGCAACAAGAGCAAGACTCCGTCAAAAAAAGAAAGTCACATAAGCTAGTTGGCACCCAGATTCTAACAGAGCTCTTGCCTAAGAAGATTCTTCCCCAAGTGAGAAATAGCTGTATGGGTAAAATTATTGAGTTCAGGGCCTGGTATGGCTGTTCATGCCTATAATCCCAATACTTCATGAGACCAAGGTGGGAGAATTGCTTGAGCCTAGGAGTTCAAGACCAGCCTGGGCAACATAAGACCAGTCTGTACAAAAAGTCCAAAAATTAGCCAGGCATGGTGGCACATGGCTGTGGTCCCAGCTACTCAGGGGGCTGAGGTTGGAAGGATCCCTTGTGCCCAGGAGGTTGAGGCTACAGTGAGCCATGATCATGTCACTGTACTCCAGTCTAAGCAACAAAGCAAAAACCTATCTCCAAAGATATATATATATTTTTAAATATATACTGTTGAGTTCAGGGGAGTAGGAGTGAGACTGGGCTCTTGTCTCAGCAATTACTAGTCTAGGTTAGATGGTACAAGTTCTTTCCACCTAAAAATCTAAGTCAAAAACAATATTGACTCATGGGAGACCTGATACCAAATTTTTCATTTTTTGCTGATTATGTTTATAGGCCATATTTCCCTGTTAAAGCTCTTTCCAACAATAACCTGAGAATCATGTCATATGACTCAGGAGACCTAGAATGAGGTCCCAGTTCATTTAACAGTGAGTGACTTTCATGAAACTTGATTCTATAATACAGAGACCATACTATAAAACACTAGTAAGGGTTGTGTAAATGTCCAAACACCTATGTAATAGCATGTCAGTGCCACTGTAGTCCAAGACAGCAACTCTCGTCTGATGCCTAAAATGAAAGGGGCTGGTGATCTTTCTGTCACAGGGCCACAAACAGGAGAATGTTACACACTGGCATTCAGAAAAGTTATACTACTCTTCCCTCCCACGCTTTTTTTTTTAAATCTTAGAGACAGTCTCGCTCTATCACCCAGGAAGCCTGGGCTTAAGTGATCCTCCCACCTTAGCCTCCCGAGTAGGTAGGAATATAGGTCTGTGCCACCACACCCAGCTCATTTTTCAAATTTTTTTTGTAGAGACAGGGTCTCAAACTGTCCTCCAGTGATCCTCAGCCCCAAAGTGTTAGAATTACAAGTGGGACCTACCACACCTGGCCAGTTACCCACCTTTAACCGATTTCTCTCTCCCTTCTAGGACTTCTCATCCTATTTATCAGATGGACTACATTTGTCATCAAAGGGGAATGAATTTTTGTTCTCACATCTCTGGCCTTTGATAGAGAAAAAGGTCTCTTCTCTGCCTTTGCTGCTTCCTTACTGGCGGGATGTAGCAGAAGCAAACCCTGAATTAAGTCTGCTAGGAGATGGAGACCATTAGCCAATCACGGGAGACCCAAGTCTGCTTATTAATCTACAGAACTCAAAGTTGCCAATACATAGACACCTCTTTTTCCTCCGGCTTAAACCTTTGCCAATGATATTAATAATAAAAGTATTAGGATTTTTCAGGGAAGTTTTGTACTTAGGTCCATTGTGTTTTGACAGTATTTATTAATGCAGATATCAGTGCTATAGCTATAAAATATACCCTAAGCAGCTTAATTTTACAAATGACAAAGACTTTTTTTTTTAAAGTCACAATTTTATAAAAATGGTTTTCTTACATTCTTTTGAGAACTGCTGCACACATACACCCACACACCTGTATCAAATTCCAAAAGTGTAACTAAAATACAAGAATATTGTGACTAGTTAAAATACAGCAAATACCATAAGGTACAAGTTCAAGTATTAGTATAACAAGTATCTGCATAAAAAATGTCCTTGGAAAAGTTTGGGGGAAGGACATGATTAGTCACAGGTTTGGTTAATTGCCCTCAAAGTTTCCAAGTTAAAATGTTTTGGCTGGTGAGCACATTTCAGTTCTTAGGGGAAAAAAAGCTTTTAATAGCAATTTATAGAAATCAGAATTCAGGCTAATGGTTTTTATCCTTCACACAGTAAATGCAGCCCATCCAGAGTCCTGGAGCAATAAAAAGGGTCAATAAAAAGGGTTTCTGAAGAATCAGTTCTTGTGGGGATGGCCCCCCCAACCATAAGGGCAGGTAGCATTCTGTCACCTGGCTGGCTCATCACACCTCAGCCTATTCAAAACAACCTATTAAGAAATATCTTACCCTTTTATTCACTAGTGTTTGAAAACAGGCAACCCAACATGCTGGGATTACAAGCATGAACCACTGCACCTGATTGATAGGGATACCTGCTCTTAGAAAATTCACTATCAGTAATAGGGATACATGAAGATACTTACACAGAAAAATTACCCAGCAACTCAGGGCCCTAAAAAGTTGATAGGATTCCATAAATTCAACTAGCTAGCACTTACCCTCACTGTAAGGTAGGTAGTTATACTACTAGGGAGTATTAGTCTTAGAGTTATGAAGAGCCAATATTAACCCAAATGATTTCTAAACTTAGATGTATAATTCTCCCTGCTACTTAAAAACTCCAGGTAACCACAATTTAGAGACAATGTATAACGAGATTTATCTCCTTCGTTTTTAGTTAAAGGCAAAAATTAAACCTATTGTGTTCCAGTTGTTCTCACAAATAAATGCTAAATGCCTCATATTCAGCGGTTCATTACAGTGTATTAAAAAAAAATCATTTCCCTAGTCAGTGCTGTTATCAATATAAAAGATTAATCTACAAAAACATAATATTAATAACCCAATCCAGCTGTATTTTCTGCTTTTGCACCACAGGTCAAAAGATACTTAAACTAAAACCTGAAAGCCTCAAAATAAGCTAGATTCACCTTCACCTTACCTTTTCAAAAGGAGAAGGGCTGAACCACACAAGAATTGTTTATCTGCAGGAAGTTCAAACACATGACCCGCATCTGCTGTTAAAAGTCACTTCCTTACTTCCCAATCTTCACAAAAATAAGCTGAGATTGTAAGTCAAATCTATAAAAATATTTTGCGCACATTAGTGAAAAGAGCTGAGAACTAAACTAGCACTCTGTTTCTTTGCTGTCAACACGATTCTGACGCTGCAGTTTAAAGGAGGCAGCCTTTTCACTTCTGGTGACCGGATGGTCCGTGAGATCCTCAAATGACTTGGCAGCTGTGCTGCTATTTGGGAAGGGGTCCTTCTCAAACCCATCCTCATCCATATGTGAGTCTGTGCTAGGGTCTTCCTGGATGGTGTCCATTCTCTGGTGGTCCAGTTTCGGAGCTGCTGGCGCTGAAGGGATCACAGGGGCAGGCTGCAGGCGGCCTGGAGTCTGGGGTGCAGGAAAGGGTTTGATAATGCGAACTGATGCGGAATCCATGCTACTCAGCATTTCAACATTCTGGAAAGACATGGGTTCAATTGATGGGAATAAAAGATGAATCGGAGGTCCTGAGAGCTGCAACCTTACCCATCAAAGAGCCCCTTACTCTGTTGGCACTGTGATGCTTCTTGCTAAAAAAAAGTGTTAGGTGAGGCTCGCTCAACCTAAGAAGTAACTAGAAAGTACTAGGTTGGTGCAAAAGTAATTAATGCCATTACTTTTAATGGCAAAAACTAGCTTTCAAGCATCCTGAAAACTTACCATTTGATGATCCAAAAGAAGATTCAAACCTCTCAAGGTAAGATCCCAAGGCAGAAATTGATCTCAAAATATTAACTGTGGAAGAGCTAAATCACTCTTTATGGATTGGGAAGGGGACAGCATAGCCATTTAAATCACCATCCATGCAGCTAATCAAAGTTCACCATCACTATTGTCAGGAGGGCAAACACTTCCAACCTAGACCCTTCCTGCTGCAACATGACCTCTATCAGCCAGTCAAAGTTCTTACTGGGTCAAGTAAAGGTCTTTGCCTAATACGGCCTCAAAGACAAGGTGAAGATTATGTTTCTTTCATATGGTATACTCACACTGGGGTGAAACAGAGACAGAGATTCATACTGCTTATCCAATTTCTTGTCCTAGAATAAAAGGAACAGCAAGAAAAAAGGTCATTCCTACAAAAAAAATTCAGTTAGTGAGTACTATTTCCTCCCAGGCTACTCTTAACACTAAGTGAAGAACTTAGAAGCTGAGTTGTAGACAGTGATAGCAGGCTCAACGATGAGAATGCATTTCTCACCCCAGCTTTAGTTATGCCACCGGTCTAGAAGTGTTTGCTCTGCACTCAAAGGAAATATGTTTTGGCATTAAGTACAGAAAGAGGCAAGGTTTAAGTGCTATGTGAGAAATGTATCCCTCTGTGGGCAGGGGAATAACAAGGACATCTTCCTATACATGAAGTGACAAATGTTCCAGATGCTGGGTACACCAGGACCACGCTGACTGGAAAGGTGACTGGTAGGAAGACCCAGGTGGCTGGGCCTGCAGATTCCCTCACACTGCCCTGGCCCATAGCCTCACTCTCTTCTTAGCTGTCTCAACAGTTTATGTGGACCACGATCTGCTGGAAGAACTAAGCCTCAGTCCCTATATCCTACTTCTGCAGAAGGCTGACCACATGGCCACCTGCTGTCCTGTCCCTGCCTGTGACTGAAAGCAGCAGAGGGCAAGGACCAAGAATCCAGGCCTAGGCTTCCTGTCTAGCTGCCATCAATGTATTCTATGGCCAAAAACAAGCCACAGCCCTCCCTCCTGTCAGAGGCTTTGCTCTAAAATCAAGGGTTGTGCCTTGCCCACATGTGCAACTTCCCAGTAAACAAAATAGGCTCCACCCTCCAATAGCAATCATGATAGATGGCACTGTTATCCAGCGACATCTGTCAAATCTTCAAGCATGTCACCTTTAACACAGCTTTCTTCAGCAGAAGTGCTCCCTAGAGGTCTTCCTCCCTACACCCATCATGCTCACCACCCCAAGGAAAAAGCTGCTCGGTAGGATGGCCCCTAGGCAGGAGAAGCCAGGGAGAAAAAAAAGGAAGGAAGAGGCAGGAAAAACTCCTTTGTTAGCAGAGCTGTGCTGGAATTTTTAAGTGCTCAGAAAGAATTTCAGAGAACAAGTCTGGAAGCCTGGGTCTGACTTTCTCATCTCTACAGCAGACAAATAACCATTCCCCACAGATGCAAGTGAATGGATTTGTAAGAACATTTATGAAAAAGGGCTTCAAATTTATAAAGTACCTGGAGTTCCTTAGTCAAAGCCCAATTCAACTTGTAGCTATTACTGATAATGAGAACAGAAAAGACTGCTTACTCTTATTTATTTAGGAAGATGTGAATACTCTATAGGATAGCTGGGCCCCAATCCCTACATCCTACTTCTGCAGAAAGCTGAACACATAGCCATCTGCTACCAAGAATCTATATGATAGATGCGGAACATCTGAAATGCTGATGTTTGACATTTGCTCTATTGCAACAAAGTCAGCCTGGACATGCCCTTAATTAGGGGCTTTACTCATCAAAGGACCTGGACGAATCAGTTAAACAGTCTCCTATGCTTGCAAGTATAAAATTCCTGAGACAATTTATTTTATATTAAAATAAAACACCAACATGCAAAAATAGTATCATTTTTTTAAAAGACCATTATTAGCTAAGCTTTCTATAAGACATGCTCCCCTAGGAATAACACCAAAAAAAATTATTGGAAATATCAGGCCAGACTTTGCTAAGAACAAGTTTTATCTTTTTCCAAAGATCACATTGGAGTTGATCAAAATTTAAAGAAAATGTTTAGGCCGGGCGCAGTGGCTCACGCCTGTAATCCCAGCACTTTGGGAGGCCAAGGCAGGCAGGTCACGAGATCAGGAGTTCAAGACCAGACATGGTGAAACCCTGTCTCTACTAAAAAATACAAAAATTAGCTGGGCATGGTGGGTCGTGCCTGCAATCCCAGCTACTCGAGAGGCTGAGGTAGGAGAATTGCTTGAACCAGGACCCAGAAGGCGGAGGTTGCAGTGAGCCAAGATCGCGCCACTGCACTCCAGCCTGGGCTACAGAGCAAGACTCCATCTCAAAAAAAAAGAAAAGAAAATGTTTAATTACTTAAAAGTTGGTGACTTACCACACAATGGACAAGAATGCTGAAAGGAATCCAAAATATCAAGGAGAAAACCAGGACAGACCCAACGATGTTGTCTGCTAAAAATTTCCCTGTGAACAATTCCAAACAGTGAATGTCTTGACCGAGTACTTCACAAATCTAAAGTGAAATCCTCTTAGGATATTACCATTGTGTCAAATGGCAGAGCTGCTGGCTAGACACTACTCACAGTATTGAAGAGTGTCTCTGCTACCTATATTAGACCAGACTCTCCCTCCATACCAAGTGCTTTTAAACTGGCTGATAGGAAGAGATTGCAGAATACTCAACATGCTTCCTGGAGTTAACAGTCAACAGCTAATCATATGGAATGCTACTACTAGTAACAAATGCTTAAGAAGACAAAGTTTTTGTTACCTGGACATTATTTTTGTGATTAAATTATGGACCCAGGAGGACATGATATGATAAAATATGAGGCCTACTTTTATATTAAGCAGGATTCAGTCTATAGCATTCAGTCAAATAAACACTCTTACATCAATCAGGATTCGGTCTATAGCATTAAACTATGCTTATGCTACTCACATGTATATTTTGGAGTAAAGAAGGAAGCCAAATATTTTGACTTTAATTTCCTTGTCAGAAAGTCTACATCCAAGTTCCATGGGGACAGACTATGAGTTCATTTTATTCTAGCCAACAAAGTTGTTTCCTAACAAAAGCAGTGAATGTTTCCACCTTCTACTGCAGAATTACAGCACATTACTCTGAAAACACACTTTTCTAATGTCATGACAGAAATCAACTCAGCCCTCAATAAACAGTCTGGGGAAATCACCTACCAAAAGTATTGATGCTCAGCTGGTCAATGAAATCCCAAAATCGTTCAATTACATCCTGTACACGTTTCTCACATTTGCCCTATGAAGAAAAACCATGCAGCATTATTCCCAAATGCACTGTATTCAGAGGTAATGTAGCTTTATAAAAATAACTGACATGCAAAGGACTTCATTAAAATCAACATTTCCCATCTTTGACACAGGACAGTAACTTCATCATGAGTACCCCAAGAAAGTAGGACATACCATCATTGATACTTTCCTAATTAGCCCATTTTTATAAGTGTAAGATACAGTAAGTTCCTCTTCAGAGGTTCAGCTTGTCTAACTTCCCTGTTCTTTTTTCTTAAAGTCAACTTCCTTGTACCCTCCCTGCTCCTAGTTACCTGCTTTGTAATCTGTGACCCTTCCCACCTTTGCCACACCCTGACATGCCCAGACACACCTTGTACCATCACAGACAGCCTCTCCCTTCCCATTTAATTAGCCATATTCAATTTTAAACCATAGGCAATCAGGTCAGCTTAGATTGTGTGCGGCCAATGGGGCCAGGACACAGAAGCAGAGACTGTGTTAGGGATAAAATCCCCTTCCCTCCCTTGTCCAGTGTGCTCTTGCAGTGGCCAGAAGTGCAAGCACCACCCTTCTACAGAAGTAAATTTGCCTTGCTGAGAAATCTTGCACTTAAGTAATCATTCTCTTTGCAACTCCAAGCTCTTATTCCAAGCACAAGTGATTAAGAATTACCAAGAGACAAAAATCAAGAAAAACAATTTGCTAAAGATGAGGCATTCCAGTAAAGACTCTCTTGATTACACACACACAGTGGACGTGAAGAACACAGCCAGACTCACTGTGAAGCCTCTTAAACCTTGAAACCCTCGCCCATCATTCTGCATGGCAAGGGTCTGACTTAGGTAAATCAAGCAGCCTTCTAGGTCTTTCCTACTCATTCAGCACCTGTTTCAAAATCACACCTTGAATAATTTTGTAATCTGAGTCAATTCTAAAAGTAATTTAGGAAAACATAATTAGGACCCATTGCCTGAAACCAACGAACTTTACCATAAAGTCCCCACCCCCAGTCCTTCTCAGTCTCTGGGCTCAAAGCCTCCTACTATGGAAGGAAACTGCAGGCAGGGACCTGAAAGCACTCTATCTTTTCCTCCTAAGTCATATCCATACATAACAATGGGCCAGAAGGATATAGCCCATTTGTGTTTTGATTTCTTTGCATTTATAAAATCAAGGACTTACAAAATAAAAACTTCCCATCTGGCTGATATAGAAAAAGCTATACATAAATACTCACATTCATGTCACAAAATCCTACTGTACAGGGCTTTCCTTTCCTCAAAAATAAGTTCCTCTGTTCAGCATCGACGTAGGGCACACACCGGCCAGAAAGGTCCCTGCAGCACACCTTGCATGAGTTGTCAGTTTCTGAAACAGAGCACACAAATTGACAGCTGGAGTTTTCTAACACCTGGCTCTCCTCCTTCCTCCTCTTTCCTCCCTGACCATGCTCCCAAAGAGGCAAGAAATCACATTTATTTTTTATTTCAATAGCTAATACTAGCCATATCCCCCGACTAAAGAGTAGTTTCTGAGGTCACACTCCTCAGCCTTGAGTGACAGAGGCTACAAGGTTAAAAAAAAAAATACTTCCAGAGAAAAGTCTGTTCTAGATTAAAGACCCTCTCTTAAGTCTAATTATTCTCTCCACTTCAAGCCCCTCACAATGCTCTTCTGTATGTTTCCCTTTGTCCCAACATTCTTATTACCCTGTTAACTTCAGTCCTTGGCTTTCAGTCTAAAATGTGCCCCTCAGGGTTGGCTCCCTGAGACCAAGAGCAGCTGGGACACAACTGTCCACCTGTGGGTGGGGAGCGGAGTAACCCCAGGGGCATGAGCCCTGCAGCCTAAGCTCCACAAGTCCTCCACCAAGAACAGCTCTGACAGGTCACAGGATAAAACAGCTGGGCATCTGTGAGCCATGCAGACATACATAGGAATGGCAGAAATGCCAGAAAATTAAACCCTATTTCTAATTAGGAGAAGAAAGAAATCAACTAGAACACAAAAACGAGCAAAAAGTAAACCTTTTCAGGCTGGGTGCAGTGGCTCACTCTTGTCATCCCAGCACTTTGGGAAGCCAAGGCAGGCCTATCACCTGAGGCCAGAAGTTAAAGACCCGGCCAACACAGCCAAATTCTGTCTCTACTAAAAATACAAAATTAGCCAGGTGTGGTGGTACACGCCTGTAGTCCCAGCTACTCAGGATGCTAAGGCACAAGAATTGCTTGAACCCGGGAGGGAGAGGCTGCAGTAAGCCGAGATTGCACCACTGCACTCCAGCCTGGGCAAGAGTGAGACTCCATCTCAAAAAAAGAAAACCTTTTCAGCATTCACTAATTGATAAAGTATTTCTTGAGCATTTACTGTGTCAGGCTCTGTCCTTCCAGGGCACCCCAAGCCTCTTGCCATTCACACAACAGATCTTTTATTTGGCATCTACTATGTGTTTTCTTTTTTTTTTTTTTTTTGAGAGTCTCACTCTGTTGCCCAGGGTGGAGTACAGTGGAGCGATCTCAGCTCACCACAACCCCTGCCTCCTGGGTTCAAGTCATTGCCCTGCCTTAGTCTCCTCAGTAGCTGGGATTACAGGCGAGTGCCACCATGCCCAGCTAATTTTTTCATGTTTTTAATAGAGACGGGGTTTCACCATGTTGGCCAGGCTGGTCTCAAACATCTGACCTTGTGATCCGCTCACCTCGGCCTCTCAAAGTGCTGAAATTACAGGCGTGAGCCACCACGCCCAGCCTTATTTTTTTTTTTTTTTAAGAGATGAGATTCCACCATGTTGCCCAAGCTGGTCCTAAACAACTGCTGAGCTCAAGCAATCCACCCACCTTGGCCTCCCAAAGTGCTGGGATTATAGATGTGAGCCACCGCACTCAACCTAACTTCTTTACCTGCACATTACTGCATTTGGAAGAGTCCCTTTCTCCACTGTATGGATGGTGAGCTTCCAACCCAGTGATTTTATTTAACTACTAGGTTGTCCTTTTTTTTTTATTATTTTATTTTTTTTTTTTTGAGACAGAGTCTTGCTCTGTCACCCAGGCTGGGATGCAGTGGTGTAATCTCGGCTCACTGCAACCTCTGCCTCCTGGGTTCAAGCATTTCTCCTGACTCAGCCTCCCAAGTAGCTGGGACTCCCAAGTAACAGGCCCGCACCACCACATCCAGCTAATTTTTGTATTTTTTAGTGGAGATGGGGTTTCACCATATTGGGCAGGCTGGTCTCAAACTCCTGACCTGGTGATCCACCCACCTTAGCCTTCCAAAGTGCTGGGATTACACCATGCCCAGCTAATTTTTTCGTGTTTTTCTTGCACCTGGCCCAAATTTTTTTTTTTTTTTTTTTTGAGACAGAGTCTCGCTCTGTTGCCCAGGCTGGAGTGTGTTGGCAGTCTCAGCTCACTGCAACCTCCACCTCCTGGGTTCAAGCAATTCTCCTGCCTCAGCCTCCCTAGTAGCTGGGACTGCAGGCGTGAGCCCACATACCTGGCTAATTTTTGTATTTTTAGTAGAGACGGGGTTTTGCCATGTTGGCCAGACTGCTCTCAACTCCGGACCTCAAGTGATCCACCTGCCTCGGCCTCCCCAAGTGCTGGAATTACAGGCGTGAGCCACCACACTCAGCTCTTGGTCTATTCTGAAAGCAAAAGAACTCTCTCATTGACTCCATGGTTTCAATGAGAACTCTCTCATTGACTCCATGGTTTAAGTGGGGTGGCAGGCAGAGTCCAGCCATTCCCTGACCAGTCCATGAGGATACTCTCAAACCCAGGGGTTCCAAAATAGCATAGAAACCAAAGGAAAACTGACAGGCCAGCAGGAGAGAGGCTCCTGCCCCAGGCTGCTCTAAGAGATCAGAGGGGAGCAGACCCAGCCTTCTAGATAAGCCTAAAAATCCTGATCTAGTGGGGTCAGATCCTGGAGTCAGCTCTCTCTGGTTGAGTTCTTGCAGGAGTATCCTGTTCCATGCCAGTGTAATGTAGATAGCCAATGCTGCTTTCATGGTTTGTATGATATGGAGAAGAGGAAGGTTGGGACACACCTCTACCTCCCCACCCACTTACCCACAATGAAATTTCCTCCTGTGCCACCTCAAAGCCTACTATCTGGCCTGAAAATGCAGAAAGAAGAAAGACCAACAGGACAGGTCTCCCACATATGGTAGAAGAGCCAAGATCTGCATTCACAGATGCCCGTCTCCAGACACTACCCTGCCTTTCCCCTCCCCTCATCCTCGGCTTGGGTCTCACCACTGCTCTCATTAGCACGACCTCCAAATGGAGGGAAGGAGCCTGGCAGACAAAGGCCATGTTTTCTCCTGCTGCTGATGGGCATAAAACTGTGCTCACCATTACATGCACAGGACTCCAGCTGCTGCTCCCTCTCACAGAAAGGGATGCATTTCCCATCCTTACACTTGCCAAGATCCAAGCAAACAGTGTCATCTTCAGCATTTCCTGGAGGTGGGCACTCACTGCTATTACCTGGAAGCAAACACCAGTCATAACAAAAAGAATGAGTCTCAGATCCACCAGTTCTACAGGTGCATAACACACTGTTTCTCATACAAGTGAACACCTTACCTAGCAAACAGTAAAAAGTGACCTACAGAGCTAGGACAAGAACCTGCATCTCACCAGGAATTCGCATTTAGGGAGTGCCTATGTGCCAGGCTACATTGCATGAGTCCCTGGCCTCCCAAGCCCTGGTTAGAATGCATGGTCTCCACTTCTGCATCACACAGCCATAAATAAAAGAATATCCTGTGTGCCATTACTTAGAATAAACAGCAAACCTTGTATGAAGGCTTAAAAGAGCTACATGGCCTTCCCTATCTAGCCCCGACTTCATCACACACAACTCCACCATGGCCCACTCTGCTTTGGCTCTGACAACCTCCACTCAGTTCCTTTAATATTAACAGATACTGGTCCTTCTACCTGGAATGCTGGTGTTTCCACTCTTTTGGGGAAATTAGCTTGGTTTTGCTTATGGACTAAGTTTTGACTCAAAGATTGTCTCCTGAGACATCCCTGAGGATGCTGTCTAAGTTGATGTGACCTCCCACTTCCATTATGCACTATCATACTCCTTCATTGCATATGTTTTGCAATTTATATACATTTATTGTTATTTTCTGTTTCCCCTCTACTAGATTTACTACAAGCCCCATGAGAGCAACGATCAAATCTATTACTCAGGTTATCTCCAATCCCCATATTATAGATATACTACAAATATTTCTTGAATAAATCAAGTATTCTTTTTTTTTTTCTTTTCAGACAGGGTCCCCATGACAGCAATGATCAAATCTATTACTCAGGTTATCTCCAATCCCCATATTATAGATATACTACAGATATTTCTTGAATAAATCAAGTATTCTTTTTTTTTTCTTTTCAGACAGGGTCCCCATGAGAACAATGATCAAATCTATTCATCAGGTTATCTCCAATCCCTATCATATTATAGGCATACTGCAAATATTTCTCAAATAAATCAATTATTCTTCTTTTATTTTCTTTTGAGACAGGGTCTCAGTCTTTCACCCAAACTGGAAAGCAGGGGTGTGATCATAGCTTCCTGCCTCCCAAGTACCCAGGACTTCAGGCATACACCACCACACCTGTCTAATTTTCTTTCTATTTCTCTCTCTCTTTCCTTCTTTTCTGGAGAGCCGAGGTCTCCCTATGTTGCCCAGGCTGGTGCTGTCATGTTGTCAAATTCCTGGGATCAAGGGATCCTCCAACCTTGGCCTTCCAAAGTGCTGGGATTATAGGCATGATCCACTGTCCCCAACCCAATAATGCCAAAGAAAAGCCACCAAAGAAGGTTAAACTGGGAAAGACAGGATGGAATGAATGGATCATCCTAGAAAATGAACAGCACAAGCAGTTAAAAATCAACACAAAATGAGGAGAAAAAACATTATGAAAGCAATGGACTATATCCACAGCTCTGGACCACCTTTCAGCTGAAGAATGGAGCTAATCAAAAGAATTGTGACTTAAAGGGCTTCAGAGCAGTAACACAAAACATACAGAAATCTGGCCAGTTTCAAACAAAAGCGATGGTTTATTAACTACCTAACAGATAACCAGGCACTTTGCCTCTGTTCTCATAAAACCTTTCATGAGCACTGGCATTCACAGTGTCAGTGGTCACTGAACAAACTACTACTGAAAGTATGCTGTCCAGTGAGCTCTGGGAAGGTTTATACTGTGGATCATTACTGTATTTTTGGTATATGATACTGCCCTGATACATTTAAAAAGTGCTCAATAGATACCTGTTGAGCATCTGTTCTTAAAAGGCTAAACTCAGACTATTAAACAGGTAGGAAAATAATTTTTAAAACAGTATCATCCATTTAGCATGGTCCTCAAACTTTAGCATGCATGGAAATCAGCTGACAGAATGTTATACCCCATAGACTGCTGGGCCCCATTCCCACATTTTTTGGTGCAGTAGATCCAGAAAGGGGACTAACAATTTCCATTTCCAGTAAGTTCCCAGGTGATGCTACCGCTACTGGTTGTGAAGTGCTAATTGCTTTTTTTCTTCTTTTTTGTTTTTTGGAGGTTGCTGTTCTCTAGTTAGAAAATGCTGATTATTTATCAGAAACTTACCCTCTGCCATCTACTACTTTGTATAAAATATCAAGGGAAGGCTACTTGATAAAAACAAACACATTTTTCAAATTGTTTTACTTACGTTTATTTAAAAGAAAGCATTTTTCTACATCTATTTTATTATTACAGTGAAGATGAAACAATGAACATAACTAGAAAATGTTCTTTAAAGTTTGATTTAGATACTCAGATTCCTAACATTTGGCAAAGAAATGTGATAGTGACAGATCCCAAAACATAGAAACATGAGCAATATGTTATAACATGCACGCTAAAACCAAAGTCAAGCCAAAATAAGTCATAACTTCATTGACCAGGTCCTGAAGACCTCCAGCCTTCAGTCTGCATCCTTATCACAAAACCTAGGATGGGTATAATAAAAAAGACAATTACAAGTGTTGGTGAGGATATGGAGAAGCTGGGACCTCATACAATGCTGCTGGGGCTGTAAAATGGTGTAGTTATTTTGGAAAACAGTCAGACAGCTCCTCAAAAGATTAAGCATAGTTACAATATGACCCTGAAATTCCATTCCCCAGTAATATTCAAAAGAATTGTCCATATAAAAACTTGTACAGAGATGCTCACAGCAGCATTATTTGTTATAGCAAAAAAGTGGGAGCAACCCAAATGTCTATCAACCAATGAATGAATGAACAAAATGTGGCATATCCATGCAATGGAGTATTACTCAGCAATAAAAGTACATGAAGGACTGATACATGCTACAACATATATGAACTTTGAAAATGTTCAGTGAAAGAAGCCAGTCATATAATATGTGGTCACAAAGGCCACAGGGTTCCTTTTTGGAGTAATGTAAATGTTCTAAAATTAATTGTGGTGATGGTTGCAGAATCCGAATATACTAAAAATCATTAAACTGTACACTTTAAATGGGCAAATTGCATAGTGTGTGAATTATGTATCAATTAAGCTATTACAAAATCAAACCAACCAACCAAAAGAGATAGAAATTTTAAAAACTGTAAGAATGGGATACATATATCAGACAGAGGAGAAAAAAACTAGAGTAGCAAACTGAATATTGCTTACTGACAATTTAAGTCAAAAAACAACACAAGGGTAGAAAAAGGAACATTATATACTGATAAGGAATAACAGAAAAGGATGTAGAGATATGTCCATTTATGTACCTAGTAATAATACAGATCTGAAGTTTTTTTTTTAAGACGAAGTCTCACTGTGTTGCCCAGGCTAGAGTGCAGTGGCACAATCTCGGCTCACCACAACCTCCGCCTCCCAGGTTCAAGTGATTCTTCTGCCTCAGCCTCCTAAGTAGCTGGGACTACAGGTGCCTGCCACCATGCCTGGCTTTTTTTTTTTTTTTTTTTTGTATTTTTAGTAGAGACAGCGTTTCACCATGTTAGGATGGTCTCGATCTCTTGAACTCGTGATCTGCCCACCTCAGCCTCCTGAAGTGCTGGGATTACAGCGTGAGCCACCACACCCGGCCTAAATTTGAAATTTTTAAAGCAACAACTGACACAACAACAGAAGATTCAGGACACCTGGAAAGGTTACCTCCAGAAAGATTAAAGTCCCAAATGTAAAAGGAAAAATTATGAAGCTAATAGAAGCAGCTATGGAAAATATCTTTTTAACCATCTACAATGGCTTTTTTGAACCATATGTTTAAAAAATAAACCCATACACACAACAAAATGATGTATTTGATTACATTAAAATTAAAGACTTCTGTATAAAGAATGGCAACAGATAGGATAGAGGTGTACGGAAACCAAATGGATGATTATATAAAAACTCCTCCAAATCCACAGTAGTAAAATAACATGAAACTGAATTGTAAATAAATAAATAAACCAAATAGATGAACTGGCTATTCATGGGAGAAATTTGAATAGCTGAAAAATATAGAGTTACTCAAGAAAAATGTAAGTAAGTACTTTAGGACAAGGGCTATTTAATAAAATGTAAGAACAAGAGATTACTTTATACTCATCAGGCTAATAAGACAGCAGGGTAAATCCAAGTGTTGCTCAGAACCTCAGGATGCAGGAGTCCTTGGACACAGACAACCTAGCAGTGGTGTTGTAGAGACCACACATTTACACTCCTCAGTATCCAGAGAAACACACAGGTTCCCGAAGGGACGTAGGAGTATGATCTGTAGTCCTATCTGGAGTATCAAGGGGATGAAGGCAATGGAAGTGGCTACCACTTGGTGAACTGATAAGTAAAACACAGCCAATCATACAATATGTAGGTTTCCCCAACAGTGAACTACATATAGAAAAAAATGGGTAACCGTCTAACTTACAACCTGCTTCCTCCACACTATTCCAGTATACAGATTCATAAAATTCATATCCCAAGATTGTCAATTTGATTGTTTCCAAAATTTTGCTATTAGGATGTAGCCATAAAACACTCTGTTAAATTATCTGTAGCACAATATAGATAGTTCTTTAAAATATGGTGCTGAATTTTTTAAAAGCAGATTTAAGGTAGAATATCATTTTGGCACATGAAAAACACATACATACACAAAATAACACTATATTATCTTTCAAGGATATACACATATCCAGGAAAATATTAACCATAGTAGAGTGGACGTCTGTGAGGAAAAAGAGGAGAGTGATAGAAATGAAACAGAAATAAAACAGGTCTTACACCCAGCAGTGCCAAGTGTCACAAACTAAGGAGTGCCAGAAACTCAACCCAGCATATGAGGTTAAAAACAGGGTGGCTTTCATCAGAACAAAATATAATCTTGTTTTTCAAAGACACATATAAATGCTTGAACCACACCATTCCAAGAAAGCAACAAGAACACGTACCTGTGCAATAGGACACGCCTTTGCAAGTAGCATTAATTGCCTCCTGGCACTTCTTCTGGGCAGTCTCGAACTGACAGTTTTTACAGCAAGGACTGTTCCTATCACTGGAGAAGAACAGCAGACAGGAACAGTTCAATTCAAATTATAGCCCCATATCATACACTACAGTTATGTTACAGTGACCTGAAGATCACGGGGGAAGACCTCCTGGCTGTCACCCACTCCTACATCATCAGACATCTCCACTGCTAGAGCTACCTGTACATACTTTCCTAATATGCATAAGTACACATCAATGCCACACTGTAACAGAAAAGAATGGGAACACAGCAATCACCTTTGAAACATCTTGGTGTCCTTGGTTTGCATTCATTTAATGCATTAGTTTTAAAAAGACAAGATGGGCTGGGTGAAGTGGCTCATACCTGTAATCCCAGCACTTTGGGAGGCTGAGGTGGGTGGATCACCTGAGGTCAGGAGTTCAAGACCACCCTGGCCAACATGGTGAAACCCCGTCTCTACTAAAAATACAAAAATTAGCCAGGTGTGGTGGTGCACTTCTACAATCCCAGCTACTCAGGAGGCTGAGGCAGGAGAATCGCTTGAACCCAGGAGGCGGAGGTTGCAGTGAGCCAAGATCATGCCACTGCACTCCAGCCTGGGCAACAAGAACGAATCTGTCTCAGAAAGAAGAAAAAAAGACAAGATGGGGCCACAAGTAGACAGTAGGCAGCCAGAATTCTACTCCCCCTTAGTATTTACAGTGTCAATATGCACGGTAACCAGTTAAATCTCCAGAAACTGAAGTTTAACCCTTTGGCTTCTAAGCCAGGCACTGGTCTGAAAAAGTAGGTAACATTTTCTTTTCTTTTTTTTGAGACAGAGTCTCGTTCTGTTGCCCAGGCTGGAGTTCAGTGGCATGATCTTGGCTCACTGCAACCTCCGCCTCCCGGGTTCAAGCGATTCTACCACCTCAGCCTTCTGAGTAGCTGGGATCACAGGCGCGCACCACCACACCTGGCTAGTTTTTGTATTTTTAGTAAAGATAGGGTTTTACCATATTGGTCAGGCTGGTCTCAAACTCCTGACCTCAGGTGATCCACCCACCTTGGCTTCCCAAAGTGCTGAGATTAGAGGCATGAGCCACCGAATCCAGCCAAAAGTAGGTAACCTTCTCACTGGTAACCTTCCTCCACACTACTCCAGTGTATAGATTCATGATAACATTCATATCCCAAGACTGTCATTTTTATTGCTTCCAAAATTTTGCTATTAGGATGTAGCCATAAAAACCTTGTTAAATCTTATACATCTCTGTTTCCTTAAAAGATTCTTTGGGCAGCCAGGCACAGTGGCTCACACCTGTAATACCAGCACTTTGGGAGGCTGAGGTGGGGGATCACAAGGTCAGGAGTTCAAGACCAGCCTGGCCAACATGGTGAAACCACCTCTCTACTAAAAATACAAAAATTAGCTGGGTATGGTGGTGTGTGCCTGTAATCCCAGCTACTAGGGGGAGGCTGAGGCAGGAGAATGGCTTGAATTCAGGAGACAGAGGTTGCAGTGAGCCAAGATTGCACCATTGCACTCCAGCCTGGGTGATAGAACAAGACTCTGTCTCAAAAAAAAGTATTTGGGGCAGGCATGGTGGCTCACACCTAGAATCTCCATACTTTAGGAGGCCGAGAAGAGTAGATCAATGAGTCCAGGACTTTACCACCAGCTTGGGCAACATGGCAAAACCGAATCTCTACAAAAATTACAAAAATTAGTCAGTCCTGTGTCCTATCTACCTGGGAGGCTGATGTAGATGGACTGATTAAGCCTGGGAAGTTGAGGCTACACTGAGCTATTATCGTGCCACTGCACTCCATCCTGAGCAACAGAGACTGTCTCAAAAAACTAATAATAATAAAGATGATTTTAACTATAGGACTGCTAAATCAAGGAGCATGCATGATCAAGGATTTTGTTAAATAATGTCACACTGCTTTCCAGAAAGCTTCTTTTGTTTTTGTTTTTAAAGAGACAGTGTCACACTATGCTGCCCAGGCTGTTCTCAAACTCCTGGGCTCAAGCAATTCTCCCACCTCAGCCTCCCAAAGTGCTGAGACGATAGGAGGCAGCCACTGCGCCTGGCCCAGAAAGCATTTTCTGGCTCTGTAGGGCAAAAGAGGTAAATGTGAGCACACACACACACCCCTTTCAGTTGAGTCTAAAGCCCCTGCAAGTTCAGTCTTCTATTATTTTGGACATCTTGCTATACCAACTTCCCAGAATCACTGTGGAAAGATTCCTCACCTGCACTGGACACCTTGCTTCAACATGCAGTCACTGTTGCAGCAGGTGTCACTGTTCAGGTACATGATGCCAGGATCGCACTCTTCTCCTTCATCCACCCTCGAGTTCCCACACACCTTATTGCTGCGTTCTTGAAAACACTCCTGGGCCTTACTTTCGATGGTCTTATAAATTGATTGTTTACTGCAGTTTGAAAACATCTTGAGAGAAAAGAGACAATAAGGACCCAAAATAACATCGTAAAAATGTATTCCTATGCAATCTTTGTGCATATTCTCTAGAGACAAACTCTTAATGTAAAATCATCATCAGAGCCACCCTGAAGTTATGGCCATCACAGTCCCCTCCAAAGGCCACAGACATAGAACTGAGAACCTCCCTGTGTAGAATGCTAAACAGCTGCTGTGAACTTGGTTAAGGATCTAAAATTCTTCATATGAAGGTAAGCAAGCTATACAAATACTAAGGCCAAACATCCCAGCCATAGCCCTCTTGAAGACAAGCAGTCTAGCACAAGAGCTTGTAGTTCCGTCAGACTTGAAATCTCCCCATCTCAGGCATTCCACTCATGCAGTGACATAAAAACTAGGCACAGAGGTTACTGTCGTCCCAGACAAAACAGTTCAGAAATGCAGAAGAAGGGGTTTCTTCTCCTTCCCTGGCTACTTATATGGATGATCCAGGTTTAAGGTGTTTAAATATTTGAGCTTAGTAATAGGCACTATAGTGAACATTTTACATAAATTAAATCCCAAATTGTTACCTAAACATTTTCATCGACCAGCCAAAATTAAGTTTCTGAGTTTTTCCACAGTTGACCAGTGTCTCAAAAAAAGTCTCTACACTAGCTTCCCACCCTGGAGTACAGAACCACTGGGATAGCTCCCTTTTAAGTCCGAGGGTTTTACCAGTAGCTCTAAAACGGAAGTCATTTTCCAGACCTCCTGAGTGTGGAAAAAGGATAAAGAGGCTTAGGGAAAACTGAGTGTAGTTACTTCTTAGGGGAGGGTCTCCAAAGTGTTCTGCAGATGCCAAAATGGCTTCACTTTCACCCCAGATAACAATCATGTAACCCCTGAGAGCCAAGAGTATGAGACCCTTCAAAGATGCCTATAATTACTGAATCAGACGCCAAAGGAGTTACTTCCAGAAAGACAGCAAACACCTCATTTTACACAGAAATACTAACTGCCTTTTTAAAAACATCTTAAAAATCTGTTTTTACAGTACAGATGTCTAAGGGATCTGGTTATTCTAATCTGGGCCTCGAGCAGTTGGCATTTTGATGGGTTCATTCATCAGCATCATGTATCTCTGGGCTCCATTTTATCAGGTTAAAATGGAGTTAAAATCCACAGTGAACAGATAAGAAGACCTCTTCACTGATTTGTCAGAGTTACAACTCCCAAGCAGGTGGAGAGCACTAAGGAAAAAAGGACTAATTCTCAACTCTGGCTTTCTGCCTACACATCCCTGAAGACCTGGTGGCTTCTGTTTGTATCCTTGTCATAAGACCTCCTGTTCCCTCCAGTAAACCTTCCTAAGAAGTTACAATCTCAAAGGTCCTACATTCCTTTTCACTAATGTCATCTGTCCACAGTGAAGTCCACGCATGGCACACTGCTTTTCATAGGACTGTCTAGTAGAGAGTGACAGGTTCTGTCTTTCTAGGTCAAGGAACTAGTTTATTTTTGTCTTGCATCCCTTTTCATCTAGTTAAAAATACATTTAATGAGAACTTCATTTAAGACATAGGCCGGGCACAGTGGCTCACACCTGTAAACCCAGCACTTTGGGAGGCTCAGGCAGGTGGATCACCTGAGATCAGGAGTTCAATACCAGCCTGGCCAACGTGGTGAAACCCCATCCTACTAGAAATATAAAAATTAGCCAGGCATTGTGGCGTGTGCCTGTAACCCCAGCTACTTAGGAGATGGAGGCACAAAGTCGCTTGAACCTGGGAGGCAGAGGTTGCAGTGAGCCGAGATCATGCCAGTACACTCCAGCCTGGGCAACAGGGACTGCATCTCAAAAAATAATAATAATAAATAATAAAACATAGAGGACGCACATTGTCTTCTTACAAGAGGATTCAAACTAGAAAAACACAGGCTAAATATGATGTGCTCAGGACAAAATAAATAAATAGTTCTTCATTGATATAGACTGGCAGCTCCAGAAAAAAACAGTTCTACCAAGGACCCTTTCTCATTAGCAGGTTCTTTTCTTCTTTTTTCTTTTTTTGAGACAAAGTCTCACTCTGTCATCCAGGCTGGAGTGCAGTGGCACAACCTTGGCTCACTGCACCTCAAACTCCCTGGCTTCCTCCTGCCTTGGCCTCCCGAGTAGCTGGGACTATAAGCATGTGCTTTTATGTCTGGCTAATTTTTGTATTTTCTGTAAAGATGAGGTTTCACATGTTGCCCAGGCTGATCTTGAACTCCTGGGCTCAAGTGATCTGCCCACCTTGGCCTCTCAAAGTGCTGGGATTACAGGTGTGAGCCACCATGCCCAGCCTCAATGGCAAGTTCTTACAAGGGTGTTTTGAAGAGACCCAGAACTCGCGGCAGGAAAAGTTAGCAACACGCATGTCCACTCCGGCAGTCTGCAAAGTAAAACATTTCCATCCAAAGTTGTGATACTATCCTCATAACCAAGGAGCATATGACCTATTACCTAGAGAAATAGTATGCAATATGGTAGCCACCAACCATATGTGACTACTTAAATTGTTCCTAGTCACATATTTTACACTTTCAATTACAGCAATATTCAAACATCTATGAAGTAGACAGGATGGTATCATGAATGTCCCCATGCCCCTCACCAGCTTCGACAATGATCAGCTTATGGCTTCACAGCTCCTCTATATCTGCACTACTTTTCCTCTGCTCTCACACTGGTGTTTTTGTTTGTTGGCTTATTACAACTTTATTAAGACATTTCACATATCACAAAATTCACCCATTTCAGGTACACAATTCTGTGATTTCTAATAACTTTACCAAGTGTTGAAACCATTGCCATAAGTCAGTTTTAGGACACCACCGTCCTTCCAGTAATGTCACTCATGTCCTTTTCAAAACTAATGCCCATTCCTACCTCCCATCACAGGCAAACATTACTAAAATTTAAATAAAATAGAATTTAAAATTCAGTTCCTTGGTTTCTAGCCACATTTCAATTGCTCCACTGGGCTAGTGGCTACTATACAGGGCAGAGCAGATGCATAATATCCCCCACCCCACAGCAGAAAGTTCTATTGGACAACACTGAACTAGAGCGATCATGATTCAAAATGCAAGACTTAGACTGGGTGCAGTGACTCGTGCCTGTAATCCCAGCACTTTGGGAGGCCAAGGCGGGAGGATCACAAGGTCAGGAGTTTAAGACCAGCCTGACCCAATATGGTGAAACTCCATCTCTACTAAAAAATACAAAAATTAGCAGGGCCTGGTGGCACACGCCTGCAGTCCCAGCTACTTGGGAGGCTGAGGCAGGAGAATCCCTGGAATCCAAGAAGCAGAGGTTCCCATGAGCCGAGATCACGCCACTGCACTCCAGCCTGGGTGACAGAGTGAGATTCTGTCTCAAAAAAAAAAAAAAGAAATGCAGAGACTTTAAAAAGAGAAGGAAAATTCAACAGTTTGACAAGTTGGAAGAGTAGACAAAAAGGGATAGAAAAATGTTTCTCAGGCACAAGTTGACAAGCAGAAGAAAAATAAAACATAACATGCAAAATAACAGGAAGGAACTGTTTACACATAACAGCCAAAGAAAATGAGATGCAGAAAATATACATAAAAAGGTAAAGAAAATGAGATGCAATAATCAAAGATCACTAAAAAAACAGGAGGAAGAGATGTCAGAGCCAGGGAAATGCAGAAGTAATCCTTCCCTCTAGGTCCAGGGCAGGCTTGTACATTAGCCCAGAGTCTGGCTCAAAACAGGAGTCAGGACAAATACTTCACAATCTTTTGTGATTAGAATCAGACTCCTTTAAGCCCTCCCCACCAGTGCTCTTTAACTCGGCAGCTCAACTATTGTTTTCCTCACATTGCTTTATGCTGTTTGACTTCAAACAAAATGAAAGAACCAGATATTTATTAACAAAACTTTTCGTTCAGACTCTAAGAGTTAGTCACAGCACTCTTAAAGTCTCTGAAAGTGTTTTACAATATCCCAAATCAACTAGTATACTCCATCAGAAACCCTCAATAGTAAATGATTCAATTAATTACTCAACAAATATTTATTACATGCCAGGTACTCCAAGTAGGTACTGGAGGTACAGATGTGAACAAGACAGACAAGGGCCTTTCTCCCATGAGGCTTGTAGTCAGGCAAACTATGTATTTTATTGTGAAAGTTAATAAAAACATGTAAATTGTACAACAGAGTTAAAACGAATGACAACTATGAGAAATTTTTAACCTAAAGCCTGAGCCTACCAGACCCTGAAATCCAGAACTCCAACAAAAGCCAGTATTATTAATAATTTTTCCTAGAACTCAAATCTACACCATTAATCTTGACAATAAAATCCAAATGACAGTTTTAACCAGATTTACATGGACCATGCTTCACCCCAAAACACACAGCCACGTTTCAAGGCACTTTGTAATTTGCAGATCCATCCCTAGGTGAACACCTAGGAATGGAATGGGTTTCTGAGATCTCATTATGATCATTATACACAACCTCTTTACTAACCACATACAAAATTCTCAATACACACATACCTTATTGTTCTCGTGATCGCCACTCACAGCTATGGGAAACATGACATATTTTCCTCCCTGGTCCTCATTCGGGGCACATTCTGCTAGACCATCTGGATCATGTTCTGCTCCAAAATTGTGTCCCAATTCATGAGTTGTAACCAGGTCAGCTTCCTTAAGGATCATGCAAAGAAAACACTATTTCTCAATATCCAACCATCACCTTCTTCTGCCAGCTGGGCCTATGCTGTCTTAAATAAAGCCTTATAATCAGATCAACAAGAAAATAAGAACTGCATGCTTATAATCCCAGAACTTTAGGAGGCTTAGATGGGAGGATTACTTGACTCTAGGAGTTCAAGCCCAGCCTGAGCAACATAGGGAGACCCCATCTCTACAGAAGTAATAAAAATATTAGCCAGGCATGGTGGTACACACTTATGGTCCCAGCTACTTGGGAGGCTGAGGTGAGAGGATCACTTACACCTGGGAGGCCGAGACTACAGTAATCTATGATCACACCACTGCACTCCAGCCTGGGTGACAGAATAAGACTTTGTCTCAAAAATGAGTAACAACCGGACTATGATTTCTTCTACCAATTATAGGAATTTAATAGAATAACTAGGATTCTATTTGATACTATCAAATAGTATTATTAGTAACTTAAATCAATTTAAGAAAATATAATTTATAAGATATACCGGAACATTCGTAACAAAACATCAAACCTTGGCCATTCTAACCACACACAATCTGGTGCTGATAAATTCAATAGCTAACTGTAGTTAACTGTCAAGCCTCTTCACATGCCCCTCAGCCCAGTCACACCCCTATTAAAACCTAAAGCATCATCCAATCAGAGGATGAATCAATCAAGTTAAAAAAAAAAAAAGAAAAAAAGAAAAGAAAAACCTAAAGCATCTCAGCAGAAAGGAAAAAAAAGCAAGGGGTAAAAAAAATAACATGGCCAGGCATAGTGGCTCACGCTTGTAATCCCAGCACTTTGGGAGGGCAAGGCGGTTGGATCACCTGCAGTCAGGAGTTCGAGACCAGCCTGGCCAACATTGTGAAACCCCATCTCTACTAAAAATACAAAAAATTAGCCTGGTGTGATGGTGGGTGCCTATAATCCCAGCTACTCGGGAGGTAGGAGAATTGCTTGAACCCAGGAGGTGGAGATTACAGTGAGCTGAGATCATGCCATTGCACTCCAGCCTAGGCAACAAGAAAGAAACTCCATCTCAAAAAAAAAAAAAAAAATCCACAATAAACAAAGAAAATCAACACAACTGAGGAATAACAAAACAATGTTTTATTTTCTCAATGACTGAATTCATGTCTAATAACAATCTTAATGACCTAGAGGACTTGGTTTATTTAGAATCCAGTTGCAGGGCTGCACTTAATCTATCAGATTATCAGATGATTTCTATATGAATAATAATAAATTTTACCAACGAAGCTAAATTGTCTTCCATATTAATCTGAATACAATAAGAATATCAAACTGAAAAGCTGGGCGCAGTGACTCACACCTGTAATTCCAGCACTTTTGGGAAGCCAAGGCCAGGGGATCACTTGAGGTCAGTTCAAGACCAACCTGGCTAACATGGTGAAACCCTATCTTTATTAAAAATACAAAAATTAGCCAGGCATTGTGGTGGGCACCTGTAATCCCAGCTACTTGGGAGGCTGAGGTGGGAGAATTGCTTGAACCTGGGAGGCAGAGGTTGCCGTTAGCTGAGATAGGCCACTGAACCCCATTCTGGGCAACACAGTAAGAGTCTGCCTTTTAAAAAAAAAAAAAAAAAGAATATTAAAATTCCTGATTTCTTTTTTCCTAAGGGAGGAAAAAAATCACGCCGTGGAACCTAAAAAAATAGTATTTTGCAAGTTATTTTTCTATACAAGAAGTCTTCCACATGTTCATATTAAAACCATAGTGGGTGAAAAAAACTTAAATTTTTAGCAAAAGCACTCAAATCCCAAAGGTATAATGTGTAGAAATATCTCCTAACTGCTTTGGGAAAATTCATTAGTGGATTTGCTAACGACTCTGAAAATATCTCAAAAACTTCTAATCAAATTTCTTTTTTATGTGTTTTTTAAGAAAAAAATTCCAGAAGACCAAAGAAAATATGTCATGAAATCAAACTATTAAGAAGTTGTGACTCCAAAAAAGTAAAGGAGCATGAGCTATTACGTACACATATGTATGTTTCTGTCCATGATTTCTGGCTTATAACCCTCCATAAGTCCTGGTTAGTCTTCTGCTAATGTTGGGTGCTTTAGGGCTCAGAAGCAGTCCTCAGGAAACAGAATCTCTTTCTCCGACCTTCTCCTGTCCTCCTTTTACCTGTTCCAAGGCAGGACTCTAATCTGATTGTGGGTCTGAAGACCCTCATTCTCATTGTGGAGGGGGTCCTGCCCATTACTGTGTAAGAAGGAAAGCTGCAGAGAGGTCAAGGAGAATCTGGACAGGCCTTGGAGGTTTCCCCCATTAAGTCTATTAGTATGAGAACATACCCATTTTGTCCAATTACATTTCTACACGGTTGTCGTTCATGCTTATGTAAGGAAGCCTCCAAAAAGTCCCAAAGGACAGGATTCAGAGATCTTCCAAAGAGCATTCTGAATATGTGGAGGTTGACAAGAAGGTGCAGAACTCATTCACGTGCCAGGAGGGAGGCACATCCCAACTCCACAGGGACAGAAGCTTCTGTACTTGGGACCCTTCCAGACCTTGCCCTATGTAGCTCTTAATTTGGCTATTTCTTTGTATCCTTTCTTTTTTTTTCAGTTTTTTATTTTTTGGTGCAAAATCTCCCTCTGTTGCCCAGGCTAGAGTGCAGTGGTGCAATTTCAGCTCACTGCAATCTCCACCTCCCAGGTTCAAGTGATTTTCCTGCCTCAGCCTCCTGAGTAGCTGGGATTACAGGCAGGCACCACCACACCTGGCTAATTTTTGTATTTTCAGTAGAGACAGGGATGCACCATGGTGGCCAGGCTGGTCTCAAACTCCTGACTTCAAGTGATCTACCCACCTCGGCCTCCCAAAGTGCTGGAATTACAGGCGTGAGCCACCATGCCCCATTTCTTTGTATCCTTTAAAATACCCTACGTAATAAACCCGTAAATGTAAGTTAAGTATTTCCTTGAGTTATGTGAGCCACTTGAGCAAATTAATCGGATCCAAAGAGGAGGTGGCAGAAACTCCAACTTGACGCCAGAAATTCTGGAGGCTCAGACTCGTAACTGGTGGGGAGGAGGAAACAGTCAGTCTTGTGGGACTGACCCTCAAGCTGTGAGATCTGACACTATTTCTGGGTGCATAGTGTTTGAATTGCATTGGAGGACACCTAGCTGATGTCTACTGTTTGACGTGTGGGGTTTTGGTCTGGTCACAGAAGTCTTCTGTGTTGATCATGATTGTTTTGATGTGAGAACAGAGGAAAAACACAGTTTGAGAGATGATTTTTTTTTCCTAAAACAAAGTACAATAAGAAAAATAAATTTAGAAATTAAAAGGTTCCCAAAAACTAATCTTTTTTTTCCTCATACCACTTTACATTTGTTTTTGTTTTTGCTTTTTGCTTTGAGATAGGGTCTCACAAAGTTGCTCAGGCTGGAATGCAGTAGGTATTCACAGATGTAATTATCATACAACAGCCTCTAACTCTTGGCCTCAAGTGATCCTCCCACTTCAGCTTCCTGAGTAGCTGGGACTATAAGCTCTTGCCACCAGCTGTGGCTGTTTTTAAATCACCCGAAGTCCAGAGTTTATGTTAGGGTTCACACTTGTGTTGTATATTCTATGTGTTTCAACAAATGCATAATGTCCTATACTGACAAGGTTATCATACAGAGTAGTTTCCCGCCCTCCACCTATTCATCCCTCCTTCCTCCAACGCCTAGCAATCACTGATCATTTTATAGCTTGATAGTTTTTTGACTTTTCCAAAATGTCATATATTTAGAATCACATAGTATGTAGCCTTTCAGATTGGCTTATTTCACTTAGTAGTATGCTTTTAAGGTTCTTCTATGTCTTTTCATGTCTTGATAGCTTTTTTTTTTCTCATTGAATGGATGTGCCAGTTTATCCATTCACCATCTGAAGGATATCTTAGTTGTCTCCAAGTTTTGTCAATTATGAATTAAGCTGCCATAAACATTCTTATGGCCAGGTGCGGTGGCTCACAACTGTAATCCCACCACTTTGGGACATCAAGGCAGGCAGATCACCTGAGGTCAGGAGTTTGAGACCAGCCTGGCCAACATGGTGAAGCCCTGTCTCTGCTAAAAATAAAAAAATTAGCCAGGCGTGGTGATGCATGCCTATAATCCCACCTACTTGGGAGGCTGAGACAGGAGAATTGCTTAAACCCAGGAGGCCGAGGAGGCAGTGAGCCAAGATCATGCCATTGCACTCCCGCCTGGGTGACAAGAATAAACTACATCTCAAAAAAAAAAAAGAGAGAGAGAGAGAAAGAAACTGCCAAACTGTCTTCCAAAGTGACTGCTCCATTTTGTATTCCCACCAGCAATTAATGAAGAATTTCTGTTGCTCTACAGCCTTGTTGGAATTGTGTTACCTGTGTTTGGGATTTTAGCCACTCTAATAGGCTACCAGTAATAGCTCATTCTTGTTGGGTTTCTTAAAACGTTTTTTACAGAGACAGGGTCTCACTAATGTTGCCCAGGCTGATCTCAAACTCCTGGGCTCAAGCAATCCTCCCACCTCAGCCTCCTGAGCAGCTGGGACTACAGGCATGTACCCCTGCACCCAGCTTCATTGTTAATTTGCAATTTCCTAACGACATATGACACTGAGCATCTTTTCATATAATTCTCTGCTATCTGAACATCTTTGAAGGTATTTGTTCTGCTCTTTTGTCTAGTTTTAAATTGGGTTGTTCATTTTCTTATTGTTGAGTTTTAAGAGTTCTTTATACATTTGGAAATTTAAATTGTTTTTTTTTTTTTTAGTTTTGTAGAGACAGGGTCTACAGTCTTGCCCAGGTTAGTTTCAAACTCCTGGGCTCAAGTGATTCTCTTGCCTTGGCCTCCCAAAGTGCTGGAATTATAGGAATGAGCCATCATGACTGGCCTCTTTGTATATTTCAGATAGCAGTATTTTCTCAAATGAGTCTTTTGCAAATATTTCCGGTACCCTACCCCAAGTATAAACATAGACCAAGTATAACATCATAGTCAAAATATCAGTATACCAGCCAGCACTTTGGGAAGCCAAGGTGGGTAGATCACTGGAGGTCAGTGGTTCATGAGACCAGCCTGGCCAACATGGTGAAACCCTGTCTCTACTTAAAAAAAATACAAAAATTAGCTAGTGTGCTGGCAGGCACCTGTAATCCCAACTACTTGGGAGGCTGAGGCAGAAGAATTGCTTTAACTAGGGAGGCAGAGGTTACAGTGAGCCAAGAAGGTGCTACAGCACTCCAGTCTGGGCCACAGAGCAAGACTGTCTCAAAAACAATAAAAATTAAAAATCGGTGTATCAGATCCTAATATTCCCTACCAATATGTACTCTCCCCTTCTTTCTTACTTAATAAGCCCTAATTTTGCTCAGGGCAGCAATATACTCAGCTAATATAGCCACCTTTCCACATTCCATAGAGGGAAACGGCAGCCATGTGACCTAGTGCTGTCCAGTAAGATGTAAACAAAAGCCAGGATGGGGATTCCAGAGAAGCTTTTTAGAAGGGCCAGATTAGGCTAGCCATGTTCTCTATCTCCTCCTTTCTCCAGCACAGAACAGAGCCATCTTACAATCGTGAGGTGACATACATGAGAACAAAGGCCTCCTGCTCATTCTTGAGTCCCTGAGGGCACCTCAGTTGCTGTACCACACAGAAAATACTATCCCTGAACTTCTTGTTGACTGAGACAAATAAACCCCTTATATAAACCACTGCTTATTTAATTTTCTGTTATTTGTAGTTAAACACATTTTAACAGACAGAGCTGGAGAAAAACAAAATCTTAAGACCTTCCAGAGAAAAAAACAGTTTGTATCATACAAAGATACGAACTCAAAATGACTTCTGACTCTTTAAAAGCAATATGCACCAAAGACCATAAAGAACATGAGAATTAAGAATATACTCAGCCAAAACAATCAATCAGACTTAAGAGTGGAATAAAGACATTTTCAGATATGTGAAATCCCAACAACTTGCAGGTCATGTACCTTTTCTTAGGAAGTTCCTGCAAGCTACACTACACCAAAATGATGGCGTGAAAAAGAGGGAGACCATGGGGTTCTGGAAATAAGAAGGTGTGGGATGCCTTGAATGACAGCTGCACCACAGGACTAGGAGACAGGGAGCTCTAAGAGGAGCTGCAAGTCAAAGGGCTCCAGGAAGGAGGGGCTCTAGAAAAGCAGCAGCCCTTACATGTTACAAAAGAAGGCTGACAGGCCATTTTTATTTTCTTATTTATACTTTTTCATATATCCCACAAAAATACATAAATTTTATTTAGGCAGAAATAAAAAAGCAGTATATATTACATTTTTTAAAAAATACCTACATGGCCAGGAGCAGGGGCTCACGCCTGTAATCCCAGCACTTCAGGAGGCCAAGGCAGGCAGATCATGAGGTCAGGAGTTTGAGACCATCCTAGCCAACATAGTGAAACCCCATCTCTACTAAAAATACAAAAATTAGCCGAGCGTGGTGGTGCACACCTGTAATCCTAGCTACTCAGGCAGCTAAGGCAGGAGAATGACTTGAACCTGGGAGGCAGAGGTTGCAGTGAGCCGAGATCACGCCACTGCCCTTCAGTCTGGGAGATAGAGCAAGACTGTCTCGGGGGAAAAAAAAAAAAAAACTACATAAATATATAACCAAGGTTCTACTACAATAAACTCTAACACTATCTTTTTAAAAATAAAAGAACGTACCTTTGTAAGGATGGTTTTACCATAATTCTTTGTGCTGGTCAAACCACTATTCAAATAGATATTTTTCTTCCCAGTTGGGCTATAATAAGCTAAAGTCAAAAGGAAACAGAGATAAACTGCTTATTAAATACAGAATTATAATATAATCCAATCAGTGTATAATCCCAGCATCATATTCACACAAGAAAAGAAAAAACTTACCTTTTGGACAAACGCCTCCATGGCTGTTTGCTCTGGGAGAGCCAACATATGCTAATCCAAGAGTTCCCATATCAAAATCTTGGTATGTGAAAAGGTGTGCCAAGCAAACTTTAGATGCTTCCTCAGCTATATCAAAGCTGAATTGCTTTGAAAGACAAAAAAAAAAAAAAAAAAAAAAAAAAAAAGCATTCTTAATTTGATTAACCATTGCCTCAAACTAAAAGATGTAATCTAAATCAACTAAACATTCCAGAACAGAACCATGATGGCTCGAAGCTCAGCACCAGCAATCACAACCTCGTGCAGTGCGTTGCCCTTTCCCTGAAGTGCTCCTCCACCTGCACAGGTGAGAGGCAGACATTGTCATCTGGAAAGGGGCACAAAAGGGAAGAGCCCAGAAGCTTGTTCCAGCTGTTCAGAACTAACTCACTGCTCCTCTGAGGGCTGTTCTGAAAACATACAGCCCAGCACTAGAGATGCTCCAATTCGACAAAGGGACCGCAGCACCCCAGACCAAAACAGATCCCTCTCAAATATTTCAAGGATTCAATTCGTTTCATAGAAATTTTAATTTTAAACCTTTTTGAGCTTAATATAGTCATTTATATAAATATACACCTACAGAAAAGCATATATACTCAGTTTTATGTTACTAAAATAAATATTTTAAGTCCATTTAAATCAGCACTGCAGGTTTGAGAAGATTTTTTTTCTTAATTTAAAAGGGCTTCATACATTACTTTAAAAACCTCTACCATAATCGTCCAGGGTCTCCAAGTTTAAAAATATTGATTTTTTGGGTTTTATTAATTATTATTCTTTGTTTGAAATAGGGTCTTGCTGTGTCACCCAGGATGGAGTGCAGTGGTACAATCACGGCTCACAGCAGCCTCGACCTACCAGAAGTAAACCTCCCACCTCAGCCTCCCAAGCAGCTGGTACCAAAGGCATGCGTCACCATGCCCAGCTAATTTTTGTATTTTTTGTACACCATGTTGCCCAAGCTAGTCTTGAACTCCTGGGCTCAAGTGATCCACCAGCCTCAGCCTCCCAAAGTGCTGGGATTACAGGCATGAACCACCATGCCTGGCCAAAACCCTCAATTTTTAAAATGCTTTAAATGAGAGGCCAGAGAGCCCTGTATGAGGAATGAAGTGTGGCTGCATGGGGATTCTGGTAGTTCTGTGGTAAAAGAGTAAGGCTTCTAAGAATATTCTAGGAGCCTTAGGGAAGAAAATTGGAGAGGAGCACCTGTCAACACAAGTCATTCTTTTTGGTTCCTCCCCTGCCATGGGCTGTCTGGAGGTTCACAGAAAAGCAGACAGATGCAGTGGTTCAGCTGTTCTAGGAGTCAGGAGATCTGTGCTCAATTTGACCTCTGCCATGCCATTACCAGTCGTATGACTAACCAGAAAAGTCATTTGATCTTTCTGTTACTGGCTGAATTGTGCCACTCCAAAATTCAAATGTTGAAGTCCTAACCCTCAACAGTACCCCAGAATGTGATTGTATTTGGAAACAGGGCCCTTAAGGAGGTAATTAAGTTAAAATGAGGTCATATGGGTGGGCCTTAATCCAATATGGCTGGTGTCCTGATACGGAGATCAGAACATAAACACACACTGAGGGAAGGACCATGTGAGAACACAGGGAGAAGACAGCATCTATACCCCAAGAAGAGTGGCCTCAGAAGAAATCAACCCTGCCAGCTGGACTTCCAGCTTCCAGAACTGTGAGAAACCAAATCTCTGTTGTTGCAGTGCCTCAGCCTGTGCTGCTCTGTCATGGCAGCTGGAATAAACAATCACACTTGCTGAGCCTCTTCACAACAATGATGCTGTCTCAATCAACCTCTCAGGCTGCTCAGCAGATCAAATTAGACAAGGTGTGAATGAGTACCACACAGGTGCTGCACATTATGCCTCTCCACCTGGATGAAGAGTTATAACATCCTTTAATTCTATTCAAGCTTTGAAAACTTGATTTCAGCCTCACGAGACCCTAAACAGAGAATCCAGATGAGCCACACCATACCTGGACCAGCCCATGCAAACTACGAGACAAGTAAGTTCTGTTCTAAGTTGCTCAACTTGTGATAATTTGTTAAAGCAACAACAGGAAACTAATACCCTTACCAACATATTAAAAGATAAAAACTATCGCTTCATAGAAGGTCATGCTACACCAAAGTAATAGCACACACAAAATCAAGACAGTGGAATCATGTGGCAGTATCCTGTTACATGGCAAGACTCCAAATGACATAAAATGACTAAGTTAGCCATCTTAGATTCATCATCAGAATAAAAACAGAAATTGTTAATTCCTATAGAGAACTTTCAGATCTCCAAGCTATATGTCTACTGTCCAATACATGTTCATAACCTGTTTGATAATTACTGCCCTAAAGGATAAATTGATAAGCTTCAGAGAGACCTGAACTAAGTGTGCAGAACTAACAAAACAGTGTGCAAAAACTCTATATATTGAGTACCCATGTTATTTTCTAGAGGAGATCCACTGATTTCCTCATTAGATTCTCAAAGATATTAAGGTTAAGAAGCATTGCTTTATAGCGTTTTTCTTTCTCAGTGTTTTAGTTATTTATTGTCTGCCCTTCTACACAGGATGGGGTTACAGTTGGATCAGCAGGGGAGACTGCTTCTGGGTTTCCATCTTTTATAACATGATCCTTCATTAATGCACATACAATCCACGTATCAGAAATCACAAAGTGGTGTTAGCACCATATCCAGGATTTCACGACCTACCTCTAGCAACATCTTCACATCCCAAGCATCCTTTTCTTCATTTGGGTAACTTTTTGCCATATTGTAGTGCTTTTCACCAGGTTTTACCTCTTGTGGAGACTTGAGAATGCGAATCTACACTTAAAGAGATAATACACTTAGAACACTTCCAAAGTAAGTCAGAAGATTCTGAATACTGCATTATTTTATCTGTTCAAAAAAAGAATCATTCTAGAAAAAAAACATTTTAAAATCAAAATTCATAAATTCTTCAGTTCTAATATTCAATGTTTGAAACAGAGAAGCGTATGGTATGGAAAACATGTATGTCAATGAATTATTTATAATGATGTAAGTGTACTCCTAAATTTTCATATCCTCCATATTTATTCTGAAAAAATAAGAACCTGGGTTACAGGAGCCTAAAATATTTATTACAATATGTCGATAATTTAGGAAAGAATAACAAAATATATACCACTTTGTGCATCGAAGGAATAAAAGACTAAGAATAGAGGCTTCTCCTTATATGTGCATTTCAGACAAATTCATATTAAGCCTGCTAAGAAGAAAAAAAAAGTAATAAAAGCTCCCATTAGTGAGTTTGAGATTAAAAAAAAAAAAAGAGGGAAACCATGCCCAACTCAGAGTTTCCGTGTGTCTCTCCTTCCCTGCCTGCCTGCCTGCCTGCAGAGAAGGCTCATTCTGGTCTCCTCTGCCACTGTGTGGTAAGCTTACTGGGGTGGGCTCTGCAGTTTCAGTGTTGGGTGGTCAAAGTCAAATCTGAGATAGAACTACTTAGAAGGCTATCATGATGCACATCTACACCAATCCTCCAACCCATTCTTCATCAGATGTAAAGAAGTTCATGTTTTAATCTCCTATATTACTTCTGTATTCTTCAACTGGTTCCAAATGCCTAAAGCAAAAAGAAACTTAATTTACAGATTCCCTAAAACTCAAACATGATGCAGCTATTTATAATAAAACAAGCAAGGCAGCTTTAGATACACGAACACGAAATACTCTCCAACACACTGTGAAATGAAAAAGCAATGTGTATAAGTGTACCGCATAACACCATTGTGTCAAATACAGACATATACATATGCTATACATGCATACAACATCTCTAGAAAGATACATATGAAACTAGTGACATGAATGTCTTTGGGGAAAGGAACTGGTTTGACAATAAACAGGCTGCAGAGACTTACTTTTCACTGGCTTTTGTACTGTGTATTTGTTACCTATTCAAATAATAACTTAAAAAGAAAATGCAAAATAGTAAATGACAATGAAAAGGGAAAAAGAATTCTTAGTTTTAAACAAGTATTATCAAAGTTTAACATTTATAAACATGGTGAATGATTTCAAAAAAATTTTCTTTTAAAAAAACCTCTAAATTCTGTACTATAGAACTTATAAAAATATGGTTTACTACAAAAAGCCTGGAAAAATTGATATAACAATTTATGTAATTTACATATCAAAATGCCTCTCTGCCCAAAGCAATACCCCATGTTAGTATAGTCTTTTTAACTAGTCTTAGCAACTTGAAATAACTTTTACTATGAGCTGTTATTAAGATCACATTAATGTAACATTGCTAGACATACTCTAGTAACAGATTACAAGGAAATTAGGAGGAGATATTTGAGGGGAAAGAACCTAAAGGTTCTGAATATATAAATACTGCCTTGCAAAGGTACACAGTATTCTTTAGCAAATTCTTCTGACTAAAGAGTCAATGATAGGTGTCAGAGTATTAACTAAAGACCTAAGCATCATCAGAGGGGGAAAAAAACTACAGAGAATAAAAAGGCCATGAATTCAAAGAAGGAACAAAGCATAGCAGCATAAAAGGCTTTCTACCTAAAGAGAGACTAAGGACAGAATACTTCACAATCTAGAACTAATTAACATAAAAAATACTGCACAATTCATCAGAAAAAAATCACTGGCATTTGAGAATACTTATTTATAATTATTGTTAAGAACAAGTTTTTGGGTTTTGAATACAAGTGACAAATATTTACATCACATAACTTAAGAGAGTAATATAAGCCATATCTGTTGATAAATACCTGCTCAATCTGTATTCCGTAGCCTTTAAAACCCGCATTATCCCATGAAGTGTTCCGGTAGATGTCATCAACTCTGTCAATTAGCTCTATCTGTGAATATTTAAAAAAGAAAAAAATACATGATGTAGCTCTACCTCTCTTCGCAATGCAATATAAAATCTATGGGGGAAAAAAAATCTTACTTTAGAGAAAATGCCATTGCAAAAGTTTCTACTTTCACAAAAACTAGCATTAAGATGTTACTGTACAAGAGTATTCCCAGCCATTGGCCCCAAACTTAAAGTGCTGTTACCAGAATAAAACAATGGTACCGTTTAACCTAAATTTCAGTACTCAATTGCAAATGGAACCAAAATGACAACAGGCTTTTTTAAAAACTACCGTTCCAGCCACAATAAAAATAAAATTTTAAAGTCAATCAATATACCTGAAATACAGTTGACCCTTGAACAATATAGATTTGAACTTCAAGTGTCCACTTATATGTAGATTTCCTTGAGCCTCTGTCACCCAAGACAAAATGACCAACCCTTTCCTCTTCCTCCTCAGTCTACTCAACATGAAGATGACAATGATGAAGACCATTATCCACTTCCACTTAGTGAATAGTATATGTACTTCCTCTTAAGATTTTTTTTTTGTAACAGGGTGTTTTTTTGAGATAGGGTCTTGCTCTGTTACCAGGGGTGCAGTACAGCACCATGATCATAACTTATTATAGCCTTAATTTCTGGGCTCAAGTGATCCTCTCATCTTAGCCTCCTGAGTGACAGAAGGCTACAGGCACATACCACCATGCCCAGCTTTTTTTTTTTTTTTTTTGAGATGGGATCTTGCTTCGTTGCCCAGGCTGATCTCAAACTCCTGGCTTCAAGAGATCCTCCTGCCTTGGCCTCCCAAAGTGCTGGGGTAACAGGCATGAGCCACTGTGCAACTGGCCCCTGATAATTTTCATCATAACATTTTCCTTTCTCTAGCTTACTTGATTGTAAGAACACAGTAATAATACATATAAAAAACACATATTAATCAACTGTTATTTTATTGGTAAGGCTTTTGGTCAACAGTAGACTATTAGTAGTTAATTTTTTGGACAGTCAAAGTTATACAAGGGCCAGGCACAGTGGCTCATGCCTGTAATACCAACACTTTGGAAGGCTGAAGCAGGAGAAGTGCTTAAGCTCAGAAGTTCGAGATCATCCTGGGCAAGTCTCCATCTCTACTAAAAATCAAAAAGTTAGCCAGGAAGGATGGTGAACACTTGTTGTCGCAGCAACTCATGAGGCTGAGGTGGGAAGACTGCTTTGGCCTGGGCAACAGAGACTGCAGTGAGCTATGATTCCATCACTGCACTCCAGCCTGGGCAACAGAGACTGCAGTGAGCTATGATTTCATCACTGCACTCCAGCCTGGGCAACAAAGCCTTAAAAAAAAAAAGTTAATGAGGATTTTTGACTGCAGAAGGAAGGTCAGTCTTCTAACCCCCTGCACTGTTCCTGGGTCAACTGTATTCCCTTCTAAAAAGAATTCCATCTTCACTCTATCTCTTGGCAAGTACCTCAAATGCCTTCCCCAGAAACAAGTAAGAGGCTGTGACAGACAACTGCCAACTTTCATCCCAAAAAGTTCAGCACTGAGGAATGGGTAAGAAGACAGCCAGAAAGAACAAGGTTCATTTCAGCAATCCTTTTGTTCTCTGATTTGGGAAAACTGGAGAAGGAGGGACAGTATAGTTATGAAGGCAAATAACACAAGAAAGAATAAAATGCTAATTACCTATCTTTTTCTCAAAGAGAAAAATCCTACCATTCAAACACTGGGTTAATGAGGTTTGTTCAGCAACTGTGAAACAAGTTATGTCTAAGAAACTGTAAAAAACACAATTTTTAAGACTAGATCTCTCATTATATTCATATTTGTAGTGCAATGAACAAAGAAGTAAAATAAGAGGAACCCCTTAATACAAAACCCAGATTAAGAGAAAAGCTTTTATGTTTTTGAGACAGAGTCTTGCTCTTTCACAATCTCAGCTCACTGCAACCTCTACTTCCTGGGTTCAAGTGATTCTCCTGCCTCAGCCTCCCAAGTAGTTGGGACTATAGGCGCACACCACCACACCTGGCTAATTTTTTGTATTTTTAGTAGAGACGAGGTTTCACTGTGTTAGCCAGGATGGTCTCAATCTCCTGACCTCAAGATCCACCCACCTTGGCCTCCCAAAGTGCTGGGATTACAAGCGTAAGCTACCATGCCTGGCCAAGGGAAGCTCTTTTAAGTAAGAATCTCTCTTACTTAGAAATAAGAATCACAGTGACTCTTACTAGCCTCATAATAAATTCACTTGATATGGGGCTGGGCGCTGTGGCTCACAGCTGTAATTCTAGCTACTCATGAGTCTGAGGCAGGAGAATTGCTCAAACCCAGGAGGTGGGGGTTGCAGTGAGCTGAGATTGCGCAACTGCACTCCAGCCTGGGTGAGACTCTGTGTCAAAAAAAAAATTCATTTGACATGGAAGGGAAGGGAAAAAAGGATGAGGGAGAGTATGAATAAAATGAACAGAACAGGAAAAGCAAGGCGATGAGAAAGACATCTTTACTGCACCAGCCTCTTCTTGCTTCATGAACAGTTGCATTCTCCATTATTCTCTCAATAACAAACAACATTTTGGTCAATGCCACGTAATCATGACGAATGAGGTCACATTAGCAAAAAATGTCAACGAAAAATGATTCCCCTGACTTTTTAAAAGTCATAACAGTTCATGCTTAAAAATGTGGTATCATCACTTCTTAAATCTTTCCTTCACTTCTGTGTCCTAGAGTTAGTATGACCATAAAAGTCCCACCTATTTCAAGTGAAGTCCAATGATTAGTTCTTTAACATGACGAACAAAACTCACCTTCCTCTCTGAAATATACGTAAAAGCGGCCAGGCGCAGTGGCTCGAGCCTGTAATCCCAGCACTTTGGGAGGCCGAGGCGGGTGGATCACGAGGTCAAAAGATCGAGACCGTCCTGGTCAACATGGTGAAACCCCGTCTCTACTAAAAATACAAAAAATTAGCTGGGCATGGTGGCGCGTGCCTGTAGTCCCAGCTACTCAGGAGGCTGAGGCAGGAGAATTGCCTGAACCCAGGAGGCGGAGGTTGCGGTGAGCTGAGATCGTGCCATTGCACTCCAGCCTGGGTAACAAGAGCGAAACTCCGTCTCAAAAAAAAAAAAAAAATGAAAAGAAAGAAATATACGTAAAAGCAAAAGATAAACATGTTCATGCAAATACATATTTTTACACTCACATATGACACCACAGATTCACTGCCATCATAGCAGTGATTTTTTAAAGAGCTCACTTGTATCAAGAAGAAGGACTATATTATAACCTCTCCCAAACCCTATTTGCATAAATTCTAAGATGCAGAAAATATCAGTTCAAGGGCAAAATGAGTTGTCATAAATTTGAAACTATAATTTCCATACAGTAATATAAAAACCTCAGAGAATACCCCTCAAATATTTTAGGGAAATAACAGAACATCTGGAACAGATCTGGTTTCATTAAGTTTCTTGGAATTTATCCACCCACCCAAACTTTTTTTCCCAACTACTTGATGCAATATCAAATACTTACTAAGTAATTTGTGGTAGTACTCTCTTCCCCTCTACCCATGTATCTGTAGAAGCGATGATCTGCTACCACCAATAATTTACATGTGTTCTTCATGGGATCTGGGACAGCTCTTCTCTTCACCCGATGAACAAGCTCTAATATGAATTTGTATGCATTATTAAATTAAAATTCACCAAAACAGGGAGTTTTATGGTAACACTTTAAATCTAACATATTTTTGACACAATCATTATGTGAGCTTAATATCATTAGAGGATCTTGAACAACAAAAAAACAATTTGGAGGAAGACAGAAAAGCGAAAAGTAATATGAAATTTAAACACTGTAGAATTCAAAACCAAGGACAAGTACCTTCTTAATTTTTAAAACACAGAAACTTAAAAAAGTGCTGGCCAGGCGCAGTGGCTCACACCTATAATCCCAGCACTCTGGAAGGCCGAGGTGGGCAGATTACTTGAGGTCAGAAGTTTGAGACCAGCCTGGCCAACATACTGAAAAATACAAAAATTAGCCAGGTGTGGTGGCACATGCCTGTAATTCTAGCTACTCAAGAGGCTGACGCAGGAGAATAACTTGAACCTGGGAGGCAAAAGTTGCAGTAAGCCGAGATCATGCTACTGCACTTCAGCCTGGGTGACAGAGTGAGAATCCATCTCAAAAAAAAAAAAAAAAGTGCTCAACAGAGTAAGGTAGGGCATGTTGGCTCAGGCCTGTAATCTCAGCACTTTGCGAGGCTGAGGTGGGCAAGTCACATGAGGACAGGATTTTGAGACCAACCTGGTCAACATGATGAAACCCCATCTCTACTAAAAATACAAAAATTAGCCAGGTATAGTGACGCATGCCCATAATCCCAGCATGCCCATAATCTCTGAAGGCTGAGGCAGAAGAATCACTTGAACCCAGGAGGTGGAGGTTGCAGTGAGTCAAGATTGTGCCACTGTACTAAAGCCAGGGCAACAAGAGTGAGACTCCATCTCAAAATAAATGCATAAATAAAAAGTGCTCAACAGAGTAAAACAGTCACCTAATGCTGGGCTATGAAGCTGTCAGTCATATTCTACAAGAAGTTTATGAATTAACCAAAGGAACAGTAAAAATGTCAAGATATTCACATTGAAAATTAGTTGGTGTTAACAGGATTTATTCTTTCTTATGAAATAAATTAAGGATTTATTTACATATTAAAATGCTAAGATATAATTTTAAAAATATAACCACATCTATAATCCCAACACTTTCGGAGGCTGAGGCAGGCAGATCACTTGAAGCCAGGAGTTAAAGAACAACTTGGCCAACATGGTGAAAACCCATCTCTACTAAAAACACAAAAATTAGCCAGGAGTGGTGACATGTGCCTATAATCCCAGCTACTCGGGAGGCTGAGGCAGGTGCATCGCTTGAACCTGGGAGGCAGAGGTTGCAGTGAGCCAAGATCACGCTGCTGCTGCAAAAAAAAAAAAATTTAAAACAACAACAACAAAAACCTAACCAGAGGTGTTTTGGGTAGAAAAACTCCAAGATGGTTATGTTTTTAAATGATTCTAAATAGACTGTCCCAAGAAGGTTATCTATCTTGGGACAGTCTATTTAGAATACTCCTGCTACTAATTAATTTCTTATAAACTCTAAAGATTATCTTTCTATCATATTATCATTTCTAAATATACCTGCAAGAATATTTTCCCTCAGATCATTCTGTTTCCCATTTCCATATCTTTTTTAAAGTCTAATCTTTGTTGTTCCCATTATTTTCTAGACTTTATAACTCTGACATTATAGACAAGAGAACCTGAAAATTTCAGGAACAAAACCCTTATTTTCATGCCAAATACTACACTTACTTTGATAAGCATGTTATTTTTTATCAGTTAACAACCACCCCTATTGAAGTCAATTATAATATGTTTGTTTCTTATTTGATGTAACATCTTTAAACCTTACCTTCAGGTGGTTCTCTGTCAATTAACCCTTTTGGAAGCAACTCTTCATTATCCACTTTTAAATAACCACACACTTTTGGAGACTGCAAACGTGAAACATTCTTGATATCTTCAGATTTATAAACTAACATTCTTTTGTCTTTGGTATCATTAACAAATCTCCAAAGTGGCTAAAACAGAAAATATATATGACTGAGATAAAAAATATAACAATTCCTAAACACTAAATTCTTCCAACATTCTTTGCTTATTCTTAAACAACATTCATTTCTAGGTTAAGTAAACTGGTAAGTCATGTTATTAAAAATAATCTCAATTTTTATCATGTGGAGTTTCTATGCTGGTAAGTAAATACATAGATTATACACTCTGATTATTTTATCTGTATATAAATAAAGCCTTACATACTTTGCACATGTAATGAAATCTTTTAGAGGATGCATAAGATAAATATGCCTATAATTTTCCATTCATACATTAAAAAATATTCTGTAATATCTACTGTACACTGGCACTGTTAGAGATGATGGTGCTATAGCAATGATAATTGGACAAAGTTTCTGTTCATGTAGCATTTTCATTTTACTATTCTAAATACTTAGGTGTTTGATACCTTTTTGCCATGCTAGGTTTCATCCACACACAAAAACACAAACATATTTACATAAAATGAAACTTAGAACTTGCAACAATAGGTCTGAACCTTATTACTGGTTTCAGGGAATGCAGTTAGTAAAAAAAATATCTCCACTTACAATGTTACAAGGCCAGAGTAAATCACAATTAACATACTCTAAAGGTTACCCAACTCAAAACGATGTTTGTTTGTTTTGTTTCAAAGCAAAATTATTCTCTGTAAGAACACTGTCTCATCAGAACCAGGCAGTTTATGGGAGATAAACAACAAATATATTTATCTCCATCAGGGAAATGCAAATCAAAACCCCAATGGGGGAAAAAAACCCCACAATGAGACACCCCTGGATACCCACTAGGATGACTATAATCAAAGACAAATACTAGTGAGGATATAGAGAAATCCAGAACCCTCATATATGCTGATGCCAATGTAAAATGGTACAGCCACTTTAGAAAACAGTCTGGCAGGTCCTCAAAGGTTAAAAGTAGAATTACCATATGACCCAGAAATTCTGCTCCTAGTATATAACCAAGAGAAATGAAAACATAAGCAGTATTGTAAATCATATCTAAAACGTGGAAACAATCCAAACGTCCATCAACAACTAATCAATGAATAAACAAAATGCAGCCTATCCATACAACAGAATATTATTCTGCAATAAAAATAAATAAGATACAGATACAACATGGATGAACCTTGGAAACATTCTAGAAGAAGCCACACACAGGCCGGGCCCAGTGGCTCAGGTCTATAATCCCAGCACTTTGGGAGGCCAAGGCAGGCGGGTCACTTTGGGAGTTTGAGACCAGCCTGGCCAACACAGTAAAACCCCCTCTCTACTAAAAAAAAATTCAAAAATTAGGCATGGTGGCAGGCACCTGTAATCCCAGCTACTGGGGAGGCTGAGGCAAGAGAATCAGCTGAACGTAGGAGGCGGAGGGTACAATGAGTCGAGATCCCGCCACTACATTCTAGCCTGGGTGACACAGCAAGACTCCATATCAAAAAAAAAATTTAAAAAAAAAAAGAAGCCACACACAAAAAAACACGTATTATATAATTCCATTTATATGAGATGATCCAAATGGGCAAATCTAAACAGATAGTAGTTAGGAAGGAAGGGGAATGTATGGCTAAAAAATACAGCATTCCTTTTCAGGTCATGAAAATGTTCTAAAATTGAATGTGGTAGTGTTTGCACAACTCCATCGATATATGAAAAATTGCCAAGTGCAGTGGCTCACACTTGTAATCTCAGCACTTTGGGAGGCCAAGGCGGGTGGATAACTTGAGGCAAGGAGTTCAAGACCAGCCTGACCAACATGGTAAAACCCCATCTCTACTGAAATACAAAAATTAGCCGGGCATGGTAGTGGCTGCCTATAATCCCAGCTACTCGGAAAGCTGAGGCAGGAGAATCACTTGAACCCAGGAGGCAGAAGTTGCGGTGATTGTGCCACTGCACTCGAGCCTGGGTGACAAATGAGACTCTGTCTCAAATATATATATATTCACACACACACATATATTCACACACAAAAAAACTACAAAACTGTGTATATTAAGTGGGTGAATAATATAGTATGTGAATTATATCTCAATAAAACTGTTAAATATTATCTGCATACACATCTTTGGTAATTCACGTATGAGGTAGATGTAACAAACAATGGTTACAGAATTTCAGGGCTGGCAGAGACCTCAAAAGTTAACTAACCCAACTCCTGGGCTACAGGAATCTTCCATATTTAGTAAAGTTCATTTAGCCTATAAATAGAAGTGAAAATTTTTTTCTTTGGGTTAAACATTTCTAAGTTGACACTGATTGTTTCCTGGTATAGCCAGTCTGGCATAGAAAGACAGCTGGCTTTGGGATCAGAGATATCTGAGTTCAAACCTCAACCTTACCTCACTATGTGCATTGGACAAGTGCCCTGAGCATTATTTCCCTCATTAGGTAAAGCAGTGATAATATCTAACTTGAAGATTACGTAGATAATAAATCTAATTTTATATTAAGACTTCAAAAGAAAAGTGGTTGTTATTAATAAAAGCTAAGCCTATTACCATTATTACTAGTAAGTTGATGGAAAAATAATTTGATAAATAACTGACTAAAAGACAGAAAACTTGACTGGATTCAGGACTGGAAAGCCAAAAAAAATCTATAAAGGATATTTTGAGGATGACTAGAGATTTTGACCATGGCTTGATTATTAGATAATACTATAGAATTCTTTTCATTTCCTCAGGTATGTTACTTTCATTACAGCTATATAAAAGAGTCCCTTTATTCCTAGGGACGCATACAGAAATATTTAGACGTGAAGTCTCATGATGTTTGCAAATGATTTTCATATGTTTTGGGAAAAAAAAGAAAGGAAACATCATATTATGTTAGCACTTGTTTAAGGACTACAGGGTAATTTTTTAATCTTTCTGTACATTTGAACATTTTCTTTTGTTTTTTCGAGACAGAGTTTTGCTCTGTCACCCAGGCTGGAGTGCAGTAGAGCAATCTCAGCTCACTGCAACCTCTGTCTCCCAGGTTCAAGCTATTCTCCTGCCTCAGCCTCCCGAGCAGCCGGGATTTCAGGCACAAGCCACCAAGCCTGCATAATTTTTGTATTTTTAGTAGAGACACAGTTTCACCATGTTGGCCAGGCTGGTCTCGAACTCCTGGCCTAAAGTGATCTGCTCATCTCAGCTTCCCAAAGTGCTGGGATGACAAGCATGAGCCACTGCACCAGCTTAACATTTTCAAAACTAAAAGTTGGGGGAGGCTCAGCACAGTGGCTCACACCTGTAATCCCAGCACTTTGGGAGGCTGAAGTGGGCAGATCATTAGGTTGGGAGACCAGCCTAGCCAACATGGTGAAACCCCATCTCTACTAAAAATACAAAACTTAGGCCAGCTCACACCTATATAATTCCAGCACTTTGGGAGGCCGAGACGAGTAGATCACCAGAGACCAGCCTGGCCAGCCTGGCCAACACAGAAACCCTGTCTTTACTAAAAATACAAAAACCAGCCAGGTACCATGGTGCACACCTGTAATCCCAACTACTTGGGAGGCTCAGGCAGGAGAAATGCTTGAACCTGTGAGGTGGAGGTTGCAGTGGGCCAAGATCATGCCTCTGCACTCCAGCCTGGGCAACAGAGGGAGACTCCGTCTCAAAAAAAAAAAAAAAAAATAGCTGGGTGTGGTGGTACATGCCTGTAACCCCAGCTACTTGGGAGGCTGAGGCAGTAGAAGTGCTTGAACCCAGGACGCAGAGGTTGCAGTGAGCCGAGATCACACCACTGCACTCCAGCCTGGGCAAGAGAGCAAGACTCCATTTCAAATAAATTAATAAAAGTTGCAGAAAAAATTATCTCACTATGCAAGTTTAACTCAGGTTTATTTATATAAATAGTAAGCTATGGTAAAGTCAGTGATGGTTTAGAATATTTAATGGCTGGGCACAGTGGCTCATACCTGTAATCCCAGGCCAAGGCGGGAGGATTGCTTATGGCCAGGCATTTGAGATCAGCCTGGGCAACACAGTGAGACCTCATCAAAAATTTGATACTCTCTACAAAAATCTAACAAATTAGCTGGGCATGGTGGCATGCATCTGTAGTCCCAGCTACGCAGGAGGCTGAAGAGAGAGATTGTTTGAGCCCAGGAGGTCAAGGCTGCAATGCGCTATGATGGCACCACTAAACTTCAGCCTGGGTGACAGGGTAAGACTCTGTCATAAATAAAATATTTAATGATGACATGTTAAAAATAAGATATATCTTTTTTTCCCACTTACTTATATGCCTAAGATCTTAATGCAGATGAACAATGATTTTTTTACATCAAGGTAAGGGAAAAGAATTATTTTTTTTCATGTCAGACTGGTAATGTGCTAACATCGTAACAACGTTCTAGAGTGGCACATCTCATACATGTGTGTGAACAGCCAATCATCACACTTATGAACTACAAAAGTATCAAAAAAATTATTATACAATAAAGAGTAAGAAAATCACCGTTATAAGTAATAAATCATTTTTTCAATAAGAAAATTAAGCTAGGTGTGGTATGTGCCCGTAGTCCCAGCTACTCAAGAGGCTAAGGCGGGAGAATCGCTTGAACCCGGGAGGCAGACGTTGCAGTAAGCTGAGACCATGACACTGCACTCCAGCCTGGGTGACAGAGTGAGACTTTTTCTCAAAAACAAAAAAATATATAAAAATTAGCCGAACATGGTGGCACACACCTGCAGTCCCAGCTACTTGGGAGGCTGAGACAGGAGAATGGCTTTAACCCAAGAGGCAGAGGTTGTAGTGAGCCATGATCATGCCACTGCACTCCAGCCTGGGCAAGAGAGCAAGACGCCGTCTTAAAAAAAAAAAGAAAAAGAAAAAAAAAACAGTTGAGCATCAAGGCGGATTGGTTAAATAAATGGTACAGTGTTTCAATGGACCAACAGGCAGCCTTTATCATAAACCCTAATTTAGGCTGGGCATGGTGGCTCATGCCTATAATCCCAACACTTTGGGAAGGAGAGGCAAGTGGATCACCTGAGATCAGGAGCTCGACACCAGCCTAACCAACATGGGGAAACCCCACCTCTACTAAAAATACAAAATTAGCCAGGCATGGTGGCGCATGCCTGTAATCTCAGCTACTTGGGAGGCTGAGGCAGGAGAGTCACTTGAATCCAGGAGACGGAGGTTGTGGTGAACTGAGATCACGCCATTGCACTCCAGCCAGGGCAACAAGAGGGAAACTCAAACAAAACTAAAAAAAACAAACAAAACCCTAATTTAGATCTATATTAACATGAAAGGGTTCATCATATTGTTAAATAAAAAATGTGTGAAAACAAACTGTACATATTGTATGGTCCTAGTTTTGCAGGAAAAAATAGTCTGTATAACTATACTTGTGTATATACACATAGAAAAAAAAGTTGGTTGTCTGTCAAAATGTCAATAGTAGTTATCTGTCCAAGTACAGATAACCTATTTTCCAAATCTTGCAACAAGTGTATATTTTCAATAAAGGTATTTTTAAAAAATAAATTGACTGAAAGAACAAGCAAATTTAAGGTATTTTAGTGATGCTTTGCCTATTCTAGAATGAATGCATTTTTAACATTAGTTCCTTTACTTTTTACTGAATTTCTGACTCTTTCTGGTAGGCTTGACTCCTCAAAACATTGACATTAAATAGTTTAAACATTAACAAACTATAATATACTGCAAGGCCACAGGTTTCTTTTTCACAACGATGGATAGTCAAAAGACTAACAGTCGTGTAGTTTGGATATAATTCACATGTATAGAATTTATAGATCCAGCAGACTGTTTTACTCCTATTCAGCACTGAAATACACCTGAAGATTTCATTTTGACCAATCTTAATCAGTTTTCCCACAGATGATCTATTTTAGTGACATCACCACCACTAGCGAGTTTTCTCATTTTTCAAGAAACACAGAATCAACTTCAATTTACAATTATGTAGTAAACATTTTGTTTTGTAGACTAGTATCCGACACATAGATATGTGTCTTAACCAGTGCAGCCACTTTGGTCTTGATTTCTACTGTTATTCTTTCAATGGAAGTGTGACCACAGCCTGATTCTCCTAGATTCCTATTTAACTTCTCAGACCATGAACTATCACACCTTCCATTGATCTAGCATTTTCAGTGTGTCTAGCAGAAAAATGGAGAAATTGAAAAATAATACTTTACTTTCATCTCTGAGGATGTTTACATTTATTATTTGAGAAATAATTAAAAAATGAGTCAAAAGGGAAAGAAAGTTTTCTCTTCCTATTATCCATCCCACATGTAAATCTCTCAATTATGGTACTTAGAAATACAGAATATATCATAACACAGCTTCTTAGAGATTATCCTTTTTAAAAAACCAACTTTCCTGGTAAAAGTCTTCAAATACAAAAAAGAAAGAAATAAGTATAATTACTTTTCATCTTTGCAGAACTAAGCAGCTTTTTGAAAATCAGAGATATAAGCTACTGAAAAAAAAATTCACATAAAAATTTACCTCTATGTTATATTCGGCCCCATCTGTGTTGATTCTGATTATAACATCATCATCTCTTATGTGGGCTAGAACCTTAGAGTCAGGCTCACCTTAAGAGAAAAACAAATCTATTATTTAAAAATACTAACATCAAATAATAAACTATGCACTACTCTCAATAAAAATTAAATCCTTCAGGTGGAATTGGAATTTGCCTAGTACTGTGAGAGCTCTGCAAATCAAGAAATAAGGACCCCAGAAAGAAGCTAGATACTCTCAACTCCTAAGGGGTTGAGAGTCTAGTCACTTGAAACCTATCCCTTTCCCAAAGCCAACAAAACTACTAAGATTTTCTTCTGGAATAACTTTATCTACTTTTAGGTAAAGGAAGAACTAAAAGAGGCAGAAAGCATGATTTGGAATGTACAGGCGTAGGAACTATACTATTTGTGGATTTCAATGCCATTTCTTTTTTCTCACTGCAGAAAAAGGTCAAAAAGTAAACTATAATTGCTTGATAGATTTTCTCAAATATATAAATAATAGGATCACAAAGTATTTTATCTCCAAGCTTCCCTGTTTCAAATATCATAAAGCAAGCCTACAGTCACTGCTGAAGACAAGAAAGGTTAAGTTCTTATCACATAAGAGGAAATTTTAAACATAAAACCAGCACCTAGTATGACATTTAGATAACACTCATTTCCTTCCATTAGAACAGTCCTGCCTCTAAACTTATATACCTCAAAGAAAACAGTCAAAGAATAGCGCTTCTATGACATCCCGTCCCCACTACCCTGCACCAGAAAAGAATATGCAATGAAGTCAGATTTGGAGACCAAACCCACCAGACACAGGGGCAAACCAACAAGCTCCATACTAACCAACCACGTGTCCAGTGAAGAAGTCCTGCCATTTCACAGCGTACTCACTTTCATTTTTACCATCCACCACCACGACCTTGAAATTTTGTGAAAAACGTTCAGTACTTGATGTCAGGTATAATTTAAAATGCCTAAAGAAAAATGCATTCATATTTTACTCTACGTACACAAATTAGAAGTCTCATTTTCATGTAATCACACTTTCTTAAAAAGCCAGAAGTGTTGACATTAATAAAACACTATACAAGTTATAACTAATGTCTTATTAGGTACTTAGAGCAATGTATCTCCTGTAAAGTCAAATGGACTAATTTATTTAGCTATAAAAACAGCAGACCAAAATAAACTCACACTAGGTAAAAGATAATCAAAGAACTTACACAGTTATCTCTCCTAGAAAACAATGAAGAATAAGGAAACACACACAACTGGGTAGTTAAGTTGCAATCCTGCTTATCTAAAAAATTAATTGTTAAAAACTAATCCTTTTATACACCATTTATTGAACATCTACTTGGTGTTATGTACTACGCATCTATTATCTCCACTTCACACAAGCAAAACCTGAGGCTTGGAATAATTAACCTACACAAAGTTACACAGCTAGTAAATGGTGAAACTGGAAAATAAACCTGGTTTACCTCAAAACCTTATACTATGTGCTGTCTCGTAACTATCAAGCTGGGTAAACTATGAGAAAATTCTTATTGATGTACAAAATCAATAAATGCTTTCTATATTTAAAAGCACTCATGCTTTTTTCCTCAAACAATATATCCTGCAAAATATTAATCCACAATTACCATTAGGAAAACACATACAAGGTATCCAAACAGACATTAGAATATACACTGCATCAGCACCACAAGACAGGGGAAGAAAGAAATATACACTCCAGTTCTTTAGTTGGCTTACTATTCTTTTTGTTTTCTATGAGCTTCAGTCCTTACATGAAAATTGGGAGTGGTGAGCAAGACTTTCTCAATTATTATTTACAGTTTTTCAATGTGTACATGAACACCAAAGACAAAGAAAGGTATGTTATTCATCTCACCCACAAACAAATTTTGTCAGCTGTGGTACTGAAAATATATTACTTCCCCATGGGTTTGCAGAAGTCTTTAAAACTACCGGAAAGAAATCTAGACTGGGTCTATCTCCATGGCAACAAATATTTTTAACTTTTTGAGCATAACAAGGTAATTTTAGTTTGCTTGTGGTTTCTTAATGGTCAAAGGGAAAAGACACAATGGAACATTATTTCATAAATCCTTAGAACATTTTCTCCTGCTACACTAAAACAAATATTCCCACACATTCTTAGTTATGATTTTTCCCTCCAGTTATGCTGAGAACTTTCAAGAGTATACTTATTATAAATGCCTTATTATTTTGTTTTAAAGCTAAGAGTTGCAATATTACTTAATGTTCTTTCCAGAAAGAAATCAATGGAATTGCATTTTTCGTTTTCTACATTAAGAATCTGCTATAAAGGGCTGCGCACGGTGGCTCACGCCTGTAATCCCAGCACTTTGGGAGGCCAAGGCCGGTGGATCATGAGGTCAAGAGATCAAGATCATCCTGGTCAACATGGTGAAACCCTGTCTCTACTAAAAGTACAAAAAATTAGCTGGACATGGTGGCATGTGCCTGTAATCCCAGCTACTCAGGAGGCTGAGGCAGGAGAATTGCCTGAACCCAGGAGGTGGAGGTTGCGGTGAGCCAAGATCATGCCATTGCACTCCAGCCTGGGTAACAAGAGCCAAACTCCGTCTCAATAAAAAAAAAAAAAAAAAAAAAAAAAAGAATCTGCTATAAAGACCAAGCAATGGTAAAATTCATGTTTTTTTTATTTTCCAATATTAGTTTTTGAGCTATAAAACCTCCCTGGGCGCAGTCGCTCATGGCTGGGCGCAGTGGCTCACGCCTGTAATCCCAGCACTTTGGGAGGCCGAGGCGGGCAGACCACGAGGTCAGGAGTTTGAGACCAGCCTGGCCAACATAGTGAAACCCTGTCTCTACTAAAAATACAAAAAATTAGCCAGGTGTGGTGGCGGGTGCTTGTTATCCCAGCTACTGGGGAGGTTGAGGCAGGAGAATTGCTTGAACCTGGAAGGCAGAGGTTATAGTGAGCCAAGATCACGCCATTACACTCTAGCCTGGATGACAGAGCAAGACTCCATCTCAAAAAAAAAAAAAAAAAAAAACCTCCAATAGAATGTCAAAATTTCTTTTACTTTATCCTCCCAAAATTATGTGAAGTCATTTACTTACAGATTTCTTTAATGTTTTATCTTTCTGACTTTTGACTTAAGAATTCACAGTAACTGGCTGGGTGCGGTGGCTCAAGCCTGTAATCCCAGCACTTTGGGAGGCCGAGGCGGGTGGATCATGAGGTCAAGAGATCGAGACCATCCTGGTCAACGTGGTGAAACCCTGTCTCTACTAAAAATACAAAAAATTAGCTGGGCGTGGTGGCGCATGCCTGTAATCCCAGCTACTCAGGAGGCTAAGGCAGGAGAATTGCCTGAACCCAGGAGGCAGAGGTTGCAGTGAGCTGAGATTGTGCCACTGCACTCCAGCCTGGGTAACAAGAGCAAAACTCCGTCTCAAAAAAATAATAATAATAATTCACAGTAACCACAGACCAGCTAACCAGTTTGAATTAACATTATTTTCCTAACCATTTTTAATGGTCTGTTTAGTCAAGTATATCACTTTCATTTCTTTATCAGTTCTAGACCTCCTCAAATAATCTGAGATATTTCACTTTTAGAAGAAACATTTAACTTTTTCCCAAAAAATTCAGGCAACATTATCAAATTTGTATCAAAACAGTATCTGCAGCTTTTTCATTATTTAAAAATGAGAGAATTTCTTGATTTATACCAAAGAGGAAATGAAACTTGTAAGGCATGTTTTAAACAAGTTTTTTTCTTAAGTTACTTCAACTCTTCATACAACCTCTCTCAGTATTTCCATGCTTTTTCAACCTCTAATAGTTACATACAAATTTAATGCAATGATCTTGGTTTAAATTACTTTGCCTTCCATTGCTATCGAAAAACAAAATTTTTCTCATTTACCATCAATAAGTGGTTTCACAGAGGTAATTCCGCCCTGATATGAACTGATTATTTCCGCTATCTTAGTTTGTTTTGTTGTTTTAAATTTTAATAATGCAATATGATAGAAAAGAAAGGGTATGGGCTTTGGAGTCTGACAAACTTGGCTCAAGTCCTAACCTTCATTTACTCACTGTCTGACCTTGGCCTTAATCTCTGAATCTAAGTATTTATCTACAAATGGAAATAATATTACCCAATAACTGAAAAGCTTTGAGGATTAAAGAAAATAACCTATTTTAAAGCACGTGGTATAAAATCCCAGAGACTGTTAAGTTTCCCATTAAATATTTAATATAAAAATGTTGTAAAATAAATTATGTACTACCCTACTTTCTTACACAGACAGAAGATAATGACTGGCTACTATTTCATATTTTCTTAAGGAATCAATGTCATCTACCAAACATGAAAGAGAAATATGTAAGGCTATGGAAGTTTTCCCCTCTAGAACACAGATTCTACAGGCCACCTCAAATCTAACTTTAAAAGAAACCCAAAAAGTCCATTTTATAGTTTCCTCTCTCTTCCTTTGCTCCTACTCACTTCTTGCTATTATATCCACTTCTTCACCAAACTCCCACCAGTATAGCAGAAATAACACAACTGTTGAGTCCAACCTTTGTTCAACTCTCGTACCTGTCATTTGCTGAGTAATATTGGGCAAGTTACTAATCTAAGACTTAATTTTTTTTCCTTCAAAAAGGGAATCACTTCCATACAGAGTATGGTGAGAATCAGAGGTAACTTACGTAAAGTGCCTAGAAAATCACAGAAAATAAGCACCTGATAAACTGTACCTATTAATATTACCAATCTGCTCAAATTTGGTGTAAGTTGAAAGCTAGCTAACCAATATTGTAATATTCTGACATAAAATCTAATAAAAGGAAGTCATTAAAAAATAACAAGGATAATGGCAATAGCGAGGAAAAATTAAAATAATTTGCATAAAATAACCACATGACAATGGATCCATTTCCTTAATATACTAAAGCACTTCTACAATTCAGTAGACAACTTAAATAGAAAAATAGTCAAAGATATAAAAAGGCAGTTTACAGAAACATAAAACAAATTACTACAAACATATAAAATGATGCTCAATGCCACACAAAATGAAAATCAGAACAACCATAAAATACCATCCCCTTTAGAGGGGTGAAAAGTTAAAGGCTGATAAACCTAGTATTGGCAAACATAACAGAAAACAGGTAAACTCATATATTGCTGCTGGAAGAATAAATTGGTCAAATCTCTTTGGGAGGAAAGAGCAATATCAATAAACATAGTATACATATCCTTGACCCAATAATTCTCCCTCTAGGAATATATCCTATAAAAACACGTCAGCAAGGTATACATTTATGAAGATACTCACTAAAGCACTGTTTGTTATATTTTAAAAATCACTTTGGTTAAATAATATCCATGTATAGTGTATTAGTCAGTATGTTGTTAGAATTCTATGCAATAGGAATATTTATTCAGCTGTTTAAAATGAGGTAAACATGTTAACTGTATCACCTATACACACACACACACACACACACACACAGACCTATGGGCAAAAAACATGCATTAAAATATTCTGGGCTGTGCACAGTGGCTCACAGCTGTAATCCCAGCACACTGGGAAGCCAAGGCAGGTGGACTACCTGAGGTCAGGCGTCCGAGACCATCCTGGCCAACATGGTAAAACCTCGTCTCTACTAAAAATACAAAAGTTAGCTGAGCATGGTGGCAGGTGCCTGTAATCCCACCTACTGGGGAGGCTGAGGCAGGAGAATCACTTGAACCTGGGAGGTGGAGACTTCAGTGAGATGAGATCATGCCACTTCACTCCAGTCTGGGTGACAAAAGCGAAACTCCATCTCAAAAAAAAAAAAAAAAAAAAAAAAAAAATTGGAAGTCTACATAGTAAACCTCTCTGCAACTGAGAAGTGTAACTGAATTAGAAGTAAAAACGTTTTATATCCCCCATGGTTTGTTTTTTAAACCAGATGCACATATTGCTTTTATTTTTTAACATAGTAGAGAAGGCTTGTCCTATAAATAAAGAATAAAGATGGCCAGGCACCTGTAATCCCACCACTTTAAGAGGCCGAGAGAGTGGATCACTTGAGGTCAGGAGTTCAGGGCCAGCCTGACCAACATGGTGAAACCCTGTCTCTACTAAAAATATAAAAATTACCCGGGTGTGGTAGTGTGCATCTGCAATCCCAGCTACTCGAGAGGCTGCAACACGAGAATTGCCTGAACCCAGGAGGCAGAGGTTTGAAGTGAGCCAAAATCACTCCACTGCACAGCCTGAACAACAAAGCAAGACTCTCAAAAAAAAAAAAAAAAAAAAAAAAAAAAAAAGGAATAACTCAGTCAATTTATATTCTCCACGTATTTGTTTTTTGATACCGGATAAAGCTTTCTAAAGACTTTTTAAAAAGGCCTGTAATTATCTAACAGATTTCAATGTGCAAAACAACATGTGATATCAAAATTACTACTGAAATAGAACATATCAATTAATTTATGCTATGAAGTAAGAGGAACTCAATGTAGAAGGAACATTAAATTTGGGCCAGCATGGTGGCTCACATCTGTAATCCCAGCACTTCGGGAGGCCAAGATGGAAAGATCACCTGAGCCCAGGAGTTAAGATCAGCCTGAGCAACAAGGCAAGACCCTGTCTTTAAAAATAAATAATTATGGGCAGCATGGCAAGACTCTGTCTTTAAAAGTAAATAAATATGAAGCAGGTTAAAGAATCTTGGAAACTAACTAGCTAGCTAAATAAATAGAACACTAAATTCTAGATCCAGCTCACCACCAGGCTGTGGGGTCCTAAACAAAATCTGTATCTCTTCATATATAAAATAAAGATAATATTTAGTATGTGGCTGATGGTGCTAAAGTAGTACCAAGAATGTTAAGATTTTTATAAGCATTCAATTAATTAAAATTATGTTAGAATTTTCCAAACATTGTTACCATCATTAATACCTCTGCAATACCTATTTACTTTTTAAAAATACTCATCAGTATGAATTTTATTTATTATTTTTTGTTGTTGAGACAGTCTCTTACTCTGTTGCCCAGTCTGGAATGCAGTGGCACCATCTCAGCTCACTGCAGCCTCCACCTCCCAGGTTCAAGCGATTCTCCTGCCTCAGCCACCCATGTTACCGGGATTACAGGCATATGCCACCATACCTGGCTAATTTTTGTATTTTCAGTAGAGATGGAATTTTGCCATGTTGCCCAGGCAGGTCTTAAACTCCTGAGCTCAAGCAATTCACTCGTCTCAGCCTCCCAAAGTGCTCGGATTACAAGTGTAAGCCACTGCTCCCAGTCCCAATTTTAGAATAAGCGTTATACTAGAAAATCACACATAACAGACTGTAATTATGTTAATTACAAATCTTTAAAATGTAATTTACCAAGATTTCAGTAGACAGCCTTACTTTTTTGTTTTTGCCAAACCAAGCCCCCAGTTCCCCAACATTATTCTATGAATAACTCAAATTACCTTTTCAAAGCTGAAAAAGTTAGTAGTGTTTCTGCATGTGTTGAAGTCTGTAGATCTCTTTTTCTTACTGAATGCTGCTGGATATTAGATAAGGAGAGAATATCGTAGTCTGAGAGCAAAGAATCAAGCTTCTCTGAAATAAAGGTAAAAATGGTATTAGCACCTAAACCTAGTAAGTGACTGTAATATCATTAAAATGAGAGTGCCAGACAATAAATCTTTCCTGATATAATCCATTAGGAAGTGACAAGCACAAACTACAAATCATTTTTGATCAACAGAAACTCCATGCCTCTTCCAAAATCAGAAGAATTTTTAGAAGACAAATTGGGTAACCTGAGTCTCTTTAAAGACTGTCTAAAAATGTTTGCGCTGATGCTTTCCCTTTCTTTCAATAAATACCACTACAGACACTATGGTATTCAAAATCCTTCCAATGGACTTAGAAGGTCCTCAAAATATAGCAGCAAGAGCTTAAAATACAAGTTTATTGCTACTGATGTTAAATATGTTCACAAAATCAGCTTTAAAAGACAGCCTCTCACTCATGTGTGAAAGCTAAAAATGTGGATCTCGGGGAGGTAGACAGCAGAATGGTGGTTACCAGAGGCTAAGAAGAGGGGTAGATTAATTTTTTTTCAGAAACGGGGTGTCTGTATGTTGCCCAAGCTTGTCTTGAACTCCTGGGCTCAAGTGATCCTCCTGCCTTGGCCTCCCAAAGTACTTGGATTACAGGCATTCCAGCCTGGGCCCCAGAATGAGACTCCTTTTCAAAAAAAAAAAAAAAGGGTTGGGGGTGGGCCAAAAAAGGGCTACATTTTATTCATTACAATATCCTTGCCTCACAATCTTCAGCATAGAACCTTGCACATATCAGCACTCACATGTTCACAATCTGCACAAATTCTCAATGCTGAAATGCAATATGGTCTTTTAGCTCTTCAACTTCCCTGATACAGGATGGTACATGAACTCGGTTTCATTCAAGATCATAATCACTCCCTCTGACTCAGGAACTTAACCTCAACATTGTAGTTTCATTGTTAACAATACAGGCCAGCAGTTCCAAACCCAGCAGCATCAGCATCACCTCGGAATTGGTTAGAAATAAAAATGCTCAGGTCCCCACCTCAGACCTACTCAAACAGAAATCTGCCCAGTAGGATCCAATAGTCTGTGTTTAACAAGGCTTCCAGGTGATGCTGACACACTCAAGCATGAAAACCACTAAACTATCTGGGCGCGGTGGTTCATGGCTTGTAATCCCAGCACTCTGGGAGGCCAAGGAGGGTGGATCACCTGAGGTCAGGAGTTCAAGACCAGCCTGGCCAACATGGCAAAACCCCGTCTCTACTAAAAATATAAAAAATTAGCCAGGTGTGGTGGCAGATGCCTGTAATCCCAGCTACTAGGGAGGGTTAGGCAGGAAAATCACTTGAACCCGGGAGGCAGAGGTTGCAGTGAGCCAAGATCATGCCACTGCACTCCAGCCTGGGCAACAAGGTGAGACTCTGTCTCCCAAAAAAAAAAAAAAAAAAAAGGAAGAAAGAAAAAAAACCACTGAACTAAGCTAAAAGAAACAAACAAAGTAAAGAAAAAAACTTAAACCACAAAGATGTTCATCATTCAGGCTTGGCTTATTTTCAAGGACAAAAACCAGAATGAAGGTAAATTAACAACGGGGAAACGGCTGGATGTTTTAACACTTCCAAAGACAGGGGAAAGAAATCTGCAACCATTTTAAATGTAATCTACAAAAAGTTTTTAAGAACATGGGTCTGAGGGTGGTGGCTCCCGCCTCTAATCCCAGCACTTTGGGAGGCCAAGATGAGAGAATCATTTGACCCAAAGAGTTCAAGGCAGCCTGGGCTACACCCTCCAAAAAGTAAAAATAAAATTAGTCAGGTGTGGTGGCACGTGCTTGTAGTCTCAGCTACTCAAAAGGTTGAGGCAAGAGGATCACCTTGAGCCCAAAGGGTCAAGGCTGCAGTGAGTCAAGATTGCACCACTGCACTCCAGTCTGGGTGACAGAATGAGATCCTGTCTCAAAAAGAGAAAGAAAGAAAGAACATAGAAAAATACATGTTATAATGTTAAATAAATCTAGATTTTAAAAATATTCCTACTGCGTAATCTTAACTATGTATAAAAATAGGCCTAGAAAAAATAAACACAAGATAGTAACATCATTGGTCATGTTGGGTATATTTTCTGTAATAAGCACTTTCTTTTTTTCTGAGATGAAGCCTCACTCTGTCACCCAAGCTGGAGTGCAGAGGCATGATCTCAGCTCACTACAACCTCCATCTCCTGGGATTCTCCTGCCTCTGCCTCCCGAGTAGCTGGGACTACAGGCATGTGCCACCATGCTCAGCTAATTTTTGTATTTTTAGTAGACACAGGGGTTTCAATATGTTGGCCAGGTGGGTCTTGAACTCCTGACCTCATGATCCACCCGCCTTGGCCTCCCAAAGTGCTTAGATTATAGATGTGAGCCACGGCTCCTCGCCAATAAGCACTTTTAAAATGTAGCTTGCTAAAGCACTTTAAAATACTTAACTAATGCATTTCAACTGTAATTTATTCTCTTTTAACAACTGGATATCTCAAATTGAAGATTCTGGACAGTAAAACAGTAAAAACAGTTCTTCCTTTGGAGCCAAACCATAGCTACGTACTACTGCTATTGTGTTTTCACTAAAGTAACCTCTGAGTTCCTCAATATTTCACTGCACTTCACTTCCAAAATTCTAACCATTGGTAATCTCAATTGTTTACAGCCTTTTCAACAGAATTTATATTTCTCCCCATTTCCTGAGTTTATCTCTTATCCATATTCAATTGTTTCAATAAACTTAAACATAAACCACCTGCTTCTTACAGTAGAGGTTATTACAGTTAATACCAGACATTGCCACACTATCTTAGCTCAGTGTCTGGCCATATTCTCTTTTTTAAAAACCACAATGGCTGCCCATTTCTCTCTAGAATGAGAGCACCTTCTTTACTTTCTACAAGTTGCCACAGAAATCATCATTTTGTTATCTTTTTTATATTTTTTGTCATCTGCTTTTTGTTGTTATGTGCTTTTGGTATCTTCTTTCATTCCCCCCCCATCTTCCTTTCTTGAGCACATATTCTACACTTACTTTTTTCTCTCTTCCACCAGACTCCATTTACTTGTTTATTTAACAAATATTTGAGAACCTCCTACCTTTCAGGCACTAAGGATATAACACAGAGAAAAAGAAATACATTTCCAGTATTGTGACACTGGGGGAAAGACCAAAATTATTATAAAGTACATCACAGACCAAGACAGAAGTAGCTGCAGAAAGTTATGGACAGACACGGCAGGGACATAATCTGCCTGCTGAATCAAAGATGTTTTCCCAGGGAAACGGTATTAAAGACCAAAAGGATGAGGCAGTAACCCAGAGAAGGAAAAGAAAGGAGAGGCTTCAAGTCAAGGGCGTAACATATGCTGAAGTCCACAAAAAAAGGAAAAAAAAAAAAAAAAAAAAACAGAACATAACACTTAGAGAGTGAAAGCAACTCCATGAAGCTGCAGTGCAGAGCAGTAGAGATAGAATTTGACTATGATGACTATGTGTGAGGCTGGAGAGTCAGGCACGGGTCAGGTGAGGAAGGGCTGCTGAAGGACATCAGGGACTCTGGGCTTTGGATAAGAGCAATAGCTACAAATTAGAAATTTCATGATGGGCCAGCTGTGGTGGGTGAGGCCTGTAATCCCAGCACTCTGGGAGGTCAAAGTGGGCAAATCGCTTGAGCTCAGAAGTTCAAAACCAGCCTGGGTGACACAGCCTGGGCGACATAAATACATTTAATGTTTTTAAATGTATTTAAGAACATTGTGAATAAAGTGTTATATGAGAAGGGTCTGGAAACATGTATGGGTTTTTGCTTTGTTTCGGAGACAGGGTCTCGCTCTGTTGCCCAGGCTGGAGTGCAGTGGCACAATCACTACTGACTGCAGCCACAACCTCCTGGCCATGAGCAATCCTCCAGGTGGCTGGGACCACAGGCAAGTGCCACCACGCCTGGCTAATTTTTGTATCTACTTTTTTGTAGAGGCAAGATCTTGCCACATTGTCCAGGCTGGTCTCAAACTACAGGGCTCAAGTGATCCTTCCCCCCTTAGCCTTCCAAAATGTTGAGATTACAGTTGTGAGCCACTGCACCCGGCTTGTGGATTTTCTACATTAATTCTATTTTTGCAGCAAAATGCATTTTCCTAAATACTACTTGAGAGTGTACTGCAGAATGCCAAGGCACTCTGCTCACTCTTCACTCCTCTGCTGCATGAGGTACAAAAAGTACCCCCAAAATGACACTATCAGTGTCATGCTACTTCTAATATCACAAATGGAAAACAGAAAGCCAGGACTACTGTGAAGTGTTTACTGTTTGTGCTGAAGATACAGGAGCCTTCCTCCTCAGCACTCCCCAAAACACATAATAGGACAGGGAAGCAGGCCACATGCAATAAGTGTCAGGTGCAGGTTTTTGGGACTAAGGAATGAGAAAATGGGAGCAGTGCTCTCTGTTACAGGGACCTGAGCCTGAGAACTAAACAACTGTATGGATTTATAGCAGTAAAGGAGGATGGAGTATGAGCTGCTTCAACTAATTAATTCCCTATCAAGAACTCCTCAACAGGCCTGGGACTTAACCTGAGCCAAGACTCTCCAGTAAGACCAGTAACCAGGATGCAAGTTTCAGGTTAGGCAATGAGACTACTTCCACAATTACCAGAAGCCCTGCCTAGTCCTAAGCTAAACCTGTATCCTTTTTTTTTGGATATGGAGTCTCGCTCTGCTGCCTAGGCTGGAGTTTGGTGGTGCAATCTGGGATCACTGCAACCTCTGTCTTCCGGGTTCAAGCAATTCTGCCTCAGCCTCCTGAGTAGCTGAGACTACAAGCATGGGCCACTAAGCCTGGCTAATTTTTGTATTTTTAGTAGAGACAGGGTTTCATCATGTTGGTCAGGCTGGTCTCAAATTCCTGGCCTCAGGTCATCCACCCACCTCAGCATCCCAAAGTTCTGGGATTATACATGTGAGCCACTGCATGCATGCAGCTACTCTTTTTTTTTTTTTTAAAGAGACAGGGTTTCTCCATGTTGGTCAGGCTGGTCTCAAACTCCTGACCTCAGGTGATCCACCCACCTCAGCCTCCCAAAGTGCTGGGATTACAAGTGTGAGTCACCACACCTGGCCTTTTATTTTATTTTATTTATTTTCAGCTACTCATTCTTGCAATCAAAAGAACAGGTAACTGGCCAGGGCAGTGGCTCAAGCCTGTAATCCCAGCACTTTGGGAGGCCAAGGCAGGCGGATCACCGGGGTTCAGGAGTTCGAGACCAGCCTGTCCAACATGGTGAAATCCATCTCTACTAAAAAACAATTAGCCAGGCATGGTGGTGGACACCTGTAATCCCAGCTACTCGGGAGGCTAAAGCATGATAATCACTTGAACCTGGGAGGCAGAGGTTGCAGTGAGCCAAGACTGCACCACTGCACTCCAGCCTGGGCAACAGGCTGAGACTCCATCTCAAGAAAAAAAAAAAAAAAAAAGAATAGGTAACTAATTTTAGACATGTTATATTTGGGTGCCAAATAGGCAGCTGAATATGAGCTTCAGAGAACAAATCCAGGTCAGAGATACATGTTTAGTCATAAGCAGAACACTGTCAAATGAAGTGAAACCAGATTGGTGGATCAGACTTATTAAAGTCTACAACTCATGTAACCCGCCCCCCCCCACCAAAAAAAATTGCAGGGAACAGAGAGATGCCCATTTCCTTGGCTGATTTTAGGACTAAATAAAGAGATACAGATTGAGCATTCCTTATCCAAAATGCTTGAGACCAGAAGTGTTTCATTCTTCAGAATTTTTAAAATTCTGAAATACATAATGAGGTATCTTGGGGATGGGACCCAAGTCTAAATATGAAATTCATTTATGTTTCATATAAACCTTACACACTGAAAGATAACATCAGACAATATTTTTTAAGTAAATTTTTTTGCATGAAAAAAAAGTTTGTGTACAAGGAACCATTAGAAAGCCAAGGTGTCGGTCAGGCGCGGTGGCTCAGGCCTGTAATCCCAGCACTTTGGGAGGCTGAGGTGGATGGATTATGAGGTCAAGAGATCGAGACCATCCTGGTCAACAAGATGAAACCCCGTCTCTACTAAAAATACAAAAATTAGCTGGGCATGGTGGTGCACACCTGTAGTCCCAGCTACTCGGGAAGCTGAGGCAGGAGAATTGCTTGAACTCAGGAGGCGGAGGTTGCGGTGAGCTGAGATCGCGCCATTGCACTCCAGTCTGGGTAACAACAGCGAAACTTCGAAGAGAAAAAAGAAAAGAAAGAAGGAAAGAAGGAAGAAAGGAAGGAAGGAAGGAGGGAGGGAGGGAAGGAGGGAAGGAAGGAAGGAAGGACAGATGAAAGAGAAAGAAAAGGAAGGAAGGAAGGAAGGAAGGAAGGAAGGAAGGAAGGAAGGAAGGAAGGAAGGCAGGCAGGCAGGCAAGCAAGCAAGCAAAGGTGTCATGTCTTAACGTCTTGGCTACCCATGTGGATAATCTGTGTGTGTTTGGCATCACCATCATTCCTGACTGATTTTACATGCTACCAACAAGCAATCATTTTCTTATACCTATTCACACATAAATACTACATATTAAAAAATAAACCAGTAAAAATTGTGTGTTCAGGGTAATGTGTGGTGTCATGCCAGCACTCAAAAAGTTTCCAATTTTAGAGCATTTCCGATTAGGGATGCTCAACCTGTATATGAAAAGCCCTTCATTTCACTTCCCTTACCCCAATGAAGCCCATTCCTGTCGTCCTTTCCTATCAATCTCTTTCAGACTTTCTTCACATTACACCTCCAGCTGTACAGACTTACCATCTCTCACAAATAGAAAAATGGTGAAGGATCCAAAAATCAACCACAATTGGCCTTGGAGGAAACCTACATTTAATATTCTAGGAAATCCTGTGAAAGTCAAAATTATCTCTCCAGTTTCCCTAACACAATTCTCTGCTTAACTCCTCTCCATTCTACTCTTGAAATATGGTTTATCTCTTAGACTAGTATAAAGCAGAGTTACATTAAATCTCTCTTGGTGCAGTCAGAGCGGTTAAGCATTTAGGTTTCAAAGGAATGCAACTTATAAGCAATATTAACATCAAAAGAGAAAGCCAGATGTCAAAACACTGAGTAAAATGGTGCTGTCAATAATGAAACCAGCATTGCCATATGGAAACCCCCCTGCCAATAACCTGGAGGTAAATTTCAAAATACATGTTTCAGATACAAACTTTCATCCCTCATCTGTGACCTATATTTTTTCCTTCCACCCACTACATCCTCTTTTATTAAAAGTAACACAAAGGGAAAACAATTTTGAAATCAAAGTGAGACTTATACACCCCATCTGCAACTTCAACAATATATCATCATGACTAAGCTCATATGACTCATAACTTTCCCAGATTATGCAATTCATAACAGTTCAATTGAAATCATTTTTGGTGACCCATAGAGTACTCTAAAAGCCAGGCTTCAGTTTATTGTGTATTTTCTGCCTTTCAGAAAAATGTCATCATATGCCTAATCAATACTCAGTACTGCAGTACAGTAATTTTTGTAGGACAATAAACATAAAAAATAAAAACCATGCTTTTCAACTACATAACTATTTGCTAGTCTTGACCAACTCAATCTAACTAATGGTAAGGTTAAGCAACAAATTACATTGTAAGCTATCAAACAAACAGAAAAAAAAAAGTCATTCTTCAAAAGAAAAAAATACCCACAAGCCTATGTTCATCACTGAGTGAATCTGACAACTGACAGGCATCTTCCTGAGACTCATTTTTCCTCCTCCTTTATTTAAAAACTAGACTTGATCTCTAAGTTCCACCACCAAGAGTGTCCATATTTTCCCTCTTCATCTACTTAACCTTAAAATCTGGTCTCAAGTATCACCTCCTCCAGTAAGTCTTCATTAACCTTCCTAGGCTGGGTCCAGTGGCCCTTGGTGAAAATACCTGCTATATTGTACTCTAGCACTCTCCTCTATGCTGTTTTAGAAGTGTCTGTTCTAAATAAATGTCTATTTCACTATTCCATAAGCAACTGAAGATGGATACTGTCTGATCTTTGCATTTCCAATGCCACGTATAATACTTAGCAGACAGTATGTGTTTTTCCCCTATACTTCATTAAAACAAAGAAAAAAGGCAAGTCGGCCAGGAGCGGTGGCTCATGCCTATAATCCCAGCACTCTGGGAAGCCAAGGCAGGTGGATCATGAGATCAGGAGATGGAGACCATTCTGGCTAACACGGTGAAACCTCGTCTCTACTAAAAATGCAAAAAATATAGCCAGGTGTAGTGACACGTGCCTATAATCCCAGCTACTCGGGAGGCTGAGGCAGGAGAACACCTTGAACCCAGGAGGCCAAGGTTGTGCACTCCAGCCTGGACAACAGAGCAAGACTCCGTGTGGAAAAACAAAAAAAGGCAAGTCTATGCACTCCTCTGCCACAGATGGTCTACACTTCGCAAATAAAAAACAAACGTATGGTCTAAAAAAGCCTTATGATCTGCAAACGTTATGAATCGATCTAGAGAGTACTGTTTTTCTATACTGTGTGCTTCCCTAGGATTCATGCTTATTTTCCCACCTATGAACAACAGAATGGTAATAAGTAAAACAGTTGCGCCAGGGTGGTGCAAATGTAATTTTAATATCTCAAAATACATATTTATTCTTTTTACTAACATTTATCCTTAAAATGAAGATCCTTATCCTATCCCGCCATCCTAACCACAACTCTACTTCAAAATGTCCTTCAATTTGTACTGACTTACCATTTTTCAGCACCTATCTAGACCCCTTGCCTTTCATTAGTCACTTGTAATCCATTTCAATTGGAAACAATCATAAGGCAGCTGTTAAGTGTTAACACTCTCAAGTCCATTACAATTTGTGTCCACTAAATATAAAGAAAAACATACTATACACGGTATCATGGTGAAATTTGGGGACCAGTAAAATCATGCAAGCCTGCAATTTCACACACTGGGAAAACATTATTTCACACTTTGTTAGTAATTAATCAAAGTGTCTTACATGTCAATTTTTGAAAGATAAAAGGACCTTAAAATACACTTAAAGTTCACGCAAACTTACTTCCACCAAAGTTCAGATCCCTTAATGAATAGCCATCCTTAAAATCCAAACTCTCTGGAAAATCTAATGAAATAGGAACCCTCTACTTTCTAGCCTCTAAACGGATCAAACTCGTCATTCCTGATAACTTCTTTGTTTTAAAGTGCAAGGAAAGCATTCACAGTGGCAGCATCACGAGCTGGCTTGCAAGTTTCGCTTCCCCACATCTCCCAAGCACCCCCAACAAGATAAAATTTAAATAACCAAGAACGCGCTCAGGATGTTCGCAAAAACACAACTCTAAGACTCCAACTGCAGTCTCCGCCTCCCAGCCAGATTACTGCATAAGTACCTCCTACAGTAGAAATTCTAGTTCCCGCTTTACAGGACCAGGAAGAATTCCGGGGCTTTGGGCCCTTCCTTTGTGCCTTTGATAGGAACACAACACACTAGATTTGTTCCTCACCAAGGCAGAACTCTGAGCACATCTCCCTCTCCAAACAAGATTCAGCCGCCCCTCTCCCTGCCGCTTTCCCAACACCCTCTCCAAACGCAAACCAAGGGAGCAAAGCCCTCACAGGCGCCCCGTCACCACACGGGGCCCGTCCAGTAGCCCCATCCCACTCAGAGACAAGCCCCACTCCTTTATTCTTTCCCCAAACTCAGAGAGCCACACCCCCTTCTACAGTGAAAACTTAGAAACGCGCCACCATCGCCAATACCCCGCCCCCAAACACCTGATAGACCCAGCTCCCTAGCTCTTCCCTCAAACGAGCGCTTCAGACGCCGGCCTAAGCCAACTCCCCTGGGTCTTTACCGAGTCTCTGGTGGGGGCCGAAAGCCGGGTCTTCCGGAGGTCGCGGCGCCAGCACCAAAGGAACCACGCTGGTCAGGAATAGGAGAGACTGCCTCATGTTCCCGGCCCGGCTACCGACTCCACTTTTCTGGGCAGCCTTCGCCTGACGGGGGTTCGGAAAACTGCTCACATCGGGGGAGGAGGGGATCCGCCCGACCCGGCCCAGCCCGGCCCCTCAAACCTCTTTTTCCTCCCGCGCCGCCTACTGGGAAGACTCTTACAGCTAGGCTCGACGCCCCCGGAAGTGCAGGTGGCGTTACCAGAGACCGGCTCAACCCGCTTCCGGCCGCCGCCATCCTCCGCACCACCCACAGCCGGAAGCCGGCCGCCGGGCTGCAGGCTGGGAGGCTCCCCTAGCCCCGCCCCATGGCTTCTAGTCCGCCGTAGCGTTCTGCCCCGCCTGTCGCGTCCAGCTGGGGCTCGCCCGGCGCCTTTCTGGATGCAGACGTAGTCGTCCCGACTCCGCCCAGCCCGGCCTGGCCTCTGTCCTCGGGTGACCACGGAGTGGGGAGGCGGGAGCTCGCGAGCAGGCCCTTAGAGGCGCGTCTGGCCACGTCCTTTGTCTTGGTGCCACGTCTTGTTAGGATCCCTGCTGTCCACTTTATTAAAGGAGCTGTAAAAAGCGGCCTGGGGCCCAGCGACCGGCCCAGGGCGGACTAGGAGGCGCGACTGGCCGGATGCCGCAGGCTGTCTGCCCGGTGTGCTCAGGTGGGAGGGCGGGGACATGAATCGAGCTACAGAGTACCCGACGGACGGGGGCTGAGCCCGGGGAGGAGACCCCCCCACACCCACCCAGGACCCCGAGCCTGGCCTCCGAAGCCCGCGCCACTCGCCAGCTCCTGCGAAACGAGCCTTCCGGGCGCAGCTCAGGCATCTGGTTCAGGGTCCGGCCGCCAGAGTCGTCTGAGGCCTCCATCCGTCTGTTCTCACGAAAAAGGCTTTGGGGGACTAATAAGCAGTTCCTGAAGGCACATTTGCTCCACGTCCCTGCTATAGGGAGAGGGTCTGCAGGCACTTCAACAAACTAGAATCCTAGGACCTTACCTGTGAGTACAGGAGCTGGACTCTTCCCACCAACTTCTTAAAATTCAATCCTATACTTGGTCCATTTCGCTTAGACTGGAAATTTCCCAAAGCAGTTTGTTCTTGCAATCTCTGGCATGCTTTTAGCTCTGTATAGTTTAGTGAGTGTTTAGGGTACTGAATAAAACATTCCAAAAACGGTTGAATACATGTTGCTGTTTTATTTACTTCAAATAAAGTTTATAAAAGCAGGAAATAATACATTTTCCACTTAAGAGTGAGCCAGCCTTTATTAGAAATGGTAAATTGGTAGGAATAAAAGACTAGTCCTGTTCAAGTTTCAAGGCTTATTCCTAATAAAATACTCAGACTGGGGTTAAAATGTATTGTATGTTCATGGTGCTTTGCTTCAGTAAAATAGAAGCATCTTTTACAACAATACATTATTGGCTAAAACCAACCGGACCTGGTCTGTGCATCTGAGGTAGAAAATATCTTTATTAAACATATTCGTGAATGGCATATCTAATCAAAAAGCAGAATTTCACATGCAAATTGTAAACAATCTCTAAAATTTGTATTCCGTAAGAATGTGACAGTTGAGTTTGGTTTTTAGGGGGTTTTTGGTGTACAGTAACAATGACATCTGGTTTCTTTTTTTTTAATTTATTTTGAGACTGAGTTTCACTCTTGTTACCCAGGCTGGAGTGCAATGGCGCGATCTCGGCTCACCGCAACCTCCACCTCCTGGGTTCGGGCAATTCTCCTGCCTCAGCCTCCCGAGTAGCTGGGACTACAGGCAGTCGCCACCACGCCCAACTAATTTTTTGTATTTTTAGTAGAGACGGTTTCACCATGTTAACCAGGATGGTCTCGATCTCTTGACCTCATGATCCACCCACCTCCCAAAGTGCTGGGATTATAGGCGTGAGCCACCGCGCCTGGCCTCATCTGGTTTCTTTTCTAAACCCACATCCAGGCACCATACTCTCCAGCTTATAACTTCAGTAGATTGTAGATTATATTCTTTTGGTATCCCCAACAGCTCTTGTACAGTGCCTTGCTCATATAAGGTACTTAGCTGTTTAGTAAATGCCATTTAATAAAAAAATAAAAGCTTCTGATTCCTGATACTTTTTTTTTTTTGAGACAGTTTTGCTCTTGTCGCCCAGGCTGGAATGCAATGGCACGATTTTGGCTCACTGCAAGCGATTGAATGCCTCCTGGGTTCAAACGATATTACAGGCATCCACCACTATGCCTGGCTCCTTTTTGTATTTTTAGTAGAGATGAGGTTTCACCATCTCGAACCCCTGACCTTAGGTGATCTGCCCGCCTCAGCCTCCCAAAGTGTTAAGATTATAGGCATGAGCCACCGCACCTGGCCTGATTCATTTTCTTATAACCAGAAGTCCTAGATTTTCAGGGACATTCCAGATTTCAGTTAATCTTTTCAATTCGAAAATCAGGACCCAAATTATTACAATTTGCAGTTCATCTTTCATTTATCAATTGTGCATATTTTTAAGATAAAAGCACCACGTGGGGGAGGTAAAGAGCCAAAGAAATATGGTAAGAGGAGCACTACATAGATTAATTATTTTATCTTTTGAGACAGGGTCTTGCTTTATAGCCCAGGATGGAGTACAGAGGGACAATCACAGCTCACTACAGCCTCAACCTCCTGGGCTCTAGCAATCCTCCAGCCTCACCCTCCGGAGTATCTGGGACCACCAGCATGCACCACCACACTGGCTAATTTAAAAATTTTTTTTTAATAGAAATGGGGTCTTGCCATGTTCCTCAGGCTGGCCTCAAACTCCTGGCCTCCCAAAGCGCTGGGACCAAAATAATTTTTTTAAACTATATACCCCCTAAGTAGATCTTCAAAGATTTTTTTTTTTTTTGAGACAGACCTTTGCTCTTGTTACCCAGGCTGGAGTGCAATGGCGTGATCTCGGCTCACCTCAACCTCCGCCCCCTGGGTTCAGGCAATTCTCCTGCCTCAGCCTCCCGAGTAGCTGGGATTACAGGCACGCACCACCGTGCCCAGCTAATTTTTTGTATTTTTAGTAGAGACAGGGTTTCACCATGTTGACCAGGATGGTCTTGATCTGTTGACCTCGTGATCCACCCGCCTCGGCCTCCCAAAGTGCTGGGATTACAGGCTTGAGCCACCGCGCCCGGCCGATTTTCATCATTACTGTAGTATTAGTAAAATTTGAAACTTTCATCATAAATACATTTAATATTAAAGCTGTTAGGTCATTATTTTAAAGTTTTTCAGTGGAGTATAAATACCTCAAAGATTTGACAGCCACAGTGGTAGCCTAGCCTCCAAGATGGCCTCCAGTGATGCCTGCTTCCTCTTGGTTTATGTGACCACTAGCATGCAGCAGTAGTGATGTCACTTCCAAGTTTAGGACACAAGAAGCTGTGTCCTCCATCTCCGTGCTCTCTTGCTTGCTTGTTTCCTCTTGTGTCACACACTCTGTGGGAAGCCAGTTTTCATGTTATGAGAACACTCGGGAAAGCTATGGAAGGTCCAAAAGAACAGGTCAGCAGCCAGCAGCAAGCAAGCAGCTGTCAAAGACTATGTGAGTGAGCGTGGAAGGAATCCAGCCCCAGGACAGCTTTGAGATCACTGCATCCCCGACCTACAGTCTGATTACAACTAAGTTGCTCCCAAATTCCTCAGCTTCAGAAACTGTGGGAGATAAGTGTTTGTGGTTCTAAAGCTTCTAAATTAGGGGTAATTTGTTACACAGCCACTATCATCTGTTCAAAAAAAAACATAAACAAGTTGACTGGATCCTGGGTTCCTAACACCAGAAGTGATTTTTTTGTTTTTTTTTCTTTTTGAGGCAGAGTTTCACTCTTGTTGCCCAGGCTAGAATGCAATGGTGTGATCTCAGATCACTGCAACCTCTGCCTCCCAGGTTCAAGCAATTCTTCTGCCTCAGCCTCCCAAGTAGCTGGGATTACAGGCATGTGCCACCACGTCCGGATAATTTTGTATTTTTAGTAGAGATGGGGTTTCTCCATGTTGGTTAGGCTGGTCTCGAGCTCCCAACCTCAGATCTGCCCAAGTCGGCCTCCCAAAGTGCTGGGATTACAGGCGTGAGCCACCACACCCTGCAAAGTGACTCTTAATTTAGGATTTAATAAAGATAAGTAAAAATATTTCTTGAGGTTCCTCAATCCCATGCTATGGAATGAATTATTCATAATTTAGATACTGCAAGTGAATTTAAGAGTAAACATTTGCAATTATTAAACACATAGCCACATATGGTCTGCAGTTAACTACTAAACCCATACAAGTACTGGTAAAACGTTGTCTAAATGACCAGAGAACTAACTGGTTCTGGCTGGGTTTTTTGTTTCCTTCTATTTCTTTAGCTGTATTTCTCTTATTAGCCAATTTTGTTTTATACCAACCTAGCTCTGTTTCTCTTATTAGCCAATTTTTATTTTTTGAGACAAAGTCTCATTCTGTCACCAGACTAGAGTGTGGTGGCATGATCTTGGCTCACTGCGATCCCCGCCTCCTGGGTTCAAGCTATTCCTCTGCCTCAGCCTCCCGAGTAGCTGGGACTTTACAAGCATGCACCACCATGTCCCACTAATTTTTAAAATTTTAGTCGAGATGGGTTTTCACCATGTTGGCCAGGATGATCTTGACTTCCTGACCTCATGATCCACCTGCCTCAGTCTCCCAAAGTGCTAAGATTACAGGCGTGAGCCACCACTCCTGCCTGTCAATTTTGTCTTATATCAACCCCACCAGTTCTTATAGATGGATAGAGCAATTATCACTGTTTCTAAAATGCTAATTATGCTTTTTTGCTGATGAACAAATCTATGTAAAGCTATCCCTTTAAGTATGAGTCAACCCACAAATAAAACAACAGGTGCCAATTAATGAAAAATAAGACTTTATACCAAGTCATGTACCAAGAACTCTAGTTTCCGATGTTTTAGTTAAGAAATTTTAACCTATTTTAGAAACAATGAACCTTTTAAAAAAAAAAATGAAAAATACACATGGGACAAAGCAGAGACATTCACAGATTTTTGCTGATGAACGGATGATTCTTTTGGGAATTTTTTTTATTGTTATAAAGAATATTTTCCTATATTTATTTATTTATTTTAGAGACTGGGTTTCACCATGTTGCCCAAGCTGGTCTCAAATTCCTGGGCTCAAGCAATCCACCCACCTCAGCCTCCTAAAGTGCTAGGATTATAGGTGTGAACCATCGCATTCCACCGATATGGACCACCATCACATGCCAAACTGTCACACATCCTCCGTATTGTATGCCATATAAAATATGGAGCAGGCCGGGCGTGGTGGCTCACACCTGCAATCCCAACACTTTGGGAGGCCGAGGCGGGTGGATCACAAGGTCAAGAGATCGAAACCATCCTGGCCATGGTGGAACCCCATCTCTACTAAAAAAAAAATACAAAAAAATTAGCCAGGCATGGTGGCGCATGCCTGTAGTCCCAGCTACTCGGGAGGCTGAGACAGGAGAATTGCTTGAACCCAGGAGGCAGAGGTTGCAGTGAGCCAAGGTCGCGCTGTTGCACTCCAGCCTGGGTAACAAGAGCAAAACTCCATCTCAAAAAAATAATAAAATAAAATATGGAGCTGCATCGGTTCTTTCCCTTCTTAAATCCCTGCGTCTCTCCCTTGAGATCTCGGGGTAATTGAACCACATGAATAACTGAACATAGAGAGCAGGCTAGATAAAGAGAACAAATGGAAACTTGTGCTGGTTTGAAATTACCTCAGGTCTGAAGTGGCCAGAAGTCATTACTCTTGGGTTGACAGGCCCCAGAGAGGAGACTCTCACCAATTACCCTCCAGTTCCACAGCAGCCAGAGACCTCAATTGAAAAGCTGTTCTACTTAGGGCTCTTCAGAAAAACCGAACTCAACTGTTCAATGTTTAAATTCTGAACATTTTACTAATATTTTAAAAATTATACCAAAGAGATACACATTATAGCTTTGCCCTCAAAGGAATTATACTCTAAAAGGTAGACATATAAACATGCAAACACCCAAATGCTTCAGGAAAAATAAAGACATGGGTTTTTTCACATTAACTTTTTGGGTTTGTAGTTTTTTCTGAGACAAGGTCTCGGTCTACCACCCAGGCTGGAATGCAGTAGCATGATCTCGGCTCACTACAACCC